CAACAACTGTAGTGTGCAGGGATGAAAATCTGAATTGAGACGTTTTCTTAGTTCCACCCGGTTTTCGCTTGTGTGCAGAGTTTTAAGGATGGATATACATGTAACACTATACATACGATACTTGGTTGAACAATGAGAGTTTCTCATTTTACATGCACCGAACTACATGTATAACAGCCGTAGTGTGTGTCGCCCGTGCACGAGTGGCTAGCAAGGACCGCCTGAGGGATTGCATTTCAACATGTTGAGCAGGCCTGCAGGTGTGCGTATTTTGTACTTGACCTGCACGAAGTAGGTATGATAATCGTGAAGTAGGTATGATTGTGGTGTGTTGAAGTCAACAGAGTGACGTCGCAATGTCCTCACTGAGAGTTGCAACTATGTACATGTACATACTACGTTCTTTTCGGCAGTCCAATACCTCTTTTCACTAGAGCGGCCTGAGCGAAAGCAGGGGAGAGGGCAATGGAAGTTGGAACTAGACTGAAGTATGTTGTTAGCCAGAGTTTCATGGTTATCCACCGATCCTCAGACAAAAATCTTGTCTTTTGGACCTTCCCTCTCTGCCCTCGTGGTATTGAGCACGCCTTTTATCAAGGGTTTAGCAACATACAATGTACAAGTACATGCATGTGTAGCTTGTGAGTGTATATAATTATAATTATATTAAAATCAAAAGTTTTCAACTGCATCCAGGAGGTGCAAACCAGCAACCTTCCAACTTGGAAGGCTCAGGTTAGGTTAGGTTAGGTTAGGAATGATTACATCGGCTCAACATCACAGTTCAATTATATTGCATTCTTTGAAATGTTTCAGAGTACTATAACTTCTATTATTCCCCAAAGGCATCTTGCCTGTTGAGGGGGTCTCCATAATCGGAAAGGTTGGTAACACCCGGCGTGCTCTCCACTTAAATCGCATTTAAAATTAGCTCCCAACCAGTAGGAATGCCGAGATTGCTTCACAGCCTGCCGGGAATGCCGAGATTGCTTCACAGCCTTTTGACGTCCTAACAGTAACAGCACACGTGTGCGTGTACTTGAAGTATAATAGACGATTGCTGACGATTGCTGCCTGGTTAGCTTTCACGCATAAGCGCTCAGCGGTCACACTTGTATTCACTCTGCCGGCATTGGCCTCGCGGCGATGGGATATACTCATGAACACTGCCACTGATTGCGTGTGTGTGTGGGCGGGGTGGTGGTGTAGCGGGGACACTGTGCAGAAACACACAAACACACGCATGTGCACGCACATGCACGCTCGCACACACATTCGTGTACCTCTTCCCCTCATATCCCCAGCACCCAACGCTCAGACCTACATGTACATAAGCACAGGACACGTACAATACACATGTACAATGTACATATACTAGTATGTAATAATCATACTGGAGCAGAGAAAAAATGTCAATGCTCTTCAACTTGGTTCAACGTCCGTCCACGCAGCAAGCAGCCTGCTTCACATTTTAGTTGCACCAACCAATGTTCCACTTCAACTCGGACGATCTTTGACAGATGACATACAGTAAATGCTCTGAGGGGTTTGTGAACATTATCCTTGAAGTAGGCGGTTCCCAGGCAGGCATAGTGGGATGGTCTAAGACCATGATTGAGAAACAGAGGGTACCGGGTTCAAGTCCTGCTTGGAAGCGGAAGGATTTTTTCCAGCCGTGCTGCGACCCACAGTTAATTGGGAACTCGTGGCCTGGCACGAGGAAAACATGGATGCAGGGAATGGGATTTTCGGTCTTTGACCACTTGCTGGTGAGCTGATCTACTCACCTCCCACCGCTTTAGGAGCTGCATCTGCGCCTTGATCCTTGAAGGGTGGTGGCGTTCCTACGGATGCGGAAAACCCGGCTTCCAGCCGAGTCTCACGCGAACCGTGAATTTTTTTTTTTTTTAGGCGGTTCCTACTTGAACCGTCAACGCGTGAGGTGAAAGTACTGCACGTCATCTATCCGTGAACCATTCCATCGTTCTTCCACTGCAAGCTTGCACCCGTAACATCCTCCATTCTCTCCCCACCCTCACTCTGGTCTGGAGACTAACGTCGCTTCGTCATACAAGTACAATCAGCCATCAAGACGTGGTAACATCAGGGTGTTGTACATGATTGTAAGCACAGGTTTGCTCCCTGGTTATCGTATTTGATTATGTACATGTACTAGTAGATACTAGTACTGGTTTGATTTCAACCTGACAATGGATTCGAATGTGTCATAATTCACCGATTCACCGTTCGCTTATTTGGACTGCTACCCGAACTGCTAGGGAGCGAATTGCACATACTAGTACAGCAGTAGTTCAGAAGTCAGTGATAGAAGCTTAGCTAAGCATCGCACTATCGTGTTACATAATGCACACGAGACTCTAGCGCAACAAAAGCAGTCAACAGCTCCCCGCACACGTTGACGCCTGATAGCCGAAAACCACCGCAATAAGCCTATTAGGCGGCGGATGCCAAGAATGGTTTGAATGGGCCGCTCGTTGTGGCAATATCCCATCTGCATGCTCGCTTCGCCGTGGCTTGGCGCATACCTCCTTCCTTTCCGGTGGCGAGAATAGGACGTAGTTCTGCTGCAGAACACCAAATGTACGCAGGGCCTTTTTTCCTTTCCATTCCTCCCTCAGGCAATGATTTGCATCCCTTGCATGCCAGTGCGTGCGTGCGTGACTCCATCATGCGATGGCCTGTGTGTACCTGATTCAGTAGGCTAATAGGACGTACACGGGGTGACGTCACTGCACGACCGCTTCTCAACTATGTGTACATAATGCGGTCACCATCGGAGACGGCTGTGTTGGGAAGCGCCACTGCACTGGTGATGGTGGCATGGGTGCATACAATACACGTGCTGCAACGCCTAGCTGACCATGGCATGGGTTGTGTAGGGCTTCCCCTTGCTTTGGAGGTTTCATGTTGCGTATTGGGCACGAGGTATAGCTCCCAGTCCCATGTCGTATGACAATCATAGTAGTATGGGAACTATTCTGACAGCAGTATGTACTTGTATGTCGTTCAATGCCGTAATAGAATAATAATATCCAACGCAATAGCCGAGGGCCAATCGCCCCAGTGGCTGTTACCATAATGAGCAAATCCGTCACCCTGGCACTTGGCGGCTGGCAGTGCTAGGGATAGCATTGCGGGTTCGCTGCTATCATGTGGGACCAGCCGTGTCCAGCTAGGTTGGCAGCGGCCATCACGTGGCTTACGCCAGCACAACAACACAGCATGTACAAGAACGTACAACTCAGTGCAGGCATGGTAATGCACTGGCCCAGTGGCTGCCCCATCGGTACTTACGGCAGTATGTATCTGGCCCGTAAAGGAGGCTGTGTATGCATGTATGTACATGTATCTGGCACAGGCAAGGCTGAGGCATCTACTGAAATACACACCGTGCATGTAGTCCATGGTGGGTTTCCTCCAAATTTGAAATTGCAATTTCAAAAACAATAATTAAAATAAGGTGATCAGAGAGTACTGAGGGGACAAAGTATGACATGTGAAAAGTCCATGCTGCCATTGTTGGTAGCAGCAGTATGATATGCATGTACATGTATGCATTGTAGTGTAGGCACACATCCTGGCCATAAACCAGTCCTTACTATTACAAGTCAATTGTACATGTGTGTTCTTCTCAATTGCTGCTCTCACATTCAAATTCCCAGTAGTAAGGATGAGGCTTATTCACATTCTGCTGATTGTACTGAAACCCTTGTGTCGAATATCCTGGACAGCACTGGCACTGGCAGCAGTTTTTCGAGGACTACTCACACACTTACATGTAGGGTGCTAGCCTCTGAAGGGATACAAATACTGAGATTGGTACAGTACAGTACAGTATAAGTCATGCACATGTGCATGTGGCAGTGCATATTCGGTCAACATTCCTCTCCTCCTCTCCTCTCCGCATATAGAGCGGTGCATACTGCCAACTGGGTGCGTACTATCTATGCAGTGCAAGATGACATGCACTGACTACATCCAGGCAGTAGTAGTAGGAGTAGTACGTAACCAGGCAATGCATAATGGAATGTATGATACTGATGGTGATGACAGCATATCACAAGTACGTGTAGCAAGTGGCTGACAATGCTCGAAATATTGGCAGATTCTGCTCGAAAAGCAGTGAAATTGGCAAAACCGTACAATCCTTATGGCAGATACGTCCTCGAAATCTGCTTCATTTCTTTATCCACATACCAGGCAAACATGCATGAACATACATGTACCGGAAAGGCCCCAAATTCTGACAATTGTTCTGAAAGAACATTGTCACAACGTCCAGTGCATGTATAGCAAGAACTTGCACAATAATTGCACATGTTTCTGAAAAGTACAATAGAGGATATCCTCTCATTCCTCCGTATGTATGTGCATACGCACTCTTGCCCGACCCGAAAGGCTTTCATACAGATAATACATACATACCATACATACGAATGCGGAAACGGTTACATAACACCCCGAAGGCCTAACATGGTGACCTGGTGACTCTACTTCAAGCTTCGCCTATCATCACGTCCTACGTGCTACACCATGGACTGAGCACTCCTCACGACCTGCTACAGTACAGACTACAGTACACCAATCCACTAGTACTAGTACTACTAGTAGTAGTACTAGTAGTACCACTTCTGATGTCAAGCAGCAAGCAGTGCCTACTTCCACTGCCTATGGCTGAGAATGCCAAGCAGCACTGATCTTGATCTTGCCAGGGATGCCATTCTAGCGGGACTTTTTATGCCCGTGTGTGGCCGTGTGGAACTGAAGAGTCATCCTTGCATTCGTGTGTATACATAATTCCGACTGGGCGCGTAGGTGGCACCGCATCACTGTGAGAGTGCGGAGATATTCAATGCAGCTATGTTTATTATGCGCAAGGGCACGTCTCCCATGATCCCGTGGGCAACGTGAGGAGTGTGAACGCGAGTACCAGTGTGAGCAGTGTTCATCATAGAGTGTTCCGCACGCACGTGTGTGTGAGTGTGAGTCAGTTTGGTGTTGTTCGTATTATATGCCGCCTCCTTTATATCTAGCATGATGATTGCCAGCCGAGTGTCAGTGGAGTTCTGCTGTGCATGAAGGTACGCTGACAGAGAGAAAGCCTAGCGTTGCTGATCAAGGCAACAGCAGATTTCGGTGGATAAATAGCAGACGTGGCATGTCGGCTATTCGCTACTTTCAGCCGAAACGCTGAAAGACACGTCTAACTAGTACAGTGGTAGTCAGTGACAGCCAGCCTTGTCACTACCCTCCATCCTGCAGCCGTTGAGCGGGTTGTGTTTCAGGAGCCACTCCATTGGACGCCAGCAGCATGCGTTGCTCTAACACCAAGCTGTCTGCCACGGTGTGGCTGATGGTGGTGGTGACATTGGACCTGCGGACTTCATCGTTCGTTCAAGGTGAGAGGCGAAAAGGGCCAACGGCGCGAGAGTTTCGCGTTCAAACAATCGACTTACACAAACGTGGTTAAACGCAGGACGGCTCAATATGGTGTGCATTGGTGTGGGTATGCCAGCATTGTACTACGCCCTTGCCTCAGTAGAAACGAGAAATCTGTTGTACACCTGTTTTACGCCGCGGCATGCTTGCGCCCAACTTTGCGCATCTTCACGTGCGCTCCTTTCTTTGATTTTAACGATAACGATTCCACCATCTCTCTCCTAGTTTCCTTTCGCTCCTTGCTTCCTGTGCCTAATTCTGCTTTTGCGCGCACGCATTGTGTTTGTGCCGAGTGCAGGCTTGATGTGCAACTGCAACGATGGTGAAATGTGCAACCTTCGCACGAAGATGTGCAGAACTAAAGACAGCGCTGCCTGCGTGACCTACGTCTACCCTGAGGATGGAGAGGTAGCAGCAGTGGGTGGCAGTGGTGGTGGTGGTGCTCTTCGCCGTGCTCTGCTCTGTTCAGAGTCGGGTTTCGAGTGCCCTAGACCGGGCGACCCCCCTGGCTTTGCTGGAAGCCGAATGCACTGCTGCAGGGAGAACTTTTGCAATTCAGGTAAGCACGGTACGGGTAGCTTGTAGAGTAGGCCAGTTACTGTTACTGACTACTTAGTATTCGTGTTATGTGGAGAGTCGCTTCTCTTTACCGCTGCTTTTAAACCATTGAGTGTATCCGACACTACAAACAATTATATCCTGAGTTCCCTGTTTTTGATGGGCAATGCCTACTGGTGATGGTATAGATGACACCTTTCGACAGTACTCTGCCTTTGCGAACCATGTCCTAGTTCAAAAGGATCGACATAGTGATAATTATTAATAGTGCACTGAAAAAGGGATGTGGCCAGTGGTGAAATCGCCTTGCGTGGAGAGCGCCATCTTGGATCATGATCCTAAGCTCTCCGGAACATTGTTCGAGCTGCTTTCTGCATATCCTTAGAATAGCTAAAGGCAGATATGCAAACATAATTATATCATTCAGCGTTCTGAAGTATACTTGTCTGAGCGTCCATCAGATATGGCGTGTATAAAACGTTACCTCTAGGAAAGTATTTGAAAATCCAATGTCATGTTCTACAAATACGTGGCAGTAGGTTTGACAGGACTGGTAATGTCGGGGAATAACTCTACGTGTAGATAACAGCACAGTATTGCACGGTATTGATAGAGTCAAGCGTTGACACTGTAAGAAACTACAGTAAATTTTAATGAGGTCTTAAAACCCTATAGACATCACTAACTGTCGTGGATCATGTTCTGTCAGCTATTGTTGATGCCACTGCTAGTGACAGTATCATTGGCATAGCAGCTGATCCTTGCCCTTTGCCCTGACAATCGTCTGTATGTCTCCATGTCTGGGTGCACTGTGAATGTGATGAGAGTGCACGAGACATCACCAGACACCTACAAAGTCCCCTTCTACCATGCAAGGACCATGCAACAATGCGCCAACTCCACCGCTTGTCCTTCTCACCTGACATCGGCTTGTTCATACCCAATCCATGATTGTGTTGTCCTAGTCGCCTGGGCTCAACACATGCAGTCGGATATTGCCTGACAATAGGCGGGGGGAGGGGGGGGGGGGTTGCATCGCCTTTACAAAACTGTCGCTCATCCATGCGTTCTGACTGATGCGTTTACGCCCTGGCACAAATCACGGATGGTAGACTGAATATGATGCTTTCGTCGTCAGGAGAAATCTGCTGTGCCATATCGCGCTTGTGTGTGTGTGTGTGTGTGTGTGTGTGTGTGCGCGCGCGCGCGTGGAAAGAGGAGGAGGAGAGTAGGGGATCGCTTCCGCACATCCGTGTCAGCGTTATAACCCGCACTGTAGTACGCTGTTGTTCCACCGTTGAGCGCGCGCATCCGTTCTGAACGATATTGATACTAGTATTTAGTACTAGTAACTAGGTAGCCAACGCGTGAAGAGCACGGAACGCTCGCTAGGTCGGAACCCGTCCTGTCATCCTCACGATCGACCTCGTCGTTCACGTCGGCCGTAGATCATCAGCACACTACAATCTCCTACTACGTGAGAGGAAGGTGGACTAGGAACGCGTCAATAAAACGGCCATAAAATTATTTGGCCGCTAGCCCTGCGGGCTGTGGACAGGCCGCATCGTTTGAGAGGAGAATTTCGATAATTACGCCTGCAAGCCCCAAAGCAGAGTGACACTGAGCAGCAGTTGGACGCAGGGTGCACTTGTATGGACGAGCTGAAAGAGGTCGTGGTTATTGCTTCAAGGGTGCCCACTTGAGCAGGCGATAATCATTTGTTCTGCACCCCTCTATTATCTACATTCTACACTACAGCGTACATACATACTATAGTACCACTATAAGCACTCTGGCATTCAGTAGCTGGTGGGTTGCCAGTGAAGTATTCCGCAGTTCAGGTTTGCTGAGATTTCAGGCAGCAGGAATAAAACCTGGCAGCTAGTTTTGTCATGTGGGAGGCTAGGCCACACACTTCACTGTAACTTGGCATGGGCAACACTGGAGAAGGGTGGCTTTTGGTGTGCAACAAAGGGCCCTCGTGCTACCTGTACAGTGTCTTTGCATGCGATCAGTTGTGGACTTAAGTGGCTGTGATTGCCTTGCGGGTGGTAACTGCGGGTCACGCAGGGTGTGAACACAATCGGGCAGGGCTTGATAACACTATGCCACAGCGCACATCCATGCACTCCATGCTCCAACGTCAAATTCCAAGCTCAAACAGTTGTGGCCAGGGGAGAGAGAGAGCGAGAGAGAGCGAGAGAGAGAGAGAGAGAGAGAGAGAGAGAGAGAGAGAGAGAGAGAGAGAGAGAGAGAGAGAGAGAGAGAGAGAGAGAGAGAGAGAGAGAGAGAGAGAGAGAGAGAGAGAGAGAGAGAGAGAGAGAGAGAGAGAGAGAGAGAGAGAGAGAGAGAGGGAGAGAGAGGGAGAAAGAGGGAGAGAGAGGGAGAGAGAGAGAGGGAGAGGGAGAGAGAGAAAAGAACTGGGGGGGGGATTCGTGGGAGAGAGAGAGAGAGAGAGAGAGAGAGAGAGAGAGAGAGAGAGAGAGAGAGAGAGAGAGAGAGAGAGAGAGAGAGAGAGAGAGAGAGAGATGGAGAGAGAGATGGAGAGAGAGAGGGAGAGAGAGAAGGAGAGAGAGAAGGAGAGAGAGAAGGAGAGAGAGAAGAGAAGTGTGGGGGGGGGGGATTCGTGGGTTCATACTTCGAGATCACCAAGCGATAAAAGCTGACCAGGGAACCTGAACACTTGAAAATAGATAGAAGGTAGCGAGGGGCTACTAATATGAGTGTGTGGCAGAGATAGGGTTGGAGGTAACAGAGAGAAAGGTTTGGACTCCATTCCGAGCATCCATGCTGGACTCCCGTGTATCAGCCCATTGCAGTGCCAATCATGGTCTGACTGAGGAACTCTGGTCACGTGGATTTGTCATAGGCCTGCACGCAGACAATGCTTGGTTCTGGGCACACTCTACAACAACCGAATACTACTCAATAGCCATTGTTCACGTCCTTGCTGTCCCGCACTTGATCTGAGTAGAGCACTGGTGGACGCAGCACTAGACGTGTACCAAGGTAGCAGACGTGTACCAAGGCAGCAGACGTTGCGGACAGCATAATGCAGTTGTCACAGAGAGTGTTACAACCGTGAACGGAATGCATTCTCCTGATCAGTAAAAACTCTTGTGATTAATAATAAAACATGTGATTGGCTCCCCCTAAATACAACTTTTACGGAGAACATATTTTTTGTATGTTGAGCTAGTACTTTGTCCCATCACTTGTTGAGCAAAACATGCATTGCATTACACGGGGATACTGAGTCAATCTCCACCCGCAGCACCATTCCCCAGTCAGAAACAGGAAGAGTTCAGAGTGAAGTAAATGAGGTCATGGACTCATAGTGTTAGAGAAGAGGGTTGTACTACTTGTACAATGCTACGATTAACTTTGTTTGCTTCCGTTGTGACCCGCACACCCTGCATTGTATCAATACTGAATAGTAAGATCTTAGAATTACGGACTCTTGATTGTACCAATCAGTGATGACCCTGTCACAATTCCTTGAACCTATGCTGGCATATCAATTGCCAATAACTTGCCAGCGTGATTTTTGGCACTCCAGAGGGGGGGGGGGGGGGTGTGAGGGCGGAGATACTTACTCAATGCCACCCTGCTAGGCCGGGGTCATCCATTATTACGTGGTCAGGTTCCAGGGCAAAAATAGAGATCTGCAAGGGACAATGAGCGCCCTTGCAGCCTCAATTATATGTACAGTCATGCAGATATAATTATAATTAATGCAAGGCCACAGTGGGCTGGGCTCTTCTGATAAGAGGTCTTACAATGTCCGCCTGTCACATGATGATTGGGTCTTTCATACAACTCAGTCCGAGTTACAAATTTAATTGTTACAATTGCTCACATTCTAGTGCATTGGGAAGACATACAAGGTTATAATAGTTAAGTAAACAAGTGTGCATTATCAAAATGTAATAGACCATAAGATAGATACATGTACATGTAGCATCAATTCAGAGAGAAGTCACCTGGGGCAATGGGTTTTTTTCTTTTTACGGCGCCTATTCCACCACTGGAACATACTACAAACTGTGACAGTGACATTGATTGAAGCAAGGGTCTTTTCTTGCTCCGTGATAAATATGATCATCACCAGGGTTTGCTACTCCTGTTTTCCTGTCCCCCGCACTTTTGTCTTTCCCATGCCGCATAGGATCCATGGCAACTGAGGTAGCCCACATCGTTCATATCATGTGTACGGATACCAAAATATGTTATGCAGAGCCACAAATGCAATCCTGTACTCCGCATAAACTTCCATCAACTCCTTCGTGGAACGTATGAAAAGCTGTGCATCCATGTATATTGTGATACACTGTCCTTTACTAAGCTAACCCCCAGGAAAGATTACAAGCTGAGCTCGCTGCACTGGGATTCAGTGCTCAGTAAAACAGACCTTACAAAATCAGATAACTGATCTGTTTGTTCTCTCTTGTATCTCCCATATTTAGAAACTGGTCCTCTACCCACTGATCCGGCCAGCGTGGCAACAGTGACGTCATCACCCACGCCGCCACCACCATCAGCCCTGGTGCCTAGCGTTCCGCCCAGCTCTGGCGCGAAGCTGCGCTGTGACTGCACGCCTGGAAACGGGGCCTGTCGCCAGGATCGCGGCGGTCGTGGCAAGTACCACTGCTTGACAAGCAATGGTTGGTGTGTGGCCGTGGCAGGACGAATCACGGCTTCGTCGCCCGTCGTCTACTCACGCTTCTGTACCAATGATCTGAGCGACTGCGAACAGACCACCACGCGAAACAGCCAGGTGAAATGCTGCAGCGACTCAAGGTTCTGCAATGAACGCCTGACACTGAGCCTCAGCAATGATACTGACTCTGTGGTTACAGACAATGTAGCAATTGACCATGATGTTGTGCAGCGAACTACAGCCTTGTCGAAGACAAACGTTGGGGCTTCGACTGCGGGTCTTCCAGGTAAGGACTAAATCATAGTAAATGTAGTTGTGTCCACACATACTTAGCCGTGACACAGGCAGGCACACACGCACACACGTACATTAGGCAGGCACATACACACGTAAATTCCCCCCCCCCCCTCCCCCAAACACACGCCTCGTCTCCAGCCTCCCCTATCACCCTGCTTGAACCCACCCACTGCGAAACTGACCAAACCTGACTCATACACTCGCTCTGTGTGAATACTCAGGTAACTTTCTACTGTATGAGGTGAAGGATATTGGTGCTTTTGAGTCTGCCATGGCTTGCTCAATCATAGTGCTGCTCCTTGAGAGTGTCACAAAGTGGGGGAGTCAACCCTAGGCACTCAATCACGATCTTTCAAGACAGATAGTCTCTCAAGAAAGGTGGTGTCTCATGACAGGTGACCTCATATCGCAGTGGTCGCTTAACACAGGTGCTAGATGTGCTCACGAAATACATGGCACAAAGCAATTCATGGATGGAAGGCACTGGACATACACAGAGGCAGAGCAGGGGTGTCTACTCATACTCATAGTACGACTAAAAGTACAATAGCATTAGCACTGCCGGTGGACAAGTACAATGATTGTGTTTCTTGAACTGATTTCGACCTTGATGATAGCATTGTAGATCTGCTGAGCTGAGGCTTCTCCCCCCCCCCCCCCCCTGAACTGTAGAAAGACTAGATGCTTAGAACAATCTAGATCATTCCACTGTATGCATGGTTGCTTCAGGCCCAGTCTAGCTAATGGAGGCTGGAAGCAGGTTTTGAGGACTACAGGGTGCTTGAGCACCGGATATTCAATGAATTGGAACTACATGTACTCCACTTTTCCCGCCCTTGTTTGAAATCTTTGCCAAATACTCCCATGATTGTACTGACTGGAGAATGATAATTGTTGGAACAAGCACTTTGTAGATGTCATTGCCTTAAGTAACTGTTTCCCTGGAGGCTGTTTGCAGTCAAAACAAGGCACACCATGCACCCTACATTCTGTGTGGCAAAGCAGTACAGGTTGTACTGTTCTAGAGGACAATTCGGTCTTAGATAAGGAAATGGGGAGGGTAGGTTCTGCTCAAACACTCCAGCATGGAGCCATGCGCATAAGCCTACACTGTACGCTGAAGTGTTGCGCAACAACCATCAACATGGTTCTATCACACTCGATTAGCAAGATTAGCATTAGAAAGCAGCCTGCTCTGAATGTAAAAGGGTGCAGAACAGGAGATGTGTGCTGGCATTTTAGCAATGAGTGGAAGCAAAGTAATTAATTGTCCTTGCCCAAGTGTATCCCCACGTCCAAGGGTACCCCCACGTCCAAGTGTACCCCCACGTCCAAGTGTATCCCCACGTCCAAGTGTATCCCCACGTCCAAGTGTATCCCCACGTCCAAGTGTACCTCCACGTCCAAGTGTACCCCCACGTCCAAGTGTACCCCCACGGCATGATGTTCTGGGCGTGTGCACCTGTACTCTACTTGAAGTACATGTACCAGTCATAAACACAAGTACGCGTTCACATGCATAATGAGTCACAGAGTCCCTCCCGCGCCCCCAGCTCATGCAGTGCGCAGTGTACTGTCCAACAGTAGAGACCAATCAAACAATTATTAAAAAGTAAGACTTCTGCCGTTTTGTGACAAAATAATTACGACAACACAAGGTTAATTAAAAGAACGGTTAAGTCTAATAAGGAATGGTCTTTGCTGGCTAAATGCTTTCCTGCATGGTTCCGCTCCTTACCCAGTGGCCTATCTGTCCGTCTGTCTGTCTGTATATCTGTCGGTCTGTCTGTCTGTCTGTCTGTCTGCCTGTTTGTCTGCCTGTCTATCTGTCTGTCTGTCTGCCTGCCTGTCTATCTGTCTGTCTGTCTGTCTATCTGTTTAGACATAGATGTATGTCTGTCTATTTGTCTACCTGTCTGAATTAGACATTTTGTGTGCCACTTGCCTGGATGTTTGACCCTGGCGTCATGTCTTTACTACATGTACCAGTCTATAATTATAGCATGTGCGTACTGAACGTTGGTATGTATATGTGTGCATATCTGTGTGTGCGTGCGTGTGTGTCCACTGTACCCTATGCAGTCACTAGCCTGAATGTGGACAGTGCGGACAGCTCCTCGTCTCCGTATCACTGGTGTCACTGCAACACGCTACAATGCAACGATTCGTTCCCCTACTGCAGGACAGCTGGCAAGTGCCAGATCAAGAGTCACATACACTCCATAGCATTCAAGGTGAGTGAGAATCAGCCACAACGTTACGTACGACTAAAAGTAGCAACAGGTGCAAGGCAAGGCAAATTATCTAAAGGCAGATTGTTCAACTTCCATAGCCAAACCAGACTGCAGGCGCAAAGCTCGTGTACAGTCAGGGTGGTCCGGTCACCACACCAGCAAAATGCCTTCATACGTTCTACAGCATAGACAAAATTGGCGAAGTGGCGACTGCGGCTGCTGATGGTACATGGTCACCACACTACCGATGTGCGAGCTACGCCCCGGGACTGCCCTTTGACAGGATAGGCATGAGTTCCCTGTGGAGAATCCTTGAAATAAAATTCCCATCTCCATGACAATGTCTTCACAATGGCCGACTTTGTGTGTACTACATGTGATGTGTACTTCATTCACTCACTGGACATTAAAATTAGCTTTTAATATTATCTCTTAATTTGCTAAATCCTATATAATTATAGGATTTTGGTCATATTTTTCAACTCAAAATGGGTGTGGCATGAGAATAGCAAAAAGTATGTGACCAATTCTTCCTTGCTAGATCTTAGTAGATATCGAGAGTTGAATAAAAAATTTTTTTCAAACACTAACATCCCAGGCTCATCTCCTTGCCCAATATTACTAAGGCCTGTGCCCTATTTTTCGAATCCTATCAAGAGTCCATAAACAAGAGTATGCAACTGTGATCTCTTTTCTATGGGCCAGATGTGCGGCGCGCTGCCTTCATTACATCATTCAGCTGTAGTCCGCGCACTGCGGAAAATCAAACACCGCACTTTCCCTCTGGTTTGAAATGAACTTTCGTACGGAACTGGAGTTCACGCGCCAGAATTCAGAGATCGCGTAGGTACTGGAACAAATCGAGCAAAAACGGATGGGCTCATACGAGAAATTGTGAGTTTGAATGCATGCTTTCAGAGCATGATGAAGGCAAGTTGCGTAATGAAGGCAGCGCGCCGCGCACTGGGCCATAACCACAGTTGCATACTCTTCTTTATGCACTCTTGATCCTATATATAGGATTTGAGATTTTATTGGACCTTGTTTTATCCTTAAAACTGGTAGTTTCATGACGGCATGTGCGATATGTCGTCATGAAACCACCCCGTGCCACACCTGCAATGTTCTTCTGCACATTCACTGCTTCAGTCCTTTCCATGACAGCAGCTGAACAATTATGCTCAAATTTCCAATTATTGCTGAAAATGGGTATTCATCAGAAATATTATCGCCCTATGAATCTAAAATGTAAACATTCATGCCTCAAACATATTTACAACTTCCATGAAAACCATTATGCCGTTATTATTGGTTGTGATGACTAACAACAACGGCATAAAAGGCACACATTTTCAAATCCTATATTATAGGATTTTTGGCCAGCAAATTAAGAGATAGTAAAGAAAAAATGACCAAGAAACTACAAGTTACGCTAAAAAATTCTCTCTTTATCAGCTCAATGCAATCTCATTGAGTGTTCTGTGGAGCACATCTCATGTCTTTCCCGTTTTCTCCATTTCTGTCTGCATCCAGCCCACACTACGATGTGTTGAACCGGCATACGTGAGCAGTCTTTGCAGTGAGAGAGACCCGTGCTGCACTGGCGATTGCTGCAATGATGATGCGCCATGTAGGACATGGCCACAATCCACAAGCATGCCGGGTAAGCTAACGGCACAAGGAATTTACAGGTAGTTGATCATCATACATCGCACGTGGGACACGTGATGTGAGTTTGTTTGCCCGTCGAAGACCCCATATGCAGAGTTGCGCACTCGTACCTTGAGAGCTTTAAAAATACTCCTGTTCTTATCATCAATGTGTACTGTAGCAATAGGAAATCCTAGGATGTATGTGGTATCAAGTACACTCGGACTCAAAATACCGCTCAGAAATTTCAAGTGCATAGAGGCTATGGTGCCCGGGCAAGGACCATGCTGTATTTCTATTTATACTGTACAAAGGAGCCTAACGAATACTTTTTTTGCATGTGACTTCGACCTGATTCTTGTTCCAGCTGCTCCCGTGAACACTCGCTCAGAGTACACATGCCACTGTAGCAAGTGCAGTAATCACGAGTGCAGGACGAAGCTGGGCTGCATCGTTAACGTCGACACCATGACCAACACGTCGGAGCAGGACTGCATACGAGGGTACTTCAACATCGCCACGCATTGCCGGCCGTCGTTCACCCGCAGCAACTCCACGACGTCGTCACGCGTCATCGGCAACGTACACTCGTACTGCTGCCATGGCAACAAGTGCAACGCCAGGCATCCCGACTTCAAGGATGGTAAGCAGTACGACTGTGTGTAGCTCTCGCAGAATTCTGACGATAGCATATAGGATAGAATAATTAGACCAGCTCATGGGCCATCCACTGATAAAACCGTAGTGGAGCATCTTACAGCCAATAGCATGCGTAGGTTTTGGGACCCAGACTTTGAGCAGTCATGAGCTTGTTGCGCATGGCCTTTGTCCATCTGTGTGGATATACTGGCATATAGCCTGATGACGTGGCACCTGGAGCAGCAGTGACTACAGGCACTGTTCAGAGCATATGATACTGCAGCACAGTTACAGTAGCATACCCATGCAAGGATCACCTGAACTGCTCATACTGCATGCAGGTCATTTGCCAACAGTGTAGCTACACCATACTTCATACCTGACGGAAAGCAGCTTTTACTGGATGGAAAAATTCCTCCGGAGGAGCTCTCTTTATGAAGTTACGTATCTAATATTGACTGAGTACGAGGTCAATATAGGAAATAAAAGCCGAGTAAAAGACCGAGGCGAAGCCGAGGTCTTTTACGAGGTCTTTTATTTCCTATACTGACCAAGTACGAAGTCAATATTAGATTTATCACAACTGACCAAAGCATGTGTTCAATCTCTAAAAAGGAGTCAAATATAAGCGGTCAATATAGCCCTAAGGAGTGAAATATGCAGGAATATTTGACCGCTTAGGTATGGCAAAAATCTATGTGAGTCAATACTAAGGGAGTGATAAGAGTGTAATTATTCTCCGGCATTATTTTCTGCACGCTTGTTCAGAATGTGGACTTGTAAAGAACCTGACAATATCTCCTCTGATTCTACCTCTCATCTTTCTGCAGTGGTGGGGGACAAGACATTGTTCTGCTATTGCGAGAATGGTGGGTGCAATAACTTCGACACGCGCTGCATAACCAGTCTGCATGGCGGACAGTGCTATGCTGGACCGGAGGGCAAGTTCTGCATCAACCCGGACGAAACGGAGAAGCTCGCGAAGCTATGCGACGGAGGAAAGCACTGTTGCAACACAAGTCACTGCAATCAAGATGGTATGTCGTTATTCCAATTCACTCATCGCGTGCTCGATTTACAAAATATTAAAAGATATTGTGAAATACAATCATGATGTCATAGGCATGGCCAACTTTCTGTTGATTGCTCTGGCACGGAAGATTCTGACGTGTACCCTTAGGTATTGTATTCTGTCTGGCGTTAGGTTTACGAAGAGCATTACAGCCATGCTGCTATGCAGTACATGATGACAACATGCATGTAATCACAGCATCATGATTCACAATGACATCATCATAATATTCTAGTGATGTAATGCTGCCTACTTTCTCTTTGCTCCTGCGCAGTCTCGGACCAAATTACTACCGGGCCCCTCGACATGAAACCTGCCACGGTGACATCACAACCTGTGAAGACTACAAGCCAGCTGAACAATGGTGATGATGATACCGATGACAATGGTGACGTCAGTGGTGGAACAGGTGGAAAGAACATTGACCAGAAGCAGGCAGTCAATGTGCTGTACATATGCGCAGCAATAGCCGGCGTGCTACTGGTGGGTCTTGTTGTCATGGTAGTGATCATGGTAAGAGCAAGGCGACGGCATGCAAGCAAGAGCAGTAGCACGAACAACTCCAGTGCCAGACCGGGCCGTGCACACCCAGTGACCACCACCAAATACCATCAAACAAGGTGCATGGACGCGACGCTAAACGCCGCGTCCTCCTGTCAGCCGCCGGCCTGGTCACCGGAAATGGAGCCGGGTCGTGAGGCAAGTCCTGCGGCTTTAAGTGGTGCGGACGCCGGTGTGGAGCACTGCACACCGGTGTCGGAACGTAAGCCCAGCACACTGCCAATGATCAGCACGTCCAGTTCCTCTATATCCGTACAGTCATCAGTGAACACGTCGCCAAGCCTGCTGACATCATCGTGCCAGTCAAGTATGAATAGCGAGAGGGCGGAAGGTCAAGATCCATCGACGGTGTCCATAGCAGATAGTAATTGCCCCACTGCAGGCAGACACAGTCCCCTGGCATCAGAGCTATGACAGCTACACGGCAGCACTGCAGGACTTCTAGGTTAGCAAAAGAATTTCCAATCAAAAATCAATCTGTTTTCAGTTTTCAGCTTGATTCTCACAGTATTTAGACAAATCTGACATAGTTGAGACTTGAGCATGGATATCAATCTGCTGAACTGTATTATACGTGCTAGAATTGCACCGTAGCTGTCCTATTCTGTGTGCCATGCCAAGACAGCCATTGCTAGCTTTATGGTGGGTGTCCGATCAGGTCTTACTAAAATGTGCCACATGCAACATAACACTGATGCTGCACGGCCTACTCTGTTCTGCTGCACATCCGGGCAAGCCACCTTGTATTGCTCCACAGCAAAGCTTGAACATATAATTATTATTCTATCCTCTATGCCTGAGCCGTACTTTCTGCACATAGTGAAACCCTGACTGAAAGGAACATTGCAGTATTAATTTTGCACCTATAGCTTCACGCTGTTTGACCCACTGAGCAGTTGATTTACAACTTCACGCTATTTGACCCCAGCAGTTGATTCCCATTTTCTTCCTTTTTTGAGTATTCAGCCACCAATGCTGATGAGAATTATTGACTATTATAATCAACTGGCTTTCCCCGTCAAGCCAACCTGGCCACACGACCGGACACATCAACAGCAAAGTGACTTCAGCTCGGTAGTGTTGAGGCAAGCATGCATGGAGAACTAGCATGACTCTGCAGACGGCAAGTCAAGATGTGACAAAACAATGCATTACGTCAGCTGAAGTTAACTTTCAGTTAAAATGCACAGAACGTTGACAATGATCATGGTAAGGGAGTGAGTAGATCAAGATAGAAAATTAATTATCTGCTAGATATCTGAGTAAGTGTGCACATTTGTTTGCAGCAACGACATCCTACTCTGAGGAAGCCATCGCCCAAATGTGACTATGCAGACGAGAAATACATGTAGGACGGATTTCTCCGGGAAGTGGGACAGGGTGCAGACTGTCAAATGAAGAGAATACAACTGAGTGCGATAAATGAGGACTTCGGAATGCGAGAGTGTGAGAATACGAAACATAACAGCAGTGGTTGACATCGGAAGAAGGGGAGGGTGTGCGGTGGGAAAGATAAATTGATGATTGGAAAAAAGATTGTTGTCTGCTTGTCCATCTCTTTCCAAGGCGTAACATAATATTTGAATGTCAGCCATTGACACGTTCATAGCATAAGATATAGTCTGAAATATACGGTAATTCGGTACTAGAAAGTAGACATGTACATGTCTGAAACAGCCACTCCGGGTGGATTCGCAACATTTAAGGTGTCCGCGAAAAGCTTCATACTGCTGCGATCTGTGAAGTACTGGTAGTCTGTGCCGACACCATGGCGCACATCACACACATGTACATGTATGGTTGGGGGGGAGGGGGAGAGGCCGTGTGGTGTGTTAGTGCGCAACTGGTTAGCCCAAGGGCCGGCCACATTTCGACATCACGGGGGGGGGGGGGGGTAGGTGGGAAGGAAGGAGAGGATTAAGATAAGAAAGGAATAATTATAAGTGAACATAAGAAGGGCATCTGCGCCTTTGATCCTAGGGGGTGGTGGCGTTCCCACGGCGAATGCGGAAAACTCGGCTTCCAGCCGAGTCTCACGCGAACCGTGAAATTTATTTATTTCATAAGAAGGGAAGAGGAAAATAAAGGGTACTGGACCTGAAATGGGTGTATTGGTATAGAACTGGGGGGGGGGGGGTGATATGCTGCGCTTACAGGCAATGATTCTCACATGCTGTCCTCAGGGCTAGAATAGCATAGAGTACTGCAGTCTTCATCTGATGATGTGTCCTGCGCAAACAAAAGATCTACTCTGCTGTCAACACCATTGTGCTGCAGCTCGTTGTCAGGACTGTCTGAGGAGCCAAGCTCGTGCGCATTATCAGCCTTGAGAGTTCTGTCTGACTCATCATGAAGGCTCACGGACCCCGTGTCTGCTTCCCTAGCTTCTGCCTCATTTTCTTCATTACTATCAGCGCCATTGTCGCTATCAAAGGTGCAAGGGTAAAGGTCTGTGCTATCATCCATGTCACTGACAAACAATGAAGGTGGTCTGGAGCCACTACCCCTACCACCAACACCATCAATGCTGGTATTCTCAGTGGGGCTACAGAAGGAAGGAGGTGAAGTGCTGTTGCTGAAGATGTCCCTGCCGACGGCTGCATCAATAGGTTCATCTTGGCATGTCGACAGGCTGTGATGCTGATGCATGAGCAAATCAGCTATCAGTGACGAACACTCTGCACCACCGTGACACTCCTGCTGCTGTTGTGGCCTACTCGACCATGCTCTGCCATCAGGAATTCCCTTAGTTACTCTGTCGTTGAGAATTCCTTTAGTTCTCCTTTGGAGACCCCGGCGCACTGTTGACAGCATGACTGCATACAGAACCATGCAAGCGACTGCTAGCAGAAGTAGAGCCGCACCGGCAATGGCTAGTATTGCGAGATCGTCTGTGTGCCCTGTCCAGCCATCCAAGGAAATAATGAAAGACAATGGGGAAATGCTTGCTGTATTTAAAGTGACCTTCCAGTCTGAAAACTAAATTTTAAAAGTTTGTTCGAGCATGGGATAGACTGAGTGGCATGTGAAGAGTATTCTCCTTTGATCACGAAGGTAGGATGAAAAAATCCCTGTTCGCGTGAGACTCAGTCAGGCCAAGTTTTCTGCATCTATAGGAGTGCCATCACCCTCGAGGACCAAGGCGCAGTCGCAGCTTCTGAAGCCCTGAGCGGTGCCGAAATGCCATTGGCAAAATTTGTCTTAAGCCACACCTGTTTCATTCTGAAAATATGTGGCCAATTTGGAACTTGAAGAAGTTGCATATACATGTACATGTACATGTGTGAGATGCACTGCAGCACAATTCCTAGAATCTTTCCGTGGTAGCTCTTTACTAACTATGCTTGCCATTTTTTCATAACTTTTGGCTGCTTGGAGAAAATCTCAAATTCCAGAATTTTGTTAGAGCTGTGAAGAATATGAAGGTTTCAGACATCACCATGTATAATTTCTTTGCCAGATTCATGGTTTCAGCTGTGCATGCAGCTTTCGCCTTTTTTAGTGACTTTGTATTGAGTTTTCACTTACATTCTCCCATATCCTTTGCCACAATGCATGTTTGTAGTAAGTGGGTGTCAACATACCAAGCAGACCATCTGGTAAAAGGAGAGAGATCGCTCTCGCGCGCCTTCGCTCTCCTTATTTTCTTTTAGGGCGCACTTTTCGTCGCGCGCCTTGAGAATTTCGAGCGCATCCGCATCACTATGAAGTTCTGAAAACACTCAATTATTTCGTAACTCGGCTTTCCCTGAACGGAATCGAGGAATCGAAAGATCTATACGCATTAGAAAGTTCTCAGCTGTCGGCTCCAACAAATCGGAAGTCGATCCGAGGTCCAATAGTGGAGTTACGGCACTCGCAAGGTATTTTACGTACCGTTGCAAATTTTCACTTCCGCAATTGGGTGGCAATTATAGTATCTTGAAGGATTTCCCTCTGTTGCGTGACAGTCCGGGCATGCATAGACCTGTGTACGTGTGACGCTAGGCACAGGTCTTTAGCCGTCAGCTACAGAACAAAGCCTCAAACTAAAGGAGCGCTCTACGATGAATACTACAAAATACCATGGATCTTACTTCTTAGCGAATTGTCTCAATTTCCCATTGCGTGTATCATTGTCCCTGATGAATGGAAACTAACGTTGTGGTCCGAACAGCTTTCATTTGTAGTGCGTACGGCGATTTTCCAGAACGAATTTGGCAGCTATTGGGTATTGAATCCGATTGGGGTATGGCAAGATGTTGAAAAAACCCGTATTGTGCTCGCCTTGGATAGATAAGGCGAGCGACTTTTTTTGGGGGGGGGGGGGGGGGGAGGAGGGTGGTGGGGACTGCTCTCCCACCACTCTCCTTGAGAGGATAGCGAGAGTGATTGTTCACTCTCCTGGATTTTTCTTACACGAAGGTCTGCCAAGCGTAACTTAAGTGACCCAGGTTCTAGACTGGGTGCCACTTTAAATTCTGACATGCACACTCTTGCTCGAGCACTAGTATCCATGAATCCAGAACATCTATGAAAAAAATTATGAAGCTAAGCTTACCACTGACTGCGGCTGACAGCAAATCCGTGGTTATGTTGGTACTTCTGTTGCTCCTTGATACCGGTACTGCATCTGCACCTGCCACCGCTGTTGTATCTGCTGAATTGAGGTGCCGGGCGACAGGCACCGGGTCGTCGGGAGTGGCGGCAGTGGCTGCATGGAACATAGAGGTTGCACGGCTGAGGTCATTGCATTTGCTGTGTATGTACTACAGTCATGAAGTGGGACCCAGAGCTGGTTTTGAATTGAATAGCAAAATTGCTGGTTTGTAGTGGGTCGAAAAATATGCATATAGTGTTAGTTTAGAGTGGCAAAGCAACACTAGCACGCTACTGCAAAACTGCTTTGGGCTTTTGCAAGGAAATTGTTCCTGCCCCCCCCCCCTCCAACAAACAACAATGATCATGATCATGTTCTACACCCTTGGAGAAGAACCCAACTGTGTTTCTGCTGACTACTTAGTTAGATTTGTAAGACAAGTCAAACATTGAACCATGGATTCTCTTTCATGGTCACGCTTTATCCCTGGCATTCATGGCGGCAAAGGCAAAAAATAATGGTCAACACATGAATACAATTCTCCCTTCAGCCAGTCCGCTAATGTAGAATGTACATGTAGGCTACCATGAAAATCTCGCTTTCTTCAACCTCTACCTTTTGGTTTCCAGTGATCTCATTTGCGTTCCTCCCTTTTTGTTGCCGTTGTATACTTTTGCGACTAGGGACACAATGTCACCACCAGTTACTTTAGCTCTTTAAACTTAGTACATGTAAGCGTTATTGTATTTTTTCATGTACAGTCAACTCTTGATAAAACGAACACCATTGTGCAGGAGAATTAGTTCTTTAAAGCCGAACGATTCGTTATAACAGAAATCCACTCACACCACGCAAACAACACGTCATGACGGATAAGTAGCCCACGACTATATGTGTGCACTTGGTTACCATGTGGTCATACAGATAATGAGTCGTTAGAAACGAAAACAGTTACAAAGGGGAAATTTTGTACTGGTTCAAACAGGAACATGGGCAATGGTGCGCTGTATCGCGGAATTCGCTATATGCAAGTTTGTCATTGGTGGAGTCGATAGTATAGGGTGAATGTATGAGGCGCAAACAGATGCCTATCTTAGAAGTATCTTATGTCACTGCATTACCTGCTATTGTCGCAGAGCCGGCATTTCGTTTCTTCCGCACAATTGCCAAGCACATGATGAGTGTCCTTAGCCATTTCGTCGAGGGACTGCTGGACGTGCATGCACGTACACACACACACACACACACACACACACACACACACACACACACACACACACACACACACACACACACACACACACACACATACACACAAACACACATGCATTGCATGCTGATAATTAATTTGGTACCCGTTGGATAGTAAATTTGTAACCAAAAACCCATACCTCCTTGTTCTAGGTATTGCTTTTCTACGAGCTACCCTTCTTTAAAAAGAAAAGTAGCTGGTTCTTCTTCAGCTTACTGACATCTCAACTCCACTTGAATGTGCATGGATTCGTGTGGGTGAAGCTTCCTGCCGAGCTGAATTGTTGGACAGATGGCGAGTGAGTAATCTAGTGAGAAATGCTTCTACTGTACCAATACGGCATGGTTGCAATCTGGAAGTCAATGTTTTTCATTGCCTGATAGTGGCATACTTAAAAAAATTTTTGTCGGAACGAATACAACCTGAGGCAGAGATCGCTGAACCCAGCAGTGAGATACTTTCGATGACGGTATCGATATGTTTCCATTCCTGGGCCACAATCCCTTTTTATTTTTTTACTTTGCAAAGTCAAATGGGATCATAGACCAGTACTGTGATAGCGAAGGGTGGAGGGAGAGAGAGGGTTGATGACATTGTACCACTGTACGTCGTGATAGAATAATGTCAACACAGAGGGATAGAGATGATCCCTCCCCCACTATTATGGTTTATTTTTATTTTCGTAAGCCCTTTACGGCTTTAACCCATTTAGCGCTAGACGTATATATTATACTTCAATGAAAATGACGCCCAGGCGCTGAGGACGTATACATATACGTCTTTTTCAATGACTGAAAGTAGGCAAGGTGTGTCACTGTTGTGTCAACATTACAACACAGAATTGCGGCAGCCATGGGAAACAACAGGTTTGAGGTGTCCTCGTTGGTCTTTCGATGATGAACTGGACGGTGCTCACACCAACTCTTTCAAGAGAAGATTGCAATCGTTGCTGGGTTGCTTGATTGTATTTTAGATAAAGGTATAGTTTAGGGTCCCAAATTATTTTAGTGGGTCAGCATGCTCTACAGAGTCCCAGGCATGCACATTACACACACAAGACATGCATAGTACAAACAGGGCATGCGCAATGCACTCGAGGTCAACAAGGTCAATGCACTGGAGCCAGTCGAGGTTAACACGACAGCAGCTAGAGTTAAATGGAAACTCACCAAATGTTGTTGCCGGTAAGTGCAAGCACAACTCCTTTAGTTTAGGATATTGGTCTCTTCGCAGATTCTGCTTCCCATTTTCTCCTTCCTTGTCCGCCAATGTTTATTAGCGATGGCTGGGCGTCCTCCTGCACCAAGACGCATCGTCCCTCACGGAGACGTCTTGCATGACACTCACATATTACAAGAAATGTGGACGGTGTTCACATTGGTTCCTATTTTCAACCAGCCAAAGCTTGAACAGTTGAAATTTCTTGCTGCACGCAAATGCATTCGCAATGAAGTGTTTTGCGTAACTTGTGGAGACGGGTGTGGCCTTACCTAGAGGCAGGAAAGTTGCGATGGGTATTGTTGGAGGTGCCGGGAATGCAACTTTTTCAAGAGCATTCGCACTGGATCATTCTTCGAGCGGAGCCATTTGTCATTGAAGGAGATTTGCTTCACGTCCTACTGGTGGGCCCACGATACACCGCAATGCATCGTGATGCATGAGCTTGGGTTGTCGAAGGTAACCGTCATCGACTGGTTTAATTTTCACCGCGACCTTGCCGTCAACGACATCCTGAACAACCCCCCCTCAGCTTGGAGGCATCGATGCGGAAGGGCAACCCATCATCGTCGAAATCGACGAAAGCAAGTACTTTCATAGAAAGTATCATCGTGGCGCCTGGCACGAAGGCCATTGGGTGTTCGGGGCCATCGAACGTGAGTCGGGATGCTGCATGATGAAGGTATGTACATGTATCTCGTCTTGGTTTCATAATTATGTTGACACGTTCAGTCTTGCAACGTGAAGTTCCTCTTCCGGAAATTGAATGAGGGATTGAAAAGGGAAATATGCGACGAAAAAATTGAGTGCCACGACCGGGATTCGAACTGAGGGCCTTCGCCTTTGGCCAGGGATGCTCTAGCCGCTAAGCTATGGTGTACTGTAGTCTTCATCCAGGCGAAGACAGTTCAACCCTTCCATCAGTCGTCTATTATCATTGTAACTGTTATGTTCTTCTTCGTACAGGAAGTACCGGATAGACGAGCTGAAACATTGGTCGCTCTCATCCGGGAATGGATTCTGCCAGGGACTAGGATAATTTCGGGTGGCTGGGCAGCCTATGCGCAGCTTGCCCATATCGACAATGGTGTACACATCCACGACGTCATTGTCCACGACGACCACTTCGTCGATCCAACGGATGCCACAGTCCATACCAACAATGTTGTTGTGAACCCTCTGGTTCTCTAAAGTGTCAGGAACGAACGACCCCACACGGCACGAGGACAACTATTTATTCTCAACAGTATATTTCACTTTCATCGACTAACAACAATGAACAATGAATGACTGAATGAACAACTGAATAACTAACACTAAAACCACCAGGTAGTTATAGCGTGAAAATGACAGCGTATATGAGAAAAGCATACACATACAACATACAACTACAGCGCACACAGCAAACCGCACATAGCGCATGTAGCGTATACTACGTCGTAATCATCAGCGGTACGGCGGAGTCGGGATACAACTGCATTGACACGAACACAATGTCACAAGGGAGAAGGCCTTTCACTCTCGAGAACTTGTGGTTTCACAACAAACGTGGAGAATATGTGGATGCGCGCCAAGCGCACGCTGAAGAAAAGCTTCGGGACATCAAGGGGCCTGTTTCTGACTTACCTTTCCGAGTTTGTGTGGCGTCAGAGAGTTCGAGGTGATGGCAACACCTTCGGCAGCCTCTTGGTCACCATTCACCAGCAGTATAACATGTAAGCTGTTGGCTAGTGCCCGATGTCTTCATGCCAATCATGGAAAACGAGTTGTGGCTGAGCTCTGCATGCTCCCAATTATTATGACCTTGTTGATCTCGACTGTCTGGTGCATGACTTGTTTGCACTGCGCATGCCCTGTTTGTACTATGCATGTCTCGTGTGTGTAATGTGCATGCCTGGCGCTCTGTAGAGCATGCTGGCCCACTAAAATAATTTGGGACCCTAAACTATACCTTTACCCAGGTTTGAGGTGTCCTCGTCGGTCTTTCGATGATCAACTGGACGGTGCTCACACCAACTCTTTCAAGAGAAGATTGGAATCGTTGCTGGGTTGATTGCTTGTATGTTTTACTTCGGGCAAAGGATGTCCAGTGACGTGAAGGGAATAGAGGAATGGTAAGTTTAGTAGAGTAGGCGAGAGCACAATGCTCCATAGGGCCCGACACGTATGTTAAATCAAACGTTCATTTCGCAAAGCAACAACCTTCGTCTCTCTTCTTCTGTGTCTCCACATGCCCGCCTACTTCTGAACTCATTTGCTTCCTTTCCTTTGGATCGCTACAGTCCTTTTGGCCTGCGAATCCGACTAAACAACATAATGATCACACTCTCACCTGTTTCGCTCATCCTTGGCTGTGTCTGGCTTCAACAATCCATGATCAAGAGCATGCTGTTCGACTCTCCAGCGAATGAAATCGGCTCGGACTATCCTACTGTACACGAGTGAGAAGGAGAAGACCAACCACCCCAAAGTAAGGACCTCAAACAATACAAAAACCAGGCATCTACCCTTCATCTGGCTATTCAGATGAGGGGATTCTTTTCATGTCATGCAATACCCTTCATTTTCATTGCCAACGAGGCCTACAATTACGTAAGACGAGGCGGATACTTTGAAATCTGAAGGTAATGCCGAAGCCGCGGGTATAATAAATTATTAGAATCCCAAACTAAGGCAAAGGCAACTACTGGTATTTTGGCAAAGAGAGCTGACGTGGCCCAAGGCCTATGGCTACATTTATAGGGTTATGTACTCTTGATGTTATCTGGTTATGGGGTTATGTACTCTTGGTATGGATGGTACAATGGTACATGGGGTGTGGGTGGGATAACTGGGGTTCAGTGCAAAGTTCAAAGTACAAGGCACTAGTGCGTACTTGACCACGTGGAGGTCAAACACGTGCACACGTGTGCACTGCGACCAGGCCAGGGCACATCATATCTGGTAGCTTTGTAGTGATAGATGCTTAATTAATAACTTATAAATTGAATTCATATTTCGTGGGGACAATGCACCAGTTTCTTGTCGTCAGAGAGTATGATCTATCAGTATGACACGATGTACATGTAGATCTACAGTCATGTAAACCTTGTTTGATAGTCTGCCGTGGATGATAATTGGCAGAATCACAGCAGACGTCACACATCACTCATGATAACATTGATAATACATACTGTAGTAACATAGAACCTGCCTCAGTATTGGCCAGCTTTGGAATGTTTGTATAGCTCAAGTGGGAAATTTCACGAAGCCGGCTATAATAGGACTGATGACGTTCTTGCTGTGGGAGCAAATACGAAGAAGCAAAATAACAATACCGGTAGCAATGCGTTGACTGTAATCTCTGTTGTATTGGCGCTGTTAGTTGTGATTGAATGCCTAAGAAGTGATAGAGTTATGATCCTCAGGCATAGGGTTTGAGTAATTAAAATAATTATGATGTCGAAGAAATGATAGGATTGTGACGGGGCCTGCTGATAAAATAATAATATGTGCGTACTCAACATTAGCGGACTACTCGAGGTTTACAGATAATGCTCCCGTGTGTGTTAGCGCGTGTGCATCAACTTTTTTAGCGTGACATTCTCAAGCAGTATCATGTAATTTTAAACTGCATCCACACGTGCACATGCACATTTGTACATGTGCACACACGCACGCACACACGCACGCATGCATGCACGCATGCATGCACACACACACACACACACACACACACACACACACACACACACACACACACACACACACACACACACACACACACACACACACATACATATACATACACACACACACACACACATACATGCACACACACACACACACACACACACACACACACACACACACACACACACGCACACACATACACACACACATACACGCACACATACACACATGCATAGTGCTATACGTCCAGCGGCATTGTTGAATTCCAGCAATGTGGCACAGCCACAGCCGTTTTAGCCTATACATGCTAGAGCTATCACTTAGTACATAATCCACACAACCATTTGTGGTTGTCAGTCCGACGGGATTCACGAATCAGAAGTGAAGTTCCTCTGGTACTTCTTGGTACACTGGAAGTAGTATTGGGATGGCGTTGTCATCCTCAGGATTTTCTCCATCAGTCTCAACTTCATGGCTAAACGTTCTGCTTCTCTGTCGGCTGGAAAACTCATCACAGCTGGGTGTCACACTGCGATAGGCTGGATTTGGTGTGGCAGCATTTGGCGAGAAGGATTGTGACCGGCTCCGGGCGCCACTGGCGGCCGTTAAATCCTCTCCTGCTCTGGAACAGATTGTCAGGTTAGACTGCCTACGGCTCAGTGAGTTCGGCATAGCTCCTCGCATTGACGGTGTTGGTGTAACCAGCAGGCTGGCATTCAGTGCCTGCTCGTCAATCATCCTCTCCGGTAGCCGGCGCATTTTCGATCTGAGTTTCTGTGACATGGAGGTGCGGCGCTTTGGTGGTGCTGTGGTCCATGCTTTACCGCCAGTGGTGGAACTCGCGCCGACCTGCTCATCAAACGTAACATTGGGTCTTTTAAATTCACTCAATGTCACTACTTTCTCATTTGCTTTTAGCTTTCCATACATTGCCTCCACTTCGTCGTATATAGCTGATTCGGGCTCATAAGGCTGATGGCCCGCTCTCTGTTTAGATTCAGTATCATCGGCACTTGGAACCGACTCCTGAGATATTGTGCCAGCAACAGGATTGCTCCCAGCCATGTCGATGGCACTGGGGAAATCCGAAGCTTCATGCGCAGGCTCTGTGACCACGGTCCAATCGGGTAGGTGTTCCACACTGGTCTCGTAGCTCACCTGCTGCGCAGGCAGTTCGTTAGACTCGCAGTACGGTTCCGACGAGACATTGGAGGTGGTGTCATGCTCATCCCAGCCGGCCGCTGTCACATCCTGCTTGCTGATTCTGCTCGGTGTGAAGCAGCCAGACCAGCGACCTGCCATACCGGCCCTGGTGGCTGTAGATATGCCGGAGACAGTCGCAGTAGTGTCCCTGCGAGCTGTGCGAGGAGACGCAGCAGCGACGGTGGCTGTATGATTCTCCCCACCGGTGCGAGCGCCGTGCTTGCTCCAGCCGTGAGTCATGGAGGCAGGTGACTGTGTATGCGGTCTGGATGGTGCCTCGTAACATAGTTGTCTTGGTGCTGTGCCCAGCTCTGACAGGTCGGTAAATCCTGCATGCTTCTCTATGGGGTCACACAAGTAATCGTCAGCATCATCAGACTTGACGTGCTTGGGGTCATCCTGCTTTGCCACATTGCCGGTGCTTCTTGATTTAGGTGTGCTGGCCTTAGGGCGTTTGTAACGGGGCATCGTCCTCTTGCCGTCTATTGCCGCCAAAGGCTGCTCGGAAGTCTGCTCTCTCATGTTCTGGCCGGAGACCTGGTTCCCGATACGAAAATGAGACCGCACAGACCAGCTATTATGGTCTGCCTCAGTGTCTGCGTTGTGGCTTTTCCTGTACTGATGGATGAAGAAAACCGTGCATGCCACTACAAACACCGGACCGCCAGCATAGGCAATCAGTAGCAGATTCTTCTGAGCTGCAAGCATTAACACAACCAACACAAGAGGAAACAGTCATGTCTGAGACATTTTTTACTAGTCTACCTTTCAGCACTTTTAAGAACCTGCTCCCCTTCCAAACAACATGTACATTCCAGGCGCGTGACCCGTATGGGTTCCTGGGTGCCCGGAACCCCCTTTTTCGCTCAAAATGCAGGATTTTGCTGATTTTGCTTCATTTTTTGAAAATTGCCCGGGGAGGCCCCCCGGACCCCCCCCCCCCCCCCTTGAAGGGCACTGGCGCACGCGCCTGCATTCTCAAATTTCTTTTTGTGCTTCATTACTGTGGTTGGCCTTCACCTTCTCACCTTGCTGTTTAGCAATTTCATTCTATAGGATGCGGAATAAAGTGGTGCTGATTCCATTACCCTTTAGGGCCCGGTCACACATGCACTGGGATTCGCTTCGGCGACGAGGTTCGGCGGCAGTGAGCCTGGTGTCGCTCCAGCGAAACCACGTGTGTATGGTCACACATACAAACAGGGCACAACTCCTACTTTGGCGGAAAGTGAGATTGTGGTGCATACGGTACGGAGAATAGACGAGGTCAATGACTATCTTGCACGCATTTTTGTTGCATGGACATCATACGCATACAAATTTCTCGTAGCAAGTCCATATACAGCAGACCGTGGTGTTTTCCGCTGAAGAGAATCCGCAGAAGCGACAGTCTCGCTTCGAAAATTTTGGAGGAAGCGGATTGGAGTTTCCGCTGAAGCGGAAGTTCCGCTTTTCGCCGTTGCCATGCCATTTTTCGCTCCTGCGACCTCGCTTCAGCGTATACGCTACTTTCGAGCGCATGTGTGACCGGGCCCTTAACATGTGTGAAGTTCAAGCGTGATTTCTTTGAATAGACCATCCTGTCACTCCAGTATCAAGCAAGAATGACCAAGCTATGGCTTTGGATATTCCATGTATAGTAAAGCCTGCCCCTCGAATAAGGCGACCACCTGTCCCAGAAGACCACCGCAACCAGGACCAAGGTTTGCTGTTTCCAGTCAAAAGACCCTGGATAAGAAGACCACCTGACAACAGAGACCACATTGTGAAGGTCCCTTGAGTGGTCGTCTGAGATAGGTTTCACTATAATTATGCTGCTTACCGTAGCTACCATAGCACTTGAGTCATGGACAGAACCCACTAGCTTACGCTGTACCTGCCTACACTGCCCTCACATGATTGGACTCCATCGAACAGCAGTGTATATCAATGCAGATGCAGTGTGTGACCGGCTGATTGGCCACTCTAAGCACAGATCAAACCATAATATCTACACATGTACAGCGTGACATACGATAATTGGCCTCTAAGCGCATGTCAAACCATGCCACTGCGTGTGCAGTATGTAGCCTGCTGACCAGCCTCTGAACACAAGTCAAGCCACATCATTTGGTGCTGTGACCAGGATCCCAACGTCTGTGTTCTCTGCTTGACCTGGTTGTTACAGATGCCACCCAAACGGAACAACCCCCCACCCCCCCCCCCCCCCACGGATAACCTACGTGAGCTGCACGAGGCGCTCGGGCAGTCGGCCGCAGCTCTTGAGGCCATGCGGCAGTTTAATTCAGCACGGGTGATCCGCCGCTTGCAGCAAGGGCTTACTCAGCTGCATTCAGCGATCAGGTCCCTCAATGCGGCAGTAGAGCCATCGCAAAGCCAATCGCCAGGGCCTCACCGGCAGAGGGATGGTGCTCGGTCCCCGGGGCCCTCTCCCAAACGGCCATGCCGTGGGGAAGAGGGGGTCCCCAGGACCGGTCGAACCAACAGCGCAGAGCGTCCACGCTCAGTGTTGGCGGCGACAACGTCGGGGCGGCCGCATGCCAAACCGGCCCAGCATCCCAGTAAGGACCAGCATATGAAGGCCACCGTGGCCGCAGCGGGAGAGGCAGCCCCAAAGCCGCCTCCTCCTGCTGTCGCGGCGGAGCGCGAAGAGCAGCTGAGAAGGAGGGAAACTGAACTGGCGACGGCCAAGGCTGAAGCCTTGGTCGAGGCAAACATGAAAGCGGCGGAGGAAACAATGATGGAGGATTAATTCTCACTATTTCATCATCATAAGCCCGATACAAGTGATATGCTGTATTCGGCTGATGACAATGGTGTTCGCACCAAAACCTGTGGTGGATTGGACTTGCATCCTGCATCTCCAGTTGACTTACCGATTGTATCCTTCGCGGAGCCTGGTGGATGACACGTCCGGAACTGGCACCGTCGCAGTATCTCACCGACTACCATATCGGTCGAGGATAATCACGAGGACGTGATTCTTCAACGGCGGGGAAATGTCACGTCTCTGAACGTGACGACTGCTGCCTGATAGTCCTGTGACAGCAGGATCTACGTAGTGAGCAGCTCTGTGCTGGGCTGTCACGCCATTTTAGTACAACGTGGTTTGGCCAGTGTCTTGTCCCACGTGCTTAGCATGTAGGTTGAGCGATACGCGCTTTCCCACGTAGGTGACATGCCTTCTTGGCATGACACATCATGTGATCCAAGGCCGGAACCTGGTCAGGTAGGTTCTCGCGTTGTACGTTTCCTGGAAGTGCTTCATTTCCTGGAAATGTGACTCCAGGCTTTGTGCAAAACCACGTCAATACGACGTTCTACAGGTTTCCACGATGCCTCGGTGCTTTGTGCAAAGAGCCAAGACTAACCAACCGAGCTAAGTGCAAAGAGCGCAGAGCCAAGACGTGTGCAAGAACCAAAACCGTCACCGCAGTGACCGCACGAGAGGTCAGAGTATCAAGCAAGCAAGACCAAGAATGCAGCAGAACTTACCATAAGAAGCCGCTGAACTATGGCACGTTGGGTGAGCGGGCTCCCCAACGTGATCCTCATATACTCACATTGTACTCTGACGTGGGTGAGCGGGCTTCCCAAGTCCCAATTTGGTCTTTCTTTTCTCGATGTCTTTCGTTCTCTTTCCTCTCGAATGATCACCGTACGTAAATTCTGCATTTCTGCTGACTGGCTGCGCACATTCCGGTTTGACTTGTTCTGCTATTTCCTGGAATTACCTCGCAATGATCACGCCATATATCTCTGAAGCACCCTATAAAAGAAGCTCTCATTCTCTCTTTTACTTCAGTCTAGTCTAGTCTAGCAGTCGAGACTCGGTCTCAGCTCTCTGTCTTCATTTACTTTGAGCTCGGATTTAATACTACTCACAACGTAAAACTAACAGTCTTTGTCTGTTGATCATGTGGGGTTGAACTTGGACCAAGCCAGCTAGGCCCCTGGGTTGTGTTGGGCTTGTCGTGAGGCCACACGTCTATATTCAGTCGCCGCTCGTAGAGATTTCGGGGTCCGGTCACTGTGAGCCAGGGATGCGAAAAATGCACTCAGGGCATGACACAGGCTCAGGTGAAACCGTAATCAATGTGCATACAGTGTGACACCCGCTTACCAGGCCCTGAGCATGGGGGTGGCCTCTCTTTACAGTGGTCACCTAGAACACAAGGGGCCTGCAGCTTATACACACAGATATGCTCATGGCTTACTGGAAGCTTCGTCTCGATTCTCGGTGACAAGAGTATCATTCGGGCTAGAAGTGCTTGACATGGACATTGAGGCTGTTTGTGAAGAAATCGCACCGGACGTTGTTTGGGTGGCTGCTGTAGCTGTTGTTGGACTAGTGGCAGGTGACGGATCAGGCACTGCAGTGATAATGGCAAGATCAAGAAGTGAATAGAAGAAGCTCAGTCAAAGATATGCGTCAGAAGGACTATTTTCTTCCTTTATTAAAATGTTGCATATACATATAGGGGCTTTTCAACTGACGAACACATTATTTAGTTGCTATTCACTCATGTGCAAGTACATACTGTAAAGGAAAAGGACAAAATGTTACGAGTTATGACAAATTTTGTCCTTTTCCTTTCTTCATCATAACTATATTGGCTCACCATCCGAGTTCAAACATACTGTAAAATCGGAAATTTTCGATGGAGATTTGTTTTCGGCAACTTCGGTACACATAATTTTTACCTAACATAAAACGCGACCAAAATTCAACAATGCCAAGCCACACAGTGTGCAAAATGTATTTTTAGATCTGGAAAACTGGTTTATATGACGGCTTTGAGCAGCAAAGCCAAGTTAGCCCACGCATGCACGTGTTTTGTCACGGTTCGTCACGCAGCACATGAATAAAAATATTTTTTCCGAAAATGGTGGATGAAAAAATAAATCTTGCGTGGCCGCTTTGCCCTGCCTCGTGTCAGCAAAGCAACTTCCTTGTCAACAATTTCTGTCATCCAGTTAGCCAAAGTGACTCAAGGTTGTGTTTTCTGGTTTTCTTCTTTGTCTCTCCGCCAAGCTGTACAAGAGTATTAGTTGTGCTAGTCTGCGTAGACAAGCGCTGACTCGTGTGAGCTGGAAGCGCTTGAAAATTCACAACTTCAAACAGCGATCGATCGCGCTTGGTTGAAATATTTATTTGTTGCGTGGGCAGATAGAGTAGCTCATGGTCGCAGTAGTGAATTTCCTGGAGTTCACGAGGCCAAGCAAGAACTACTCGAAGCAGAGGACCAGTTATTTAGGCCTCGACATGGCGAGTGGCGTTGACGCCAACTCAGAAATGGCTGTGATTACCTGTCAAAAAATCTAGCCAAAGAAGTAGACAAGGAGCAGAGGCATTTACATGGACAACGTACGATGGTGGTTTGCAACATGCTACTACTGCTGGAGCGACGTTGAGTGCAGGAACGATCGTTGATCATCTACGTATCAGGTGTGGTTGTCAAACGCTTGTGGCCTTTGATGTGGATATGAAGATTTTATGCCCACTGTGCGTTCGTTATGCACCACATCTGCTGTGCACGTGGCATTACCCTATCTCAGGGAGAAATCATCAACCCAGTCATTCTGGGTAAAACTATTCCTGATAGCTGTGCAGGCCAGCACAAGAACCAGTACGCTGCACTAAACAAGGTGCTTATGTTCGTGTGCTTGATGGTCAATGGAATGAGTTCAACTGAAAGCAACGGTTCCGCAGGTCTTCGACAACCTCAGCAAGGTGGTCGGCCCAGCAACAGTGGTGACGGTACTTGGCATAGAAGTCGACAGCGAGGACCAGGTGATGCGGCTACCTGACAAGAAGTTATTTGCCTTTCTAGCGGCTTTGAGTGAGTAGTCCACGCGCACTAGCTACACAACGCGGGAACTGCTGTCGCTGATCGGAACCTCGTCCTTGCCGCAAAGGCGGTTCCTCCTGGCAGGACCTTCATCCGTCAACTCCTGTATCGAATGGTCGCGCTCCTTTGCCGCAAACTGGAATGACCAATCCTTCTTCTACGATGTCAAGTGTTCAAAGTCCCCTGACCTTGAGCTATTCACGGATGCCTCTGATGTTGGCTTCTGCGGTTTCTATCAAGGACAATCGTTTTTGGGGCAATGGGCCGCTGAGATGCAGCACGAACCTATTGTGATTACTCGCTTCCGAGAACTGGCTTCCACAGCCAACCAATGCCTGGTGCCAACTCCTCCGCTGAACTCGCCGCTCTGATTGCTGCCAGCAATGATCTCATGAGCGACTCAGACTTTTAAGCCCGGTATTTGCGCACACATAATCTGATGTACCCAGTTTCGGCTATGGCCGAGTTCCGGTCCCTGACCGCTACTGCCGGCAGCTCACGGCCAGTGTTTGCGTTCGTCGACGGCGGCTACTTCTCCCGAGTTTTCTCGACTAGGATCCTCAACTGCAACCGGGTGAGCTCCCATTCTGTGCGCATTGGCGGGGCCACACTCATGGCTCACCGGAGTACAAGTGTCTGTGAAGCAGCCATATGCCGTGCAGGCTGCTGGCGAAGTGCAGCATCCGATCACTATGTCAGGCGTGCAGCCGGTATACCCTCTGTGCAATGGCTAGCAGCAAAGACTGGAACAGCCCACGCCCATGTGGTGTTGAGAACAGAAGTGAGGTACATTTGTAGTGTTGTACAGTGTTGTGCCGTCCGCTTGTTGTGCAGTCCTTGTGCCGGTGTGGCTCTGTGGGTATCACTTAGGGGTTTGCCATGGTTACTTGCAGGAAGTTATGCTAATGAGCGATGCCGTGAGAAATGCTTGGTCGTAAACACTGGTTTTTGGGAGGGTCAAATGCATTTGCCTCTCAGTGTTGTGCTGTACTGTCTCAGTGTTGTGACACCTGTATGTTGTTGTGTGGTTGACCCGCCGGTTTGAGGCATGGGTGGTCAACTGTGTATGTTGTATCGGTGTGTTCCCGTTTGAAGTTGCCGGGCCACCATGTGGTTGACCCGCCAGTTTGAGGCATGGGTGGTCAACTGTGTCTGTTGTATCGGTGTGTTCCCGTTTGAAGTTGCCGGGCCACCATGTGGTTGACCCGCCGAAAATGGAGGCATGGGTGGTCAACTGTGTCTGTTGTATCGGTGTGTTCCCGTTTGAAGTTGCCGGGCCACCATGTGGTTGACCCGCCGAAAATGGAGGCATGGGTGGTCAACTGTGTCTGTTGTATCGGTGTGTTCCCGTTTGAAGTTGCCGGGCCACCATGTGGTTGACCCGCCGAAAATGGAGGCATGGGTGGTCAACCGTGTATATGTATCATTGAAGTTGCAATACGTACATTGCTGTGACTCGCCCGATTGCTGTTGCCGGGCACCTACGCATTTATTTGCCTACTTGTGAAGAGATATCTTCTCTGGTTTATTGCATAATTCTTGGCTCAATGTTATCCACGGTGTCGCTCGATGCAAAGTCTCGTAAATATTTATCAGACAAAATTGAAAAAAAAACTATGGCAAACCCCACTTCCTTGTATTCTATCTGCTTGATGTACATGTGTCCACGTTTTGTACGTTTGGCACGTATGTGAGAGCGTGTCTGGATAAATGTGCATATTGATGTTTTGGTTGTTTTAAGTTTATTGTGTGTATGCGTGCATGCATGTGGGTTAATGAATTTTTTAGCGCTACCGAACGGTTGATTTTCAGGGGCGTACGCCGCTCGCCTCCAGGAGTGGTTCCCATGCCAACTGATGAACCAACCTTCCACACAATTGAAGTGCTCGTTTTCGTATCCCACGGAGTTTCTGCACATTCTCCTCAGACTGGGTGAAATTAAAGGGAAACTGAACGCCAAAAATAAGTATGGCTTATCCGAAGGAGAATTGGGCACTGATTCCGATGAGCTATGTCTCGAGCCGATCAGAGAAGAGGAACTGTGTCAAATTTCATAAATAACACCTCCCATATTTGGAAATTGGCCTTGATGACGTGCGTACTGCTTAGCTGTCACCATGCTGTGCATGTTCAGCAGTGTAATTGAATGGAAGAAAACAATTACTTTGGTGTTTTGCAGCTCTGTTTCGTTCCCTGACGGTAACCAAATCTAGATGTAGGAATCTGTTGAGCAGGAGAACGACACATGTCTTCCCAAAGGCTGTCCAGGCTGCAGTGGTGATGAAGAAGACACGATCATCACCCCGAGATCGATCGTAGCGAATTGGAAAACTCATGGTGAATTTGCTTCCACTCCAAGGCAATGTCGAGGTATGAAGGGTGCTTGTACTGCCTTCCAAAGTGAAGAGGAGATGAACATGGCTTTGCATAGCTGTTGTTCTATGCCAACTTACCCACTCTTGCTGGTACCGTAGTGGCATATTGCAAATTTCGTGGACGAACAACTCTAGTCACTAGTGGCTAGTGAGCAACACTAACAGGTGAGATTTTTCAATTCGACAAAAATTGTTTTTGTTTGAGAACTGACAGTGGCAGTCATTAGACTCAGTAGGTGTCTTTGCTGCTTCTTTCCCTTCATCGGTAGGGTTGTGCTTGAAGTAAAAATAAATAGAAAATGTGGAACAAAAATCTGATCATGTAATTCGAATTTGAACTTCAAAGTATGTGTACATCAAATCACAAAAATGACTGTCAAGGTGGTGCTGTGCATTGAATAAGACTGGGAGCTGGCAGCAATGGAAAGGTTAGAAACGAAACCAGTAATGCAGAGTATTCATAAGGTAGAGGGAGATGAAAACGGGAGAGGAGTAGTGAGCACTTCAGTTTGAAGTAGTGTCAATAGACAGCATCGTGTTGCATACGTTGTGAATATTGTGTGAATCTAATAATTGTCACGAAATTGATATCCAAAATTATTATCCCCTGAGTAGTATTATGGTGTTCTCCTGTGTTTACATGCAGAGCCTTGACGTTGCTGGACGAGCGACAATATAAAATACATAAACATGTAGCTCGTGATGTGGGATGACTGCCGTATCGCATTGCCAACGCAAACCCATCCTGTGTCAGTGCAGCCATCCAGCAACTTGAACTCCCCGGACCAGATGCCGCTGCAGCTGAACACCATGCCGATGGAAAGCCAGGAGTTGATAGTGAAGCATTCTGGTCTGCACAGTACAAGGCAAAGAACAATTATGAATTATAATGCATTGTAATCCTTCCCACACTTCTTTGTAAAAACAAACAAACAGTGCCATTATCACAACACTTGATCAAGCATCTTGATGGAGGTATTTTCCATTGTGCTGGCTCAGCATCTGCACCAGGAAGACCATGTACACTTACACGCATCTTGTGTGTGTGTGTGTGTGTGTTCGTGCGTGTGTGTTTGTGTATCTGTTGCTATGTCTAACATAGCTTTTTGCTATCATCGCTTCCGCGATGGGCAGGTCTGAGGTCTGAGGTATGTGCACATGTGTGTTTGTGTGTGGGGGGGGGGGACGCACATGTGTATGGGTAGGAATGTGTGTGTGTGGGGGGGGGGGGGGTACACGCACATGTGTATGGATGTGTGCGCTGCATGCGTGTGTCTGTGGGATGGGGTGGGGGTGCACGCACATGTGTACATATGTGTGCGCAATACAGCATGTGTGTATGTGTTCGTTGAACACAGGGTGTACTCCTGATTACATAAACTTCGTGATTATTGTGATTTCATGTGCTTTGAAGTTGAACTTCGCCATACATGTACTGATGCTTGATTAGATTTATGTTCCACATGTTCTATTTATTTTATTTTACTTCAAGCACTTGTACTATTCAAGCACAACCCTACCAATGAAGGGAAAGAAGCAGCAAAGACACCTACTGAGTCTAATGACTGCCACTGTCAGTTCTCAAACAAAAACAATTTTTGTCGAATTGAAAAATCTCACCTGTTAGTGTTGCTCACTAGCCACTAGTGACTAGAGTTGTTCGTCCACGAAATTTGCAATATGCCACTACGGTACCAGCAAGAGTGGGTAAGTTGGCATAGAACAACAGCTATGCAAAGCCATGTTCATCTCCTCTTCACTTTGGAAGGCAGTACAAGCACCCTTCATACCTCGACATTGCCTTGGAGTGGAAGCAAATTCACCATGAGTTTTCCAATTCGCTACGATCGATCTCGGGGTGATGATCGTGTCTTCTTCATCACCACTGCAGCCTGGACAGCCTTTGGGAAGACATGTGTCGTTCTCCTGCTCAACAGATTCCTACATCTAGATTTGGTTACCGTCAGGGAACGAAACAGAGCTGCAAAACACCAAAGTAATTGTTTTCTTCCATTCAATTACACTGCTGAACATGCACAGCATGGTGACAGCTAAGCAGTACGCACGTCATCAAGGCCAATTTCCAAATATGGGAGGTGTTATTTATGAAATTTGACACAGTTCCTCTTCTCTGATCGGCTCGAGACATAGCTCATCGGAATCAGTGCCCAATTCTCCTTCGGATAAGCCATACTTATTTTTGGCGTTCAGTTTCCCTTTAACATCCACAAGCTGCTGGACGATGTCATTGCTACGCATTTTTGATTTTAATAGACAACTTTTCCCCGTTTTATGGATGTTTTGTTCAGCATGACGATTGCATGCAGTCTTGAAAGCTGCCTAAGTTTCGAATCATCTGGAGCAAACATCACACAGGGCAAGCAGAAGCCACTATGGCCCGCCGGTCAAAAGACTACCCAGGGTAACTCCTCTAACAAGGATAGTTGAAAGTGGCGCTGTTTGCCATCCATCTGGACTTGCACAGGAAATGAAATCCTTCGCCTTCGGTGGCGCACAATGATTGTCGATGACGGAAATCTTTTCCGTGTCGGTCAAATTTCGGGGGACTGGATTCCACTGTGGACGTCGACTTTCAGAATATCCCTTCCAACACATATCCCTTCCAACACACTCCCATGTCACTGAAGTAAATTTTGGATGATCCAGCAGCTTCCAACAACGGTCGCTTCTACAGCTTCGCCGACGATTTCTTCCTCAGCGCTGCTCGTTGCATGCAGCCTGCGCTTGCAAGTCAGGTGCGTCTGCATTCTCATCTATCTCTTGACCTTCGCCACTAGCACTGGCTACACGCTCTGCCTGCTGCTCAAAATAGCTCTGAATAGAGCGCTGGCCCTCTGGGTGTCGACGCTTCATTTCTCTTTTCCACAAAGCGAAAGCATCGTCCAAAACACGACGAACTTTGTCAAAACAAACTGCAAAGGAAAATTTGACTCTGAGATCGAGGAATCCGGGGATGTAGAGACTTTGTTGAACCCAGTTCAGTAGACCATCTCACATCTACGGTATGTCCCAGCACCGCTTTCACACCTGGGCTAGCCACCGTCCTCGGACTGTCAGGCGCGGACTCCAGGCGCTAGGCATGCACTGCACAGCTGCATGCACTCGCACTGCATGCGCTGGGCCTGAAATAGCTGGATCAAAAAAATTCCGTACCCATATCGAATTTTGTTTACTGGTTCCCGGGCATCCCGGGAACCGCCCTATGTACGCCCCTGATTTTGGGAAACACCGAGAATTTTACACCACGGAAAATTCTCGGTTTTACAGTAGTACATGCATTTCATATACTGTGTACGTACTTGTATATGCACAGTTGGCTTCGTTGAACAATGAACAAGAAACATTTGCAGCACTGGCAGCTTCGTGGATGAGCAATACTAAGTCAAATAATGCTGATGCTATGGACAGCAACAGACTTTCTAGCACTAGCGCCTAGCTGAAGAACAACACGTTTACACAGCGCCATGAAAAATAGATATGTGTATAAGGCTGCCAAAGTCCTTTTTCTGAGTCTAACACTCATTGGACAACGCCCTTTATATCAGAGGTCAATCTTTTACAGGAACCTACATTTATATAAACCCTTTATCGGGTTTATCGGGTGTTAGCGGCCGTCGTGAGTTCCCTTCGGGAACGGACATGATAATTTACTTTTTGTTTTTACATTCATCTTAGACATATTCAGTAAGTGCACTTCCCTGCCTCTGCTTATTGTGCAATAACATAGTTTGCACCACCATCACCCTAAACAAGCAACTGTGGATGATTGTGCTGCGTGTTGAACATAGCAGTCCTGATCCCAACGGACTCAGTAACCATTGTTTAAAAAATAACTTTCACATTAATTTTGTGAGCCTGATGAAGGCAATTTGCCGAAACGTAATACTTATCGTGAAATGAGTTGGATTATTGCAGTGCTAATGGAAGAGAGCGTGTGGGCTCTACTCTTCACTGTTTATGAAACTGCAGGAAGCCTCCCCACTTTTACTTTCATATTTAGCAATGTATACTAGGCTGATCAAGAGGCTCTGCGTGTAGCTTTACTTCATACGTACCGGCACCTATATCCAGCTGGAATCCTTCAGTGTTGAACTTCCAAGGCAGGCCATTGCCGGGATTCACAACGCATTTGTAGATGAACAGAGTGTCGGCATTCGTGATCGTGATATTGATGGCCGCCAGTACTGTACTTTCACTGCTCTCCGGGATAATGTACGGATGAGAGTAGCGTGCCTCCAAAACTGGATTTATCGTCTCCATGGACCCATCCACACCCATCTGCCTAGTGAACCATTGGGAGTCCACCGGTAGGGAGTGGCTAATGTTGCAGAGAAGAACGACGACTGATCCCAGTGGATGTTCTGCCGGAGGTCCAGGAAGAACCGACTGTTGGATATGAATCACTTGGGGATCTATTGCAGAAAGCACATGCATGTAAGAATATCTGAGGGATTTGGGGTGTATCATTGAACAAGTACTTAAAGTCGTTAACTACATTTTACTGGGTGCCAGCATCACCACCACTTGAAAGTTCAGCCAGAAATCTGCCTTCTATACCTTGAACATAAAATACATGCCTACAAACATTTACGGGATATTTTACTGCAGTAACAGCAGCAGCGGCAGCAACAGCAATGACGACGACCACCACAACCACAACCACAACCACAACCACAACCACAACCACAACAACAACCACAACAACAACAACAACAACAACAACAACAACAACAACAACAACAACAACAACAACAACAACAACAACAACAACAACAACAACAACAGCAGCAGCAGCAGCAGCAGCAGCAGCAGCAGCAGAAGCAGTGCCAGAAGCAGCAACAACACCTTACTCAGTCTTCTCTGTCGGCTTCGTTCCTTTTCCTCTGCTGGATGAGAGTGTGTCTGTGTGTTGCTATGATAGACTGTACTTAGCCTGTGACAGAAACCAACACAAAGCATAACTAAGATCTCGCGCAGCGAGCAACCCAGTGAAAAGTGAATCAATTCCGAGGGAAGGAATAAGGTTGTGTTTACATGAAGCCGCACGCCGGGTTGAGTTCGACCCGGGTCAGATTTCAACCCGCCATGTACACAAAATGAATGGCGCGTTTACATGACGCATTGCGCTTGACCCGGGTTGAAATTTCGCCCCGGGTTGAGTTCAACTCTCCCCTCAAGGGGAGGGTTGAAATCAACCCGGGTCAAGAAAATCGTACAAACGTACTTCTGTGCGTATCTCGCGCCAGGTTTGAACAGCACTGCAGACGCAAATGTCGCGCGAACGGATTCACGTGACCATACAGGACTGTAGAAGTGGACTTTTGGCGGCATATCAGTATTTGACCCGGGTCAACTGTCTTCATGTAACCGCTCACCTCTTTTGTCTATCGTACAGACTTTCAACCCGGGCTGAACTCGACCCGGGTTGAAATCTCTCATGTAAACACAGCCTAACAGTTGATTACCTTTCTGAAGCCCTGATCTTATGCACAGTGTGTTTGTACCAATAGTTTCAAACATGGCTGCTAGTGTTGGAAGCTAAAAGGAAGTTCCTGACACAGACAATTAAAATATGCAAAATGTAGGTCCATAATACGCAAGCCGAAGGCCAACGTACAAGCAACTGAGATAGAATTCCTACTGCAGCATTCACAGCGCCGCGGACCGTACATACCGTATTTCAGCAAATAAAAGGCCGTCCTCGTATACAACGCCTTCCTCGTATACAAGGCCGGGGCAGGGGCGATTGAAAAAATAAAAGACCGTCTCCGATTAGAAGACCGGGCCTACTAAATGAGTCTCAAACTTTTGTTAAAATAGAAGACCGTGCTCAAACTGTGGGTAAAAGACTTTATTAAAGTAGAAGACCGTGCTCAAACTGTCTAGAAGAAAATGGAAGAATGGGGGTAAAACTGTGTGGCGAAAAATAGAAGACCGGGGTCAAACTGGGTTGAAAGAATAAAAGACCGTCCTCGAATACAAGACCGTCCTCGATTATAATGTTGTAACTCGCTTTAACGTACTACAACAATAAGGCCGGGTTAGGACGAGGTTGAAAAAATAGTAGACCGGCCTACTATTTGTGGAAATACGGTACATGACTATTGTATCAAAAGGGCCAATGCTCCTCATACCACAAGAACACATGCAGCATTGCACATTATGCCAACAATAACAAGGATGTCAGGACTTGTACATGTAGTTACTATTTAGCCGAATGAATGTTGTTGTTGTTCTAACGCACGCCATTCAGTTATAGATTGCTAGTCCTAGCACTGGGCAGTAAGCGCTAATTCACAATTTCTCGTTTGACCGAATGTCTTACCCCAGCTCACGATCGATCTGTCTGCGGAATGTTAGAAGGCGATGGCTACGCACCAGTATGACGAAAAGAGCCACTAGCCACACGGAGACAAGCTGGCAAGCAACGAACTTCCCACACTTGTTCTGGATCGGCCTGGCTGCCATATCCAGGATGTAAACTAAGGACAAAAACACATGACTTGAACGGGGCTTTGTTACGGGTGGTACGAATTACGACTTGTAAAAAGACGCAAGCGCATCACCCAAGCGTAGTTCCACTGAGCAGTAAACATCAGCAAGTCCGTGTCTGCAGCCAGCGATCCATAAGAAATCCTACAACCCACACACATCAGCCTGCTGCAGGTCTTCTACACTGTCGCTGACTGGGAGTTACAAGAAATTTGAAGCATTGACTTTTGTAGATCTAATTCCTTTCCTTCTTCTCGATCTTTCACAATAAAGGGCTGGAATCAAAAATTAACTTCAGTTTACTTCACCTTCGCCTTCGGATGGTCCCCAAGCCCGTGCTTCTTGCAGTTGCACTCACTGCTCTTCTCACTCCCACTCGAGTCTCAGCTAGTTCCTGAATCCTGGCTCTGGGCCATGGGGTCAAAGATGAGGTCAAAGTGCACAGTGCCACCCACGTGTCTGGGGCTAGCTCTGCGCGATGGGCATCGCTAAGCGCTAGACTAGTACAGTAGTAGTACATGTACTGACAGCACTGTACTATTGTAGAGTCTACACTATGATAGTATGAGTGTGTTGCTCCCTTGGATCCCTACGCTGCTATCTGGTGTTCACGAGGTGTTTGTCGCTCTGGAAACGGAGCGCTTTTGCATCCCTGGTGATGTTTGTGCCTGGAGAGCACTACCGTTAGGGTGTTCGGTGCCTCGAACCCAGGCGCATTTTGAGTGGAAACAGTTTTGTACGGGGTCCGTGGCACAATCGTACATCACTGTGCTTCTTGCCTTGGCAAGGTAAAATTTTAGCAGCTCAGGACGAGTTTGTTTCTTTGTTGGAAAGAGGAGATGTCTCTGCTGTTGAGACCGTAAGTCCCGTTTCCACACGACGAATTTTAGCAATGTTACGCCCTGCGCAACTTCAGGGTATGGATTTCGGCCTGTTCTGGGCCGGTCGCAACGCCGGCGACTATTCCATCGTCTTCAGCGTCGAAAAACTACGCAGTGTGTGAAATTTGGAGGCTGTACGATGCTGTCTTCTTGTTCTATGAGCGATCGATTTGCGCCAGGATACCAAATGTATGGAGTACATGTACATGTACATGTACATGGAGTTGATGGACTTGGCTGTAGTGCTGTTTATTTGTAGTTTCGCTGAGCTACCACATCAGATAAACCTCTGGTCGCTGTATCTGGAGAGTGGAGAAAGCCATTGTGCAGACAAATTGGTCAAGAGCAGATTTCCTGCCAATACTGCGTTCAATATGCAGCTGAAAATCTGCACAGAATTGACACTCAGAGGATTTGCAAAATTGCAGCGCGCTAACGCAGTGCAGCTACGCAATGCCGTATGCACCGTGTCTGGAGTACATTGTCATCCACATAGCATGGGCAATGTAGGACCAGTGTATTTGTCGACTTTATAATTTACATCCAAATTACGCTTGCACAATCATCCGATAAATGAACTGTCTGTTGATTGTGCGAATCGTATGAATGAATTACATGTGACGTGCGACACCAATTGCCCCGAAGTGATGCACGCGCGCCGTATATGACTGGGAGCAAGTTGTCCTTCTAAAGCTGATGATTAGCAGGACTGCTGCTGCCTTGGCCTGGCTGAAGCTTACATCGTGTTGAAATGGTGCAGCATACCTGTTAATTGGCTGCATGCATCCGGTCCTGCGGCGCAACATGCCCGGGTGCGGGTGCCGTCTCGGCTGAGTGCGTATGTTATTTTCTTGGATGCTTCATCTACATGGGGTAGATAACTGTAATCTCCTCCTGGTGATGTGTCTTTGTAGTACCCGTATTCCAATTAGCTTCAGCCTGTGAAGGGTTACATCTTTCGCATCTATTTCGACTAATTTGTACGCGTTGCTATGGTGGTTGCTATGGGCGTAATTTGAATTAAGCTAATTGGAATACCAAAAAAATTGGTCAAGTGATGGAAGCTCTCTATTGGCTATCATCTGTGGAAATTTGAAAGACCCTGAACGAAATTGATTTTCACCTTGTTCTAGTTGGTTTTGAATTTCCCGGTTTTGTGCCACTGGCCTGCATCAAAACTGTTCCAGAAAAAGTGCCAACAAGCGCACTTCAAACGATCATAACTCTTGAACGTCTGGTCGGATTTAGACAAACCTCATATATTTCCCGGCTAGTTTATCCTACTCTTTCCAATGAGACTAAAATCGAGGAGATTGGAGCAACTTTCAAAATCGTCCGAACACCCTACTACCGTATTATCTCTAATATAAGCACGGTCCTTTATTTTTTATTATTATTATTATTATTATTATAGACAACACCTCATGGCATGAGAAGAAAATCAGCCAGTACGGGAGATGTGGGTGTTAACCAACCATGGTGAATAAAAGAAGAAAAGAAGAAAAGTAATGGTCAAGACGGAGAAGCATGGGAGGGACAGGTGATGGTGAATCTAGTGAGCAGATTTAAATGCGTCTAGGGTACTGGCATTGCGCGTAGTAGCGGGCAGCGCAAGCCAAGCAGAGTAAGCAACAAAGAGTGGAGAGCGTACAAGGGAGGACGTTTTAGCCAAGGGGAGGGCAACAGAGCATCTTGTCTGGGAGCCATCTGTGATTCGGAACCAGTTATATACGTTAAGATGAGGAGGATGTAGAGCTAGTTTAAATTTGTGAACAAAAGTGCAAATTAATTTTTGACGGTGGGTCGACAGTGGGCAAGCATTTGCAAGGACATACAGGGAAGCAGAAGGGTAGAGAGGGGGTAGACTAAACAGGATACGAAGAAGTTTTCTATGGTGGATTTCGAGATGCTCAGCGAGAACCGAGGACAAGCCACACCAGCTAACAGCAGCGTACATGAAAAGAGGCAGGATGTACAGTTTGTAAAACAAAATTTTACATTTGAAAGGAAGATGGAAACAATGGGGACGTATAACACCTAGGGCAGAGCTTGAACGGCTACAAAGAGCATCAATATGGAAAGACCAAGAGAGACGATCATCAAGCATTATTCCCAGGTGTTTATGGTTGGAAACAACCTTTATGGGTTCTGGGAAATCAGGATGGTGTAAAAGTGACATGGATGAGATTGGGGGAAGGAACATTATTTCGGTTTTAGTCAGGTTGGGTCTAAGTCGCCATGTTTGCATCCAGCGTAGGACACTGCATATCTGAGCCGACACTCGAGGTACAAGAGCCGCTGAGGACGAGGATGCTAACAGTAGGGTTGTATCATCAGCAAATAACGAGACACCTGGGTCTATAGAGGGTAAATCATTTACGTATGCTACGAACAAAAGAGGTCCAAGTATGGAGCCTTGGGGAACTCCAGAAGACACTGGTAGAGGATCAGAGTTGATGGAGAGGGCAGAAACAAACTGTGATCGGCTACTCAGATAGGACTCCAGCCAGGACAGAGCAGGGCCAGACACACCAAAGACAATATGTAGCTTGGCAAGGAGGCCACGATGCCAGACAGTATCAAAGGCCTTTGCCAAGTCAAAGAAACAGAGAGCAATATGGTGTCGAGCATCACGAAGGGTGGCAATGTCTTGTACTAGACGAGCTAGTTGGTCAGAGGTTGAGTCGTTGCGCCGAAAGCCAGATTGGGAAGGGCTAAGGCATGGTGAAATGTGGCAATACAACTGGTCGTAAAATACCTTTTCACATACTTTTGAAAGGGAGCAGAGAAGAGATATTGGACGATAGTTTGAGGCTTGTGATCGGGAGCCTTTACACTTGTAGATGGGCGTGACCTTAGCGATCTTCCAACGATCAGGAAATACGCCGGAGGAGTAGGAAAGGTTGAATATAAGGCACAGTGGGTACGCCAGAGATGGAGCCATAACTTTGAGAACTTCATTTGGTAGGGCATCAGGACCAGGGCTTTTGTTGCTTTTTAGTCTTTTTAGGTAGCTGCGAACAGATGATGTGGTGGTATGTATAGAGCGCAGATCAGAAGACACAGTCGCAGAACGTTGCAGAGGTGGTATTGGAGAGGAATGGTCGTCTGGAATACCAGCTGATGTGAATTGCGTATTGAGAGTATTAGCTATAGACTTGGGGTCAGTCACCATCGAACCATTGGAAGCTAATAACGGTGGTATGTCTTGACGTGTACTAGTTGTCCTTTGAGTGCGAACAAAGGTATACAGGTTAGGCCTGGAAGAGGGGTGTTTCAATGTACCTCCGCACCGTGCTATTATTGGAGACGTTCCTTTATTGGAGACTGTTCCATTATTATTTCAACCTCATTTCAGAGGCTTGTTGCCATGTTTCCCTCTACAAAGCTGGCAAGGACCTAAACCAACTCACACTCGATTTCGCTGAGGATATTACCATTGTTCGTGATTTCCTGGCTGCACGAGGTCTCTGCCTCAATCCGGACAATACTCAGTTCATAATCTTCAGGTCGAAGTCCACACCTTTGACCCCTGACGTCAGCCTTCAACTGAACAACACCTCAATTGCCCCTTTGCCTGAAGTGAAGTATCTTGGAATCGTTTTGGATGAACACCTTACTTTTGGTGCCCACATCGCCCACCTTGAGCGCAAGATTGGAAACAAGATCGCTGTGTTCAGGAAGATACGACACCAACTCACGGAGCACGCCAAGAAAACATTCTACATAATTATCGTCCATCCAATCAGTTCTCGAGTATGGGTCGAATGCGTTTGCTCACTGCCTTCGTGAGGGTCAATATGAGCGCCTGGTTCGCTTGAGTAGACGTGCCTTGCGCACGGTGTTCAACCTCACTCGCTTCAACAGCATCAGTGCACTACAAAAACGCAACCATTTACTCCCACTGGCCGCTCGGTATCAGCTCAGACTTTTTGTTCTTATTTTTCGTTCACTAAATGATCTAGCAAGCCCCCTACTCTCTAGTTGTTTTTCGTTGCGCAGTGCATCGTCACACACAAACTCGCGCACACGCTCTCAAGTTTCTAAAGCCCTTACTCTTCCCGCTGCTTTAAATCGGTATGGTCTTTTTTCTCTTAGTTTTCTAGGCTCAGATCGTTGGAACTCTCTACCTGCTGACATTCGCCTTTGCACATCTGTTTCTCGCTTCCGTTACCTTGTATTGGCACATTTAGGGTACCCTGTAAGAAGGCCTTAGGCCTGTGGGGATTGCCCTATCAAAAATTTAATAATAATTATAATAATAATGCCAAATTCATGTCAGACACACACATTTCAGGGTTTTTTCGCCGGTACAGATAATGAATTTACACAGTGTGCTTGACTGAGCACTTTATTTTTTGAATGCTGACCCAAGGTGTTCTATTATTGGAGACGTGCTATTATTGGAGACTGTGCTTATATTAGAGATAATACGGTATATAAGTGGTGCTCTTCAGGCACAATCTTCCTCAGCCTACTCAAGCTCAACTGATGAGGCGTGAATTCCCCGAAACACTGTATATTGAGCAGGGAGTGGTGCTTTCTTACCGGTTTGCCGAGTGGACGGTTCGATGGACTTCTCGTGTGCTCTGGATGGTAGTCGTGAGTCAGTCAAGTGAGAATTCAAGTCGGCAGGAACTGAAAGCGCGAGCTCCCATGTAGGGAGCAACACCCCAAGTATCGCCGAAGTCGCACCAACCTCCTCTTCTTCATAAAGTAACTAATGTTAGTCATGTCATACATAGGGGCCAAACTGACTTCTTGAGAAAGCCTACCGAATCTGGCTCCCATGCCATGGAGATTACTAGTAGATCTACAGACAGTTGAGAGGAGTATTGCTATTACTCTCCCTCGCCTCGGCTTGGTTGAGCACTCTTTCTTGTTAGTCAAAGTTATCTGCCCTCGTGCAAAGCTTGGTGTGTTTCACTGACAGTAACTGACGAGCCTACCGATCGGAACAGCTAGCTGTCCGGAGATTGAGACAGTAGAGAAGAGATTAGCTCAGCGTAGATCTGAATTACACGTGTACATCTCCGAATACTATTGGAATAGTCTGGTAGATCTACAGCACTGAGTCTGACGAGCAGTTGCCTTTGACTTATTCAATATTCTTTGAGTAGATTGAGTAGACCCTGTCCATGCCATGGACGGACGGTCGGTAGACCCTGGCCATGCCATTACATGCCTAGTGTGCTAGTGGTAGACCAGGTAAACCCTGGCCTGGCACGTCGGTTGGCAATACTACTAGTACTACCCCTCTATGGGCACGGACCATGCCCCATATCCATGCCATGGTCTACCCGGTACTGGCGGTAGATCTACGTAGATGCTGCGTGGTGCCGCATGCGCATAACTATGCAGTGGTGGTGGCTTGCTGGGCCATGGGATGGGACCCAGCAAGCCACCACCGTACCAGGCATTGGTAGCCCTCTCTACGGCATTGCCATTGCCGGCATTGGCATTGACATGATGTAGACCATGGTAGACGGCATTATCATAGACATACTCACAAGTCACATAGGCTGCGGAAGCCATCCAGTACAGCTGTTAAAAAACTCGGCGACGAAGAACGCTTCGTATCGACGCCCTGGACTGAATTCGGCACGTCCAACAAACGGAATAGTGTTCTCTGATATATTCTCTACGTGCTGGGTATGGTCGCGTTTAGTTGGAAGCTCAGTGCATCACCACTTTCGATTTTGAGACTTGGCCGATGGACTATGTCGCCATGGTCACTCGGGGTCTGTGGTCGGCATCGCTCCTGGCCTGGGCTGAAGCTAGCCTAGGCTAAAGACAGTAAAAATTTAAATACGAGTTGAGAACGATGCTATTTTTAACGTAGAAATAAGAGCTTGATAATGAAAGGCAGGAGAAAATGCGGACAAATGCGGATAGATCAAAGAATTGGCATAAATTGGTAAAGTTCGTCATTTTTACAATCATTGTAGTGTAGATGCTGGGATCGGAGCTGAGATTAGTCTTGGCAGTAACACTAACAGATTGCCGAGTGTGCTAGATCAATAGAATAGAGAGCGACGAAGGCTGCCCTGTACATCGACTTCAGCAAGTCACTCTCGTGCCAATGGCTGCTTTGCATTTACTGGTATTGTAATACGGCTGGCATTCAGCGTCTCTCGTAGTGAATGTCGAGCAAGAGTATTCTGCTTACATACCGGGCATAGCTTCGGACAACAGTGCCCAGCGATGAAGCCATACACTAGCGCACCCTTTGCTCAGTATCTGCTAGCGGTCATCGCAACACCCCTGCTAATACTGCTACAAGTGAATGTTTGGGAGGCTACCGGCCAAGAAGGAGGTGGTACCGGTAAGGTGCTCACACACATGGCTGCATTCCCTGGCAATGTCATGGACCTCGCCGATCCGAAAACCATCAGCCTGCCTCGCCTGGACGGCGTACATGTATGTAACGGTGGTTTCTGCACGCATGCCAGCATGTGTAATACAAAACAGCAGAGTTTCTCTATGCTCACTGCATACTTAGTACAGTAAACCCTGTGACTAACGACCACCCCTTGGGGCCAGAGAAAGCGGTCTTTAGTGCCAGGTGGTCCTTAGTTAGAGGTTTGCAGCGCACAACCGTAATATTTATAAGAATGTGAGACCGTCCGTGCCGGGTGAAGTGGTCTGTAGTACCAGGCTGGTCGCTAGTCACGGTGGTCTTTAGTTACAGGTTTTACTGTACTTGCTACCTGCAAGGCTGTGTGAACTACAATATTCTATATCTACTGTGATGCCAGTTTAGTAGTTCCAGCATTCCACTCCCGCTTTGGATGACTTGAGCATCCACAACCATGTCAACATACACGACTTTGTGCAATGTCTGTAAATCATGCCACTTGAGTGTTCTGCTCCCAAATTAATACATGTCCAATTCAGCAGGTTGGGGGGGGGGGGGGGCTGTTTTATGGGGTACTGGGGAACCAGGTATAGGTCTGCTAAAGTTGACACATTTTCGTTAGGTGCACATGCTCCGCTGCAGCTAATCCAGCAATTCTGCAAATCACGAAAACAGCCTTCGATGGTCTATTCACGGCATTCGAGAAACGTTACCAAAATGTTGGCCTGGGGGATCATCAGAACAGAGAAGAAACAAGCAGTGAGGTGGATCTACTTGTAGTATACACACAACGACAACATTGTGCATGTACATCAGGTGAAAATGCTACACCAATGTTACTCAAGCTACAGTCAACTTCGCTAATAACGACTGCGGATGTAACGACAATTCGCGAATAACGACATAATTTTCATACCCAGAGCAAAGTCCCATCCAACTGTAGTACATACAATGGGACTTCGGGTATAACGACACTTTGCGAATAAGGACACCTTTTTGATGCCCCGCCGAGTGTCGTTATAAGCGAAGTTGACTGTATGCACTAACAATATTGCACTGAGTCGATCACTGTGATGCACTAGCGTTATGATGTAGCTAGACTGGCGTATGAACAAGAGCCGGCGACGGTGCTAACCAAGTCGAATGCTAGAACATGAATACTTCATAACACCGTTCACACGAACAATAACAGCTAGTCAGTCAAAGTGTAGCATGGTAGGTGCACATACAATGTATCATCTCTTCTTCACACTCCAGTCTCACCACATACCGTATTTTTGGGTGGTAATACTGGCTGAGGCGCTTAGTAGTTTGCGAATCCAAAATTTTCACCCAATTTGAAAAAAATCCACACAACCGGACAGGTGTTCCCCAGCTAGACGTTTAAAAACTATCTATGGTCGCCCATTCACTGCATCCATGTTTTCCCCGTGCCAGGCCACGAGTTCCCAATTTACTGTGGGTCGCAGCACGGCTGGAAAAATCCTTCCGCTTCCAAGCAGGACTAGAACCCGGTACCCTCTGTTTCTCAATCATGGTCTTAGACCATCCCGCTATGCCTGCCTGCATGGATGCAGTGAATGGGATTTTCGGTCTTTGACCACATGCTGGTGAGCTGATCTACTCATCTCCCACCGCTTTAGGAGCTGCATCTGCGCCTTGATCCTTGAAGGGTGGTGGCGTTCCTACGGATGCGGAAAACTCGGCCTCTATATAGATAAAACCGAGTCTGACGCGAACCGTGAATTTTTTTATTTTTATGGTCGCCCTTTAAACTAACATGGCTTTCCATTCAGTTGGTACATGTAGATGGTCCTTGGTCCTTTTTTCTTTTCTATAAATTTATCCTTGGCTCTCCATCCGAGTCCATTTGTACATGGGTGTGTTGTATGTTTCTTTCTGTTGTGTTTCCTTACCGGCAACACAGGTAGGGCACGCGCGGAGCATACGCGTACCTAGCTTGAACCCGGACGGCAGCCATGCAGGCTCCCGCACAAGAACACTGGTAATGAGGACTATCAGCATGACTCCGTTAGTGTTTGGTAAGCCACGGCCAGCAGGGCACACAGCTGCCATACGTACTCAGGGGCGTCGGAAGGTATTTTAGTGTGGTACGGTCAGCCATCTGAAGTACAATTTACTCGTGTGGGAGGGGTGGCTGAGCCGAAATATTTGACAATTTATAGCCCAGATGAGTGTATTTTATTAATTCACGGGGTACCTGGGGAAAAATGTGGTACAGTCTATACCATAGTGACTGTACCGTGTCCAACGCCCCTGGTACTACAACGTAACGAATGTAGCAGTACGAAATAGGGACCACTGGAATCGGTACTCCACTCGGCCACGAAAATCAGTGGTCGGATTTCAGTTGCCGCCGCTGTAGTACGCTATACTGCTGTACGGCATTGCCAGTTCATGTTGCCATGTCGTCACACGCAGGCGCATGGATGCACGGATGCACGTAACCATGCACATGCACACACAAACACACACACACACACACACACTGTGACACACACACACTGTGACACACACACTGTGACACACACACGCGCACGCACAATGATGATGTTGTATTTGATGGAAGAACGAACATTGATTTTGTATGTACTGGGTTAACTTATGAGCTGATGAACATACATTTATCACTTTGTGATGAAATCTGATTAAAACCTGGCATGTATATAGTCCTTTGATTGAGTGGAAATTGAACCTATATATGCTATCTTGTTATCTACTTCTGAGCTGTACTGGTGAGCCCTATAGCAGAGAGAAGTAGATGCTGTCCTCAGATATGAGTCATCCAGCCATTGATATTGCAGGCAGCTCGAAAGAGTGCTCGATCAACGAATGTACAGAGCAATATACGCATACCGAAGGCGTTGACAGCTAGACAGACCGACGCTTTCGGTATGTGTAAATAATATGCATCCATCCCCGGGGCTTCACAACTGTCCCTCACACATTGTAGCTTCACCTTCCCTCTTCTCTTCCTTGGCGATCCCCTTTCTACTTCTCATCCGGCATCATCCTCCATTACCACCACCAGGAGCAGCATTGCTGACAGAATAGCTACCACTTCGATGGACACACAACGAGGGATAGGCATTTTTGAGAAATAGATCTTTTCCTTCTTTTCCTCCCATTTGCTTTCTCTCTCCCCTCCTGCCAATGAATATTGTTCTTGAATGACGTCATTAAGAGTTTTCTTTTCCTTGCTGCATCCTCTCCGTTTATGTGCCAGAAATTGAACACTTTCTCACCTCGCATGAGTGCAAGTTGTTTCGTGACAATGCGAAAGGCACAGGGTTGGAGGAAGTCGTCTTGTCCACTGACGGAAATCCCGAAGTCCTTGAGGACCACACGCGGGATGATGTTCTCAGTGATCGACTAGCTGAAATCGACTCGGATGGAAACGAGCAGATCACTTTGCATGAGGTACTTCCGTCTTTATGTGATGGATGTGTGCTTGGAGTTACAGTCAGTGTGACATTGATCTTAAATCGATGGTTGAATCTGAAATTGTGGATCTACACGATGTTTGTTTTGATGGTTTGGTACTTGTTGTAACGGCTAGTAATCTTGCTAACTGTTACTGTGACTTTTCCAAGTCCTACTGATATACCTTGTCAAATCACATGCCCTGTAGTAAGTAGTCTTGGTGGAGGCTGACTAGAATGCGTTGAATTCGTAGCTTGTTGTCAGTGGTGTTTCATTATTTGAATAGGGATTGAAAATATGTTCTTTCGTCAGAAGGGTAAGCAGCAGCTTTTGGCCGGAGAGCGCAGGTGGTGGAGTCACAAGTTGAACCAAATCAATTTTTCTAGGGCAAACACAAGAGCACGACATTTGTTAGAGTACTATTGGGAATCGGGTTCAAAGTTCTTTTTTTCAAAAAATGTTGGTGAGACTTTTCACTGTACTTTCTTCACTACTTGCTCACATCCTCCTCCTCATCCTCCAGCTTTCTTCTCCCCATAGCAAATCTCCTCTTCATTCAGCTGTTCCTGCAGGTGCTTTTGTCATCCCCCCCCCCCCATCCAGTTCTCTCCGGTCCAGTTTGTTCTTTTCACTTTTTCCTCAGGGCCTACTTCATGAATATATTTTTTGCGTCTGTCTTCCCGGCTTGTGCAGCTGCAAATGTCATTCCAGGAAGCGTTGGAGACTACAATGCCTCTCGACGAGATCGAGATCATGTAAGGCATCTGACGATTGTGTCGTTAATTGTGAGTTGTCGTAATACTCGAAGTCGTCAATCACGTGGTTACCTGCAATACATTGTATCCTTTGGATGTACCCTGTGCATGCAGGATCAACTCTCTGGAGGTAGATAGCAACAATGATGGTAAGAGCAGGACACCCGCACTCTAGCCATGCATGTACTCATATCACTTTCCCTGGTACCAGCCCTGCAGCACAGCCACTTACACACCAGTGTTGGCAAGATTGTCCCCTAGCTTACTTCGATAGTGGCTGTTTCCGGGAATCCCACTCCGTCATCCCTCCATAATGATTGCTCTCCTGGCGTGGGCACTCTTAGAGCTCACAGTCTAAATCAGTCCAAGTCTTCTCAGTTCTTGCACATACTCAAGCTGGCCATGGGTCTTTCCATTCCTGGGTGCTGGTTGCTTCAGTCATGATACTTCCCTAATCCCTCATGATGTTTTCTACGCCATGCACAATCCTACCTTTCTGCCTTGATGTCGGCATTCAGTACAGATCAGCATGCTGGAATAATGTGTAAGAGTCGTAACATTTATCTGGAAACGGATTTCATCATTTTTGTCCGATTGTGACTGTCTGTTTCCTGATTATATGTGTTGTGAGATTGTGGCATGACTGAGCATTGGGTAGCACTGCCATCAACATGTTTTCATTACACAGGAACTGTGTGAAGAATCGTTCAGAAGTTTGACTAAAGATCATTGCGCTGTGTTCCGTGTGAATTCCACCCTTCTCCCAGGCATTCTAGATATTGCAGAGTTCCGTGCAGCCAATGTGCCGGCCGTGATCAGTTATGTGAGGAACTACCACAACACTGTGCCGGGAAGTCGGCGTCGCTTCCTGCACCAAGCGACGTTCGAGGAGCATGAGGATGAAAACTGGCTGAGCAATGTGCGCAAGCGGTGAGTGCATTTCCCTGAGGAATGTCTCTGTCGTTGGGCCCTCGGTGTGTGTTTGGTAAGCCGGTTTGAACATTGGCCTCCCAAACAGTTGTGTGGGCAGGTTCGATTTCCGGCACTGGAGAAAATGACCACCCGAAGATTCACCTAGGCTTAACTCCCTACCTGGTTGGTACTGAGTGGCGCGTGTCTGTGTGTGTGTTGGGGGGGGGGGGGGGTGACAACAGTACCTGCAGGAACAGCTAAATGAAGAGGAGAATTGCTGTGGGGAGAAGAAAGCTGGAGGATCAGAAGGAGGATGTGAACAAAAAGTGAAGACAGTACAGTGAAAAAGTCTCACCAACATTTTTTGAAAAAAAACCTTGACCGGCTATCACCTCAGACAAAGCCTCGGACCCAGATGATTCGATGACTCAGTGGCCCAATGGCATCAGACTCGACCGGAAGGGATCCGCACTGATGCTGGGTAATGAGTAAATATTACCGTATTTTCCGGGGTATAAGCCGCACTTTTTTTTGCTAAAAATCGGACCAAAATCGCCCCTGCGGCTTATACACCGAATATGCTTGCGCGAATGAATGCTTAGCATACATCAGTATGCATGCTGACGTCATGTGACATGTCATTCGACTCAGCTTCGCGCCTGTGTTGCTATCCCGGCACTTTTAGTGCATCAGTGGCAGCGAGACTGAAGATAGTGCAGATGACATGGAGTGATCTGTAGTCAACACAGCAATACACCAACATCTCTGCAGCAACCTGTGGTGCACTAACACTTCATAATCTGATCTCACATGGTATTTAGCTCCATAACCATAATAAATTTGTAGAAAGGCCATTTGTCAATGAGTGTGAAAAATCTTGGTTTGTGGGTGCGGCTTATACTCCGAATACCAACTTTTAGTCAATATTTTGCCTCAAAAAGGGGGGTGCGGCTTATACCCCGGTGCGGATTATACCCCGGAAAATACGGTACCACGGAGAAAAAGGCAAACCGATTATCATCTATTGGCCTGGGCAGAAATATTTCCTGCCCCAACCGAGACATGTTGCCAGTGATGTGAGTAGCCGCAGAAAAATAGATTGTTGTCACTGAGCGAAGCTGCAGAATCCACTAGTCGTAGTCCGAGTGGAGGTTGACTTGACCAAAGTTCGCAAGTACATGTTACATGCCATCATATCAGGATTGAATGGTCATACTTGAAGTAGTTGTACAGCTTTTTCGAAGTCATGATAGGATGCCTCTGGTTAATGCAAGAAATGCTGTAAGCTAAACGTACTTTGTGAATGGCGATTGTTCTGATGGTTCCGGACTAGTTCCTACGAACCAGTTCACAGTCAATCAAGAGGCCTGCCTTTGAGCTTGTTGTATGTGATGGTCACGCGTGAAGTTTATTTTCATTGTTTGCCTTACTTCTGCCGCTGCTATCAACTACTGCTGCTACAACTGCTGATTTGTATTGATGTTATCCGCAGCAACTCTGGTTAATGATCATTGTCGGATGCATGACCCCCGTATAATTTGTTCATGCGGGCAATATGCGACCTGTTCATATTCTTATTATTCTTATTATTATTATCCACAGCATTGCCAAGGTGACTGAAATCCCCGAGTCGTTTGTGAAGAAAAGTGAGCCGGTTCAAGTTATTCGCTACACGTCCGGTGGATTTGCTCAATGTCACCTTGACAGCGCCGACCCGTTTCAGAGCAGCAGCAGCGGCGGCGGCAATGCGGATGGTCAGGAAGAGGAAGAGCAGGCTGATGGTGATGGTGATGGTGCCGGAGAAGGACGCGGGGGACTGGCATGCTGTACCTTCTACAGCGACCAGGCCGCGCAGTTTGCGAGCTGCCGAAAATGCAGGTTTGTACTGTCAGTGAACTTGAGTACTATCACAGTCTATCAGATTGCCAATTGCATTGCAATTCAAAATCCACTCTATCTGCAGGATATGTACACTTAGACGCAGCTTCCAATTGCCCGCCATGCAAAGAGTTTTCTTCGTAAAAATAAAAAAATAAAAAAATTCTGATTCGACTACCAATTGCCCAGATTTGCTGGAGACTGTGATTGAAAATGAACACGCACCGCATCAGAACGCAGCCTAAGTCCGAGCTACACCCAATTCGGGATGAAGCCCTGGAGTCCCTGTTTATCACTACTGTTTCCCGTCACCAAGTGAATGGTACATCCCTGCAGTTATCGTTAAAGCCTGAGCTAATACGAGTGAACCTCTCTGGACAGTCTTTTTCATGACCTTCATGTACGTCCTGAAGAGGTTTGACTGTATTCTGTTGTTCTGACCCCCCCCCCCTCCAACTTATATCAAGTTTTAATGTATTCTCATTGTGCTGTATTCCGTTGTTCTGACGCCGCCCCCCCCCCCCCCCCCCTCCCCAATTTATATCAGGTCAGGTTTTAATGTATTCCCATTGTGCTGTATTCTGTTGTTCTGATGCTGCCCCCCCCCCTTTCCCAACTTAAATCAGGTATGCCACTGTTCTCATGTACCTCACTGATGTGGCGGACGGCGGCCAGACCGCATTCCCTGCCGCCAACGTCACCGACATCAACGTGAACGAGTCACGGAGAGAGGTAAGCCCGGCACTGCGTGCATGGGAGTCCCGATAATAGGGAGGTTAAGATGCACGTTATTTCCGACGTGACGCGCAATTTCACGTCAAATTTGGTGTAAAACTCCGAATTTTGACATGAACTGCAGGTCACTCGTGTTGTTTTTCGATGCGCGAGCCAAATAACGCGAGCTGAACTTTCGCGTCACGTCAGAAATAACGTGCATGTTAACCTCTCTGATGTACTGAGCTGCTGGCGACTGCTGCATGTCCAGGCCCTGTTGACTGCGTGTGCATCAGGAGCGTCCGGGGAAGGTGTTTCAGGCTGGTACGGTCAGCCATTGCTGTAGGTGCTATTTCGGGGCAATCCATTAAAAAATCTCATAATTTAGAGCTAATAATCATAGATACTGGCAAGAGTAGATAAACAAGAGTGTGCAACTCCGGATCTCTCCTGCACAATCTGCAGATACCCCCGCCCACGGCGGAATTTTTTGTTGACGTCACCTTTTTTCAGAAGAACGCGCATTTTGCAGCAGAGCAGTGTGAGAGCACGTGCTGGGCACCGACTTTGTAGTGCAAATGCGGCCAAGTGCACGAGGGAAAACTTTCCGAAAGACTCATAGCGCGTGCGTCGTCGAAAAGATTACGTCAACAAAAAATTCCGCCGTGGGCCAACCCATCCGCGAGTTGCACACTCTTGTTTATCTACTCTTGATACTGGAAAAAGAAAGGACAAAATGTTACGAGTTATGACTAACTGTCCACCAGCGTAACCAGATCATAATACACAGCCCTAATGATCTGGTCACGCTGGTGGACAGTTAGTCATAACTCGTAACGTGTTGTCCTTTCTTTCTATCCATGATTACTTTGGCTCAACATCCGAGTTTCAATAACCGTAGCATTACATTTAAGAATGGGAGCTAGCGATGGAAAGTGGTACAATCAATTCCGCTGTGACCGGAGCGTGTCCGGCGTCCCTGGTATGTATGGCAAGTGCAGGTATGTTGGTAGTAGTGATGCTGCCGCATAGGTACTGTAAAAGCAGACATTTTCGGTGCTGTAATATTTTCGGTATTCTCCAAAATCAGCGGTTCGGCGGAGGAAATTTTCGGTAAACCCGTTTTCCAGGTAAGTGTACTAGTACTAGTACCGAAATTTTCGGTGCATTTTATTTTCTGTAAAAATTTCGGCACCGAAGTTACCGAAAATAAAACACCACTGAAAAGTTCTGCTTTTGCAGTAGACCTGCATATACACCGCACATAGAAAATGAAGGTGACGATGACGTTAAAAACTTCTCTGGCCGTGAAAAAGGACTGAGGCAATCCCTTGAATTTGAAATGTGTGACCTGTCATCTGCCGGCATTTTACGACTCCCTGCTGTAATTGTAATCCTGTTCGGATGTCAATACAAATCCGGGAAGTAGTTCAATGACATGCATGGCCGCAGGCTGCAATCGTCTTCGCTATGATGCCATCTCATTTTCTGTGTGTGTTTGTGTGTATGTGTGTGTGTGTGTGTGTGTGTGTGTGTGTGTGTGTGTGTGTGTGTGTGCGCGGGCGTGCGTGTGTGTGTGTGTGTGTGTGTGTGTGTGTGTTTGTGTGTGTGTGTGTGTGTGTGTGTGTGTGTGTGTGTGTGTCATGCAGGAGTTTACATCCATGACTGGCAGGCACAACCTGGTGGAGAACTGTGGAGGACTAACAGTGAAGCCGGAGCGTGGCAAAGCCCTTCTCTGGTACAGTCACCTGGCTCCGGATTTGTCCGACGTCTCGAAAAACATCAACAACAACGTCGGCCCCCTTGATCACAGCACTCTGCGTGGCAGCTGCCAGGTGCACCGCGGCGACAAGTGGGTCGTTAACAACTGGATCAACTATGAGTTCTACCACGGTAGTCCACCAGACGGCTATGGTAGCACCTGGGGCATGGAAGCCGACGCCCCCAAGCCGCCGAGTCCGGCGCGTCAAATCTTCCAGGCTATCATCAGTGGTGAGCAGGAGCGGATGGAGGGGAGTCAAGAAAAGAACAGCGACACGCGCGACCAACCCCGTTCTCGCCCAAAGTCTCCCGCCGGCTCCCCGGATCGTGGTGATCGGACCGCGGGCGAAGAGCATTTGCATCAAGAACATGATGAATTATGACGAACATGCTGTGAGTGACGGACTGACTCTGAACAGTAATATTTATGTACATCTAGCTCAAACACTGTTCACTAGAACTGGAAGTCCATACTTTGGGTAATATCTATTCTGCGGCAACAAGCAGTAATATAAAACAGTATTGTTTCCCGGCTCAGTGATCATGATGAGTTGATCGTACATGACTTAAAGAAGCGTGTAAACTGCACATGCAGTACTAGTACAGAGCCGACGATTGATTATAACCAAACGGACCTAACCCCTCGGGGCAGACGCTGTTCCGAAATTTATCTTCTGGACAAACAAATTTTGCACTGCCAGTGTACTGGTGCATGTTTGGAGACACTCGGCTGTACCTAATGTTATACAATTCCAGTTTCCACAACATAATAAGAATCATTGTCGGTGTTTAGTAAGGATGGCGTAACTCCTCTGTAGCCTTGTCATGATTTTAATTTCTATCGCCCACAGCCGCACAGAGTCCTCAGTGGCTACACAAAATGAAAACCTCTCCAAATCTCTCCAAAACAAACTTCAAATTCTATCCAAATTTTCGCCTTCAGGGATATGTTATTATCGTTATTATTGTCGTTATTGTTGTTACCGCATCATTCAGGACCGCCGGAAGCCGTTTCTGATTGGTCCGGTAGTATCATCACCTTTCATACTTTGTGTACGATACGGCGGGTCCACGTGACCTCAGTAGGAAACGTGTACCGGTATTGGTGGCCAAAAGTGTGGTCCAGTAATATCCTGACCAACCGGACCGGTTCCGGCGGGCCTGTCATTTCATACAGAATTATGAAGTCGCACAACTGAATCTACTGGAGCATTTGACCCGCATGCCTGACGGTCATCAGCTTTTCTAAAGTTACATTCTGAATTACGGTCGTGTTGCGACAAAATTCAACACTTGAATACATCTGCTGCACAATGCCACATGCATAGCCTGTACAAGTGACCCCGAATGCAAGTATGTATATGTATACACTTGCGATAGAGTGGTTTCACATCATCAGGCTATCACATGACCACACAGGAGCCAAGTACCGATGTACTTGAAGCACCTGCTGTAAGAGTTGTATCTCTAGGGGTCGTCCATAATTATCGAACTTTTTTCACGAAACGAAATAAGTTCGTTATGGGGTGGGAGGGGGTTGACCAATTTCGTTTCAGAAAAGTTCGATACATGTACATGTCTTTAGGAGCAGTGACACACTTGCGACTTTTGTTGTATACGCATGTATATCTCACCATTTTTTACGTTCTGAGGGGGAGGGAGGGAGGGGTTGGCTTGGGTCTAAACTAAAATAATTCGTTTGGTGAAAAATGTTCGATATTTACGGACGGGCCCCTAACGGGGCCACACAAAGTCAGAGTAACGTTTTAACGAGAAAAAATCCATCGCTAACTCAAAGAAACAACCAGCTACTGTAAAAGCAGAAATTTTCGGTGGTGTTTTATTTTCGGTAACTTCGGTGCGGACAGTTTTTACCGAAAATAAAACGCACCGAAAATTTTGGTACTACCGGCACTGTATACATGTAGTACAAGTACACTTACCTGGAAAACGGGTTTTACCGAAAATTTCCCTCTACCGAACTGCCGATTTTGGAGAATACCGAAAATATCACACCACCAAAAATTTCTGCTTTTACAGTATCCGGAAAATGCCAGAGACATGTAGGGGTTGACTGGGCGGTTCAGAAACTAGCAGAGACAACCGGGTAGGTCATGAAAAGTGTTTGCAACCGTTACTCTTAATGACTCAGGGGCCCTGCTAGCCAGTACATGGTGTGACTCGTGAACAGGGATTGCCAGGCGCGTACGCCGGTGCCCTTCAAGGGGGGTTTGGGGGCCTCCCAGGAAAATTTTCCAAAAAAAAGCAAAATGCTGCATTTTGAGCAAAAGGGGGTTCCGGGCACCCAGGAACCCGTACGGGGCACGCGCCTGAGTGCATGACGACGGTGTAAGTTTGTAGCCAGACGTTGTACAGATCATCAGGTGGCTGAGGATTGCCCAGTTAGCCTTGTCATGCCGGTGCGCGAAACGCAGCGTTTAACAATGACCCACCCGGTTGTCTCTGTTCCCTTCTGCCATTGTGATTTCGTACTTAAAGGTTTTCTGCACTCTCTGGCGGAATCAAGTTCTGGAGTTGTGAATGCAGCAGAATGCCTGGAATGGTGCCTTTTGAACTGAGTTTTGGGATTTGAGTGGGTTTTGTAGTTTCACCACTCCTTACGCTATTCTTGCCTCTTGCCGTCTTGGCTTGGGAGTCCATGACCAGGCTTGGTTGGGATAGTGACGGCGCGGTGCCCGTTACGATCGTACCGGCGCTCATACCCGCGTTCGGAAGTCCTGGAGTTGTGGATGCCGCAGAATGCCTGGAATGGTGCTTTTTGCAGTTTTTGGGATTTGAGTGGGTTTTGTAGTTTCACCACTCCCTGCATGCCCTGGTCTTGTCTCTTGCTTGGAGCTTGGTTGGGATCAGGGAGTCGTAAAATACCGGTATTTTACGACTCCCTGGTTGGGATAGTGACGGCGCGGTGCCCTACGAGTACGATCGGACCGGCGCTCATATCCGCGTGCTTATGTAAGCGACGCGGGTCACGCGGTGCGATCGCTATGAATGCGTTGAAAACTCGCGCGTAGATGGGGTCACGTTCTCATCATACTGCACGGCCTCCGGCTGCACCAAATTTTTTGAAACCTGGCGACTTGTCGACTGGCGTTCGAACTATCTTCTTGCTCGACAGTCTTTTTTGTTCTTCACCCATGGCCATCCCAGAGTTGACGAGAAAGTTTATGAACAGAACCAACCAATCAAGTGTGTGTGCCGATTTCCTTGTGATCTTTGCCGATTCCTAGCTTTTCTCTCACGAGAACCTTTCCTTTACCTTCCACAGCAAATTGATGATTTATCCACGTTTTTATTGAGATGGGCAGGAGAAAATTGAAAGGCGTCGCGGCAGCAGCAGTGAACCAGGATGCTTCTGCGGCACCGGAGACGAAATGTCCGCACGTGCACTTTGCCTCGTTCGCCCAGAACACCAGGTCGCTGCTGAACCCACGATTGTGGGCGTGCTCAGTGTGTGGCACCACGGAGCGAGTATGGGTGAGTTTAGACAATTACATGTACGGTAATTAATTAATCGCAATCAATTCCCGGTGCAGTTCCATTCAGTGAGTACGTCGTGTAGATTTTGAACATGACGTGTACTGTGTATGGACCTGGTACATGGTGTATGTAACCATTAAATTCAAACTACACACAGTCGTGAATTTTTAAGTTTCTATTATTCCCCTCCCCATGTGATCCCATAGCTGTGGAACTACATGTACTGTATGCTACAATCACTTGCATTTCAAGAGAACCTCCATGGGGTACAGTACTGCTGTCTTCCCACCAGTGTGTAACCTCCCTCCCTCCCAGAGGCAAGAACCTGACATTGTGCTTAAGTTCTAACTTTACTGAACTACTAGGACATGTTGCTGTGGCATGCAGTGCATCTATCGGCCATATGGTGTACTGCTGTGTGTGTCGGGTCAATTGTTTGAGGAAATCACGTCTTGTACGCGAAGAATGCAGCAAGTAGCAAAGTTAGCGGAATGCTCAGTGTAAATATATAGAAAAGAAAAAAAAGGAGCAAGGAACTGCACGTTACGCTATAAAGTATGATGTCCACTAAAACCACCAGCTACTAAACAATCAGCTCGTGCGATGACATTGCACGACACTGGCCGACGGTGCTCAGTAGTGTAGTGTGCATGGGGTTAAAGAGAATACACTCCTACCTCGGTTATGCGGACCTTTCAAAGTCCCGGGCCACCTGGATAAGTGAGGGATGAGTGTAGTACCATCTTGATCAGATCTCCCCCCCCCCCCCCCCCACACACACACTATGCTAGACTATGTCACTGCCACCATTGCTATCACCATGCTCCCATGGCACCTGGACCGCTGGGGCATCGTTGAGCCTGAATAAACAAGCGAGTGCAAGCCAGCTTCATCGTGGCACCGAAAACGGAATTCTTATCCATTATACATGTAGTACGTACAGCAATGGTGTTCAGGAACGTCATTCAGACACCGCCATGTTGTCGCTATGCCTACACATGGTGTGTATGTGAGGATGCATCCTGGCCGGTTTATGGCATTCTGGGGGAGCCAAACCAAATCGTCATTTTTTTGTTGGCAAACTATGGTATCCTGCTGTGTACTGAACTGGGCATGTGGACTTGATGGGCTGGCAGCCATTTGAAATGAGCTCCCCAGCTAAGCTAAATCATGAAAGTACCGGTAGAACCTGTTGTCAAATTCCGTTTAGTAATGCCCACAGTCTTGATAATAATATAAATAAGAAAGGTAATCGAATGCTGCATCTTGCGGTGGTTTGACAGTGATTACCCGAATATCTCCCTTTGATGTCATTGTCATAATTATAGTCAAGGTTGGGTTGCAGCCAAGACTGCTCCAGGCCAGAGGAGAAGAGAACCGGAACTAGTGTGAACTTTTCTTGGCATGTTTTTATTCCTTTTTGTTTTGTTTTCCAGGCTTGCTTGTTCTGTTCATTCATGGGATGTGGAAGGTGAGCATACAGGAATGCTACTTTTGTAGCTCAAGTTTCTATCGTTCTCTCTCTCTCCCTCTCTCTCTCTCTCTCTCTCTCTCTCTCTCTCTCTCTCTCTCTCTCTCTCTCTCTCTCTCTCTCTCTCTCTCTCTCTCTCTCTCTCTCTCTCTCTCCCTCCCTCCCTCCCTCCCCCCCCTCTCTCTCTCTCTCTCTCTCTCTCTCTCTCTCTCTCTCTCTCTCTCTCTCTCTCTCTCTCTCTCTCTCTCTCTCTCTCTCTCTCTCTCTCTCTCTCTCTCTCTCTCTCTCTCTCTGACTCAAACGAATTGTCCTGTCTGTTGTATTTTGTTACACACTGTGTGTGTGTGTGTGTGTGTGTGTGTGTACTTAGGGATGTTGGTGGGCATGCGCTGCAACACCATCAAACAACAAAGGTAGGGTCAGGTCAGGCTTACTTTGCACTCTGTTGTGCTACCCCATTCACCCCCCCCCCCCCCCCCACACACACACACTCACGCACACACAAACACACTCTCTCTGTCTCCCCGTCTCTGTCTCTGGATGCTTTCTTTCCCTTGGATGTGGAAATAACCCTTCTATAGTAGAAGTGTAGAAGCACTGTGCCTGCCGCTTATATATGTTGGAAAAGTTAAAAAGTAGAAAAGCACTACCATATTTATCGGGATCTGAGCCGCACATGAAAAACTAGGCCCTAATCACCTATTTCTGATCAGTTCCCTAACACAAGAAACATCCAAGCTGGAGTCATATTTACACCAAGAGGAGGGTTTGAATTGGACTGCGGTGTGGCTCGGACCCCGCCAGACATTGTTAATCTCGTTCGCATTGAAAACCGTTTCAACCGTTTCAACCGTTTGTAACCGGAAACATTACGGTTATGTAACCACTTTATCTGGGCGGTTGGATAACCGGTTAATCCGGTATAGTCGTTGAAGCCCTAATTGTTGCCATTGCTCCCGTCTCAGCTCGCGTTGATGTGCTGTCTTTGCTGCTCCTGCTCTGCCTGTATCTATTCTCATTGTGTATTACTGTGTGTAGCATGCTGTCACGATGGAAGTGAACGATATGTATGTCCACTGGTAAGTGGGTTTCTTGACTTTAGCTTTCGTTTGTTTTGAGGTTTGCAACCAACTCGAACAGGCAGGATCTGCTCATGACAAGTACATGGACAGTGCTGCTCAATGAAATCCGATTATGTCAGGTTTGCCCTCTGCACACGTTTCACAGCCCAGTGTTTGCAGGTTGTTCCTACCTCTACCTGCGCTCGTACAGTGTGTTAGTGGCTGATTGTGAGTTACGCTGTTCGTGTCGACTGATTGCGCTATAGTTGTTACTCTAGGTGCATCAACTCTGTACATTTGTGACTACATGTATAGTTGTACTGGTTGTGTTGGTGAATCCTCATTGCGTTACGAATTTCCACTGATGAGTGTCTCACAAACGCATTTTGGAAAACTAAATTTTTTTTCATTGTTAGGACTTGACAATTTGTTCCTTTCGTTGCCTTCGTACGATTATTGTCTCTTCCGTATAGTTTGCTATTCTTCATGTGTGTGTTGTTTTCTTTGCACAGCTACATCTGCAATTGTTATGTGCTGAGCGACAATATTTTCAATGACCTGGAGGTGCTGCGTTGCAACATGCGTGCTCTGGCAACGCGCTCCTTTGAGCAGAGCCACACACGAAGTGGCCATGTCATGCGCATCGAGTCTACCGCCAATGTACACTCGCAGGACTTAAGGTGAGCCCTCTCTCTCTCTCTCCCTCTCTCTCTCTCTCCTTTATATTGTGCACTCACAGCACAAGTCGGTCTGCCGTCCCACTGCTGGGGATTGCAAATATGGTCCTGTGGCAAAAGTCCATTCAGTATTGAAGGTGCATTGCTCCTGTTCTAAATATTGAGAAGATGAATTATCTATAACTAGCTGTCCCTTCTCCATCCTGGAGTGGAACCAACAAGGCCAGGCTATGATACACGAGTGTGTGGGCTGTCAGAGTGATTATAGTGTGGCGACCCAACTCCTTAGCCAGGTTGCCTAGGCAAGGGGAATACGTCTTGCAATGACATTGTTTTCTAAGAAGTACGCCCCATTCCTGTTTGGAGAATCTCACTTGTATGAGATCAAATCTGTGTCGCATGTCCGGTTTCATTCTGCTCCGCTGTTCCGTTGTTGTGCAGTAATTTGGAGGAAGAGCAGGATATGCTGGCGAATCAGATCGAGACTGCCGACACGCACTTCAAGTGAGTTCTGTTAACCTATTGGCTGTCATTGCCTGTGTGTACTGGAGCACATGTGACTGTGGCGTGTATCAGTTGCCTGCACCAGTTGCCTTTCCTAAACTCCCAAACACTTCACCAATTGCCTGCACACTGACTTCCTTACTCAGTGTCCCAAACGCTGCACCAGTTGTACAGCTACATGCAGTGTGCAATGGTGCAGCTTTTGGATAAGGCAAGTCGGTGTGCAGGCACCTGCAGGTTAGTTGCTAGGCATCTCCTGTGTTGTTTTGGGAGAAATCTGTCGAAATTCCTGGTGTCCGCCGTTTACTGTGTGTGCTGATCGCTGTGTGTATGGGTGTTTATGTGGCTGTGCATGCTGGTGTGTGCAGGGGCGGCCAATGCCGCACCAATGATTTCATCTTGTGAATATTTGAAGGGTTGCCTGATGATCGTAGTAATACGTGAAACTCAGAGTTGTGACAAAGCTTCCAATCTCTCTTGTGAATATTTTAAGCAATCAAATATGGGCTATCTGGGCCCAATTTCCGAAACGCTTTCCTAGCGGACCCCCCACCAGACCCTCCACCTATTCATGTCCGCACCAATGTCAAATACCTTCCGATGTCTGTGGTGTGGGTGTTGGTATGAGTGTGTGATTGTGTGATTGAATCAGCTGTGTGGTATAGACCAGGCTAAAATTAATGGCTGTCGATTCTTAACCATAGGTTGTTCGCTATCATCGCTTCAGCAATGGGCGTGTATACGTTATACATGTAGTAGTAAGTGAGTGTGTGTGTGTGTGTGTGTGTGTACATATTTATATGTACGTGTCGTGATGCAGAGCAAAGCTTCTTGTGAAAGTGATCAATGCTTGGCACCAAACTGCACATTCTTCAAAGGTACAGATTGGGTCTCAGTCTCTCTCTCTTCTCTCTCTCTCTCTCTCTCTATTTCTCTCTCTCTCTCTCTCTCTCTCTCTCTCTCTCTCTCTCTCTCTCTCTCTCTCTCTCTCTCTCTCTCTCTCTCTCTCTCTCTCGGTCTCTCTCTCTCTCTCTCTCTCTCTCTCTCTCTCTCTCTCTCTCTCTCTCTCTCTCTCTCTCTCTCTCTCGGTCTCTCTCTCTCCCTGTTTATTTTAGCTACCCACTAGCAGTTAGATCTTGGGAGCTTGCTACTCTTCCATTAGTTGTACTTCTATCCGGCGATATTGTGTTCTTTGATGATTTGTAGGAGTTAGAAGGAGTTTCTACAAACACATTATCATATGGAATGTCTACATGTGCTGTTTGAGAGATATTGGATGAATCAGTCATGCTAGTAGTATATTCTGGAGGATCTGTGTGGATATGGGTCTGTATCTGTCTGTGTGTCTGTGTCCGCTTTTGTCTGTACATCTGTATGCTCGTTTGCCCGTGCATGGTGGGCAGGCTGCCGCAAGCTCAGCGCCGAGAGTGGTGCCGGTGACTCGACCGTGCAGCAGCTCATCGCTACCTGGTGCCAGTAGTACTAACTACAGTGGTATGTTCCAATGTCGCTTTAAAAGCCTTGTCAACACCGATGTTGCCTTTTATTTTTTATTTGAAACTCGGGTATTGAGCCAGTAATAAATGTAGAAAGTATATAGTATCTAGTTCCAGTGGTGGAGAGTTACTCTTAACTCGTTCTATATGTCCTTTTTCCTTTCTTTATTTTTTTATTTTTTGTACAAGTGCCCATGAGCTCCAATCTTTTTAGAGTTGAGGAGCAACAGGGTAGTGAGGTCTAGTGTACTCGGCCGACCTGAGGTCTCGGCTTCATAGTGACCTAGATGCGCTGATATCATGAATAAAACTGAGCCTCGCTGTGTCTCTTTTGCCGAGCTGTAGAACTCGGACAGACGACATCCGGGCTTCCTTGATAGACGTTCGAAGTTCAAGTTCAAATAATCGTAGCGGGCCATTAACGCGTTGCTGTCTGCTGCACCGTCTCTGCTTTTGTTCAAATTCTCTCATGTATGTTACAGGTCTAGCATCGTTAGTATACAACCCCGGGGGTTTCGGATTGTTTGTCTTATAACGAGTATTATCTACTATCCGGACGTGAATGTACGCGTTTCAGGTGTCAAGGGATTTCTGATCGTTGTCTACTAATGCGGTTGTCTTGTAACTGATGTCATACTAACAAGGGTAGACCTGTATTGTTCGTTTCTGTGCTGTCGTGTAGTGGTTGGAGATAGCAAACACGAACAACCGATTGCTCCACCGGTAGATGCACCATCAGTTCGACGAAAGCCAAAATCGCTGGCCTCGGGTGTGACGGGACTGCGAAATCTCGGCAACACGTGCTACATGAACTCGGTCTTGCAAGCTCTCGGGTATGTGTGTATCCATGTGGCTGTGCTGTGCTGCGCTAGTCTTGGTGTCCTGTGCTAGTCAGGTGCTGTGCACTGCTCTATGGTGCTGTGTGGTGTGCTGTGCTATGCTGAGCCAGTCCTTGTGGTCTGTGCTAGTCAGGTGTTGTGCACTGCTCTGGTGTACTGTGCTAGTCAGGTGCTGTGCTAGTCAGGTGCTGTGCTAGTCAGGTGCTGTGCTAGTCAGGTGCTGTGCTAGTCAGGTGCTGTGCTAGTCAGGTGTTGTGCTAGTCAGGTGCTGTGCTAGTCAGGTGCTGTGCTAGTCAGGTGCTGTGCTAGTCAGGTGTTGTGCACTGCTCTGGTGTACTGTGCTAGTCAGGTGTTGTGCTAGTCAGGTGCTGTGCTAGTCAGGTGCTGTGCTAGTCAGGTGTTGTGCTAGTCAGGTGTTGTGCTAGTCAGGTGCTGTGCTAGTCAGGTGCTGTGCTAGTCAGGTGCTGTGCTAGTCAGGTGCTGTGCTAGTCAGGTGTTGTGCTAGTCAGGTGTTGTGCTAGTCAGGTGCTGTGCTAGTCAGGTGCTGTGCTAGTCAGGTGCTGTGCTAGTCAGGTGCTGTGCTAGTCAGGTGTTGTGCTAGTCAGGTGTTGTGCTAGTCAGGTGTTGTGCTAGTCAGGTGCTGTGCTAGTCAGGTGCTGTGCTAGTCAGGTGTTGTGCTAGTCAGGTGCTGTGCTAGTCAGGTGCTGTGCTGGTCAGGTGTTGTGCACTGCTCTGGTGTACTGTGCTAGTCAGGTGCTGTGCTAGTCAGGTGCTGTGCTAGTCAGGTGCTGTGCTAGTCAGGTGCTGTGCTAGTCAGGTTTTGTGCTAGTCAGGTGCTGTGCTAGTCAGGTGCTGTGCTAGTCAGGTGCTGTGCTAGTCAGGTGCTGTGCTAGTCAGGTGTTGTGCACTGCTCTGGTGTACTGTGCTAGTCAGGTGTTGTGCTAGTCAGGTGCTGTGCTAGTCAGGTGTTGTGCTAGTCAGGTGCTGTGCTAGTCAGGTGCTGTGCTAGTCAGGTGCTGTGCTAGTCAGGTGTTGTGCTAGTCAGGTGTTGTGCAGTGCTCTGGTGTACTGTGCTAGTCAGGTGCTGTGCTAGTCAGGTGCTGTGCTAGTCAGGTGCTGTGCTAGTCAGGTGTTGTGCTAGTCAGGTGCTGTGCAGTGCTCTGGTGTACTGTGCTAGTCAGGTGCTGTGCTAGTAGTCAGGTGTTGTGCACTGCTCTGGTGTACTGTGCTAGTCAGGTGCTGTGCTAGTCAGGTGCTGTGCTAGTCAGGTGCTGTGCTAGTCAGGTGTTGTGCTAGTCAGGTGCTGTGCTAGTCAGGTGCTGTGCTAGTCAGGTGCTGTGCTAGTCAGGTGTTGTGCTAGTCAGGTGCTGTGCTAGTCAGGTGTTGTGCTAGTCAGGTGCTGTGCTAGTCAGGTGCTGCGCTAGTCAGGTGCTGTGCTAGTCAGGTGCTGTGCTAGTCAGGTGTTGTGCTAGTCAGGTGCTGTGCTAGTCAGGTGCTGTGCTAGTCAGGTGTTGTGCAGTGCTCTGGTGTACTGTGCTAGTCAGGTGCTGTGCTAGTCAGGTGCTGTGCTAGTCAGGTGTTGTGCTAGTCAGGTGCTGTGCTAGTCAGGTGCTGTGCTAGTCAGGTGCTGTGCTAGTCAGGTGCTGTGCTAGTCAGGTGCTGTGCTAGTCAGGTGCTGTGCTAGTCAGGTGCTGTGCTAGTCAGGTGCTGTGCTAGTCAGGTGCTGTGCTGGTCAGGTGCTGTGCTAGTCAGGTGTTGTGCAGTGCTCTGGTGTACTGTGTTAGTCAGGTGTTGTGCACTGCTCTGGTGTACCGTGTTTGTGGTGTCGTGCTCCACAGTGCTCTGCTAGCCAGGTGTGCTGTACCCTGCTGTGCCATGCTCCACAGCGCTGGGTTGTATTGTGCTGTGCTGGGATCTGCTGTGCTATGCTATACTCTGCTCTACCATGTTGGGCTGGGCTCTGGTGTGCTCTGCTGGGCTGGGCTGGGCTCCGCATTGCTAGCCATTCATCATTTTAATCTGATGGTGCAGAGGCTCATGATTTAGATAGCAGATCAGAATACAATTTGATTCAATCCATTCACTGCCTTTCTGATAGTGTGTACACGTCGTATCTGCATGCCTTCATGTACCTGTTCCTGATGCCCAGACACTTGACATTCTTCCGCGAATGCTTTCGGCAAATGATGCTGCCTGTACTGACGGCGGGAGCAGCGACAGAGGGCATCAAGACCACGCCGTCCTCCGCCAGGCCAACATTCTCCAGGCTCCTCAGCACTCCCCAGGAGCGTGCCGAGAGCTTTCAGCGAGACTTGTTCTACGCGCGGCAGACCACCATCGAGTGTTTCAATGTGAGTTACTTGTGCACTCGGGAACAATGTTATGATTGTCGTTGTCTAAATTTCTGAATGCAATGAAGTATGTTGTAGCCGGTCAGAATGATGTGTGATTCCCATATAGCACATTCGAATCATGTTGAGCAGTGCGTTAACTCTGTTGTTCCTGCGTGTGAGGTGTGCGGTACTAATGCGGACAGTAACTGCTTCTGAACACACGCACACACGCACACACACACACATCCGTGCGTGGACAGTAGAGGCATTTTGATTCCTTGTTATCTGGGTTTGAGGATTCCTAAGAGCTCTGTAGAATTCATGTTGTGAAAGATGAGTGGATGTCTCTTCAGGTGACGGCGGCTGCTCCGAGTGAGATTCGTCCCGTACTCGTTTCACCGCAGTTTGTGAAGGTCTCAATCGGTGGGCATGCACACCATGACACAATCATGGTGGAATGGCAAGTCTTGGCTACTTGTGCACCTGTGTGGGTACAGTGCATACTGACGTTTCTCGGGGAAAAAACCCTCTAGGTCAATGGTGCTCTAAGCACTGAAATCTGGTGTAGCCCTCTCTGAATTTATTTGTTTTCTCTGTGTGTTGTTCAGCAATTGACCATGTCGTTCGCAGACAGCTCCACGAAGCATCGACTCTCAACTCACTCGGTTGGTTTAAACGGTGGTGACGGCGGGGCTACCAGCCAGCGTGGTCGTTCACATCGTGTTTCCAGTACGGGGGCCAGTAAGCCGGCTAGCAGCATGTCTTCGCCGGTGGTGGGCCAGTCGCAAGCGTCCCAGGCATCGCAATCACTGTTAGTCGGAGCTCAGCTCTTTATGTGTGTGTGTGTGTGTGCGTGCGTGTGTGTGTGGGGGGGGGGGGGCAACCATGTGCCATCTCTGAGGACTCGCTCTGGGGGGGCTCTTTCTCTTCCTAACTTCCCATGCCGGAGTTGGGTCTTCTTACATGTCTGTTTTCATCAACTTGAGTACCCCTTCGACTTCGTGCCCGTAGCAATAGTTGCGATGATAAAGGTGCTGAGGTTGGCTGGCATTATCATTCATGTGCTATTCATGCTGGTCTGTCATAATTACAATCTTGCCTTGTCTCTCATTGTGGCCTTTTCCCTGGTAGGTCTTTAGTGACGGGGCTGCATCAACTCTTTCGCGTCACATGGTCTGGGAAGTGCCCTGTGTTTTCTTTCTCGCAATGTGGCAATATTGGTGCGGTATCAGCTGACAACCTGGTGCCTCGCCTCACAGTTGAGCTGACGAGTTAGAATGTGTTTATTACTTGCTACCGTTTGATAGACTGGATGAAATGATTCATCTTGCTTGTGCTGGGTTTCAGTACTCTTCTGGGTACTGAGCTGATTTTTGTGATCTTGATATTAATTTATTAATTTTTGTTTTGTTATGGGTCTCTCTCTCTCTCTCTCTCTCTCTCTCTCTCTCTCTCTCTCTCTCTCTCTCTCTCTCTCTTTGTCTTTGTCTCTTTCTTTCTACCTAACTTCTTTGCCGCATGCTTAGACCGTGGCTACACCGAGCGCACTGCTAGTTTCCATCTGGCGACAGATCCCTTCTTTCCGTGGACACGAGCAGCAGGATGCACAGGAGTTTCTCTCGTGAGTGGGTTTTTTTCTGTTTTTCTTCACACCACGAGAAAGTCATTATGAGCTAAGTAGAGACAATGTAAGTGCTGTCTGATGATCACTTAGTTGTGAGTGATACTCAGAGACACAACGGTTTCTTCCTCCTCTTCTTCTTGTTGATTATTCTAACTTGAATTTGGTGGACTGTGCTATTGTGTAGGTGAGTGTGGCCAGTAACGTAGGTCTGTGTGAGCTGCTGGGGACTCTGAAGCCTAGTGGCTGCTGGGAAGCAGTTTGGTTGGTGCCAGTAGTCTATCCTGTGTTTGTACTTAGTGTGTGGTGTAGGGAGGTTCTTGCTTGCTTGTTATCAGTACCGCCTATGTGAGCATGGTCATTTAGTTAATGGTTTGCTGTGTGTGGGTGTGTATGTGCGTGTATGTGTCTGTCTGTCTGTCTATGTGTGGGTGCATGTGTGTGTGTATGCGTGTGTGGGGTGTGCGTGTGTGTGTCTGTTGGGTAACGCTTACGCTCTCTAGGCACTTACTGGAGCGCCTGGAGCTGGAGCTTGGTCGTCTTCCAACAACTTGTGTCGCCAGGCTGGTTCTACCCAAGAGAGAAATTGTGGTACCATCTGACATCATTCCGGCTGCTTTCCGTGGAAAGCTACTCAGCGAGGTAGGCAGAATGAAAGTCAAAGTAACTAAGGTCTTTTAAAAATCCCATTGAGCCTTTCACCCCCAGGTCTCGGCCAGGCTGGACCAACCTATTGGGAGCAGATTCTGCAGTGCGTGAATACGTGGGGGGGGGGGGGCAATCTGTCATATCTAGTATGTCATATAGTAGAATGACCCCCGTAGTGGAAGGCCCCCCCCCCCCCCCCCCCCCCGGTCATTGTACTATAATAGATTGCCCCCGGGGTCACTCTACTATATAGTACAACGACCCCCCTCGGCCGCTATTTTAGCAGAGGTCCGTGAACTCCTGAACTCTTGCTAGTACTACACCGTATACGTATACACGTGTAGATCGACCCCGAGGTCATACTCTTTCTCTCTGACAGATGCACACATTGGTTAAAATTTAATCAAACCTGGTGATTGTCATTCTCCTCTTTCAAGGATCAGAAACAAAACTCTTATTAGTTTCGCTCCCATGTCATTGGGCAACTCTGCCCGTTTGGTTCATGCGAAGTAAAATAAAAACCAACCAACCAACCAACCAAACTCGCTCAAAGTGCTCGGGGTGTACGTGTGTTGGGAATTTCTATGGAAATGTTTGGTCTCTCAAAAAAATGTATTGTACTTCTGACTACGAGAGTATTATGGCCCCATTTTTATCGCATTTCTGCCTTCATGGAGAGAATAGAAATATATAATTAATCACAAAGCCTTCGCCAATTGGTGATATTTTATGTTGGTAACCAAGGTAGTGGCTGACAACAAAAGGATGCTACTAACAATGCTGCTTAATTGATTATGACCAACAGTTAACGAACTAGTGAGAATGAGAGGTTGTAAATTAGAGGTTTACAGTTTTAGGGGCAAGGAGAAAAGTCACAGTAATCCCCTAGATCAAAAAGTAACAATCATCAACACACTGAATGAAAGCTAGGGGAGGATGCACGCACAATATGTTGCATATATTTTACTTTCGTCCAACAGACATCACAATATTGTAGTGGCACCCAGAGGAATTGTCGAGGTAAATCCCAAACTGGTTCTTGCCTGCACTGCGAGGTGTATGCTTCTGCCAGCTCAGACGACTTCCAAACTGGCAAAGAACAAATACAGGAACTTGAAGCCAGTCGGCAACCGCTTGGCATTCATCGTTTGTGCCCCAAACTCCAAGTTCTCGCATCTTCTTCCTTTGGAGGTAGTCGTCACCAGTTGTTCCGTCAAATTCCAGAGCTGACCCGTTGATGTGCTCACAAACAAGTTGACGCACTTCCGCATGCTGGTCCTCGCTGCCAGTCACTGCATAGGCTACAGCTCGGAAAAAGCAGTTGCCATCACCTCCAATCTGCTTGTTCCTGGTCGGCTTTGAAAAAGCGTTGAATGGCTTGTTGCATACTTGGCCATAGGGCCCGGATTTAGACACATATGTTAGATTCTCCTTGTTGCACACCTTTCTTTGCCACTGTACATTGGGAGGAGCAAAGAGATGTTGCGATGGTGATGTGGTAGTGCCAGTAATAACAACATCAGGACTGCGGCTGCTTGTGGTGGTAGCTGTTGCACCTATTCTCATGGCGACACTTCGACACAAGCTCACTCCTTTTGTTGAGAGAGAGGTGCTTGGGTGCTTGCGCGATTGCCAATTTCTCTGCCAGGCACAGGTTGCACCTTTTGCTTTTGTTGCTCTACCACTCGGTATTGAGCACTCTCTTGGACAGCCTGGAACCTCTCTGTTTTAATATCAATGCACCTATCACACACACAATAATCCAAAAGGAGCAAGGAGCACACAGAAAACGCAAAGGAACACTGAACTTGCAAACTTTCTTCCAACTCCAAAACAAAAACAATCCAACACAAGGTGGGATGTTCATGTCTCCTAAAGAGGAAAAGTGCGCGACCTATGTACACATGTTGTGGACTTTTCACCACATATTCCCACAATCAAGAGTACATAACCCCGGACTCTTGCCACAATCCATAATGTCCACGTGGAATCTGTGGTGTAAACTCCATCCCTTTCTACCTGCACGTGCGAAACGACAAGTCTGGTGGACTCTGTAGTAGAATGACAGGGGGCAATCTACTATATAGTAGAACGACCCCCCCCCCGGGCATTGTACTATAGTAGAGTGACCCCGGGGTCACTCTACTATATAGTACAATGCCCGGGGGGGGGTCCATCTGCTGGGGGGTCATTCTACTATAGTACACCGGCCGTGCAAGTATCGATCAGCGCTGTGCAGTCAGTGCAGTGCAGTCAGTGCAGTGAGTGATGCATGCGCATGTACGAGTCGTACTGTACAGATCTGTTGCAAAACGATCGATCATCGACGCATCGCGTAGTACGTAATAGTACAAATTTCATATTCGCGTGTCAAACTTTCGCGATTCGACCCTGCTCGCGAAAGTTAATCGCTCGCGAAAGTTTGTCGTTTTACAGTATTCTTACCTGGCCGTCTAAGAAACATATTTACATGCATGTGTTTTTCGGGGGGGGGGGGGGAATTGCCAACGAGTGACACCGCTTTCTTACTCTCCCTGTCTTCATGACACACACAAACACGGACACACACCATGCCTTGCCTGTGTACTTGTAGGTGACTTGCCAGACATGCGGGACGAGAACGAAGCAGCGCGAAGTGTTCTACGACATCTCGCTTGACTTTCCCGACAGGTATGCACAATACGCTGTTGTGATTCAGATATTTGTACAATCATGTGGAATCCTGATAATTCACCCAAAGGCCACGTTTGCTTCAGACTCTTTAGACTGAGTTTTCCGCATCCGAAGGAGCGCCACCGCCCGCAAGGACAAGGCTGTTCCCAAATTGCAAGGAAACACTTTGAATTATCTGTAGATGCTCTAACTGTCCACCCACGCACCTACAACACCATACGCATATCAAAATGCTCGCCTTGTTACTCCGTGTTGCAATAAGTGGTATGGACACATTTTTGCTCACTCTGACCTTTGCAGTACAGTCGGTTTGCCCGTACTGAACTGACCAGTGCAGTGTACAGTGTATATCCAAGTATAAGCGAATGGCCAAATGCCCCCACATATTTTATGTGTACATGTACCCGGATTTTGTGGCACTTTTTAGTTTTTTTATTAGGCGTGCGTGTGTTTCGTTCATGAACATGAAATAACTGTGTGCACGTGTACACTTGGGGTCTGCTTCTGGGTGTGCCGGCTTCAGTGTGTACTAGTATCAGGGCGTGTGCACTATGTGTGTATGCTGTGTGCCCTGTTGTGTTCAAGGTACCAAGCCAAGATGGCTAGCTCCAGGTCTTGCAAGAGAACGGGGCGACCGCCATGTCAGGAGCCGTGTGATCTAAAAGGTACTACGTCGCTCATACACTGCCCGTATTAAACTTTGAAATGTCCGTACCTCCAAATCACATACATTGTTGATGGGGAAAGGCCATAGATCTGGCATATTTGAACAGGTGACGTGGAGACAATAAGGCAATGAATAAAACAATGTGTGCACTCATATCACAATCGTTGCTATGATTATGATACGAGTGCACATCATTGCATCCATTTCTTCAGCCACTGTACGAAGATCCCTGAGGCACTTTGGGCTTTTATGATACACGTAGTAGATGTTCATGAGCATGTTGGAGACTTCGTCCAGATAGGTGTTCTTAAACGCATCCTTCGCTGCCAGCTCCAGGCGATGGTTAAAGCAATGGACAGCAATAAGCCATGGCATGTCATACTCAATTCTGAGGAGTGCTGCTACTCCGCGCCGGACACCCAAATTTACCGCAGCACCATCCATGCACATGCAGACGAGTTTTGAGCGCCAGTTGTCGACTCCGAGAGAGATGAAGGTTTCATCGATGCACTGAATCAGACCGGCAGCAGTGCAGTCCGCCACATCCTTCAGTGCAAGAAAGTGAGCTTGTACACAACCTTGTTCAGCACTCACATACAATACATACATGAGCTCCTTCTCTTTAACGCTGCTGTCTGTAGATCCATCTATACGGCTGGTCATGAACTTGGCTGACTTCATCTCTTGCAGCACGGAATCCCTCATCGTCTCACCGACAATCTCCACGAATTCACTACACTTGTGGGGAGCACAGTACGTCGACCCTACGGAAACGCCGTGTCTCTTCTTTAGATCTACTTACTAGCCCAGGGTACTTTGCAAACGGCAACTCTTCAGCGGCAACGAAGTAGGCAACTTCGAACAGCTTCTTCAGTCTCGTGTGGTCCTCTGCATTGGCACCAGCTATCGCCTTTCCAAGCGGCGGTGATCTGTAAATATCTTGAAGTGTCATTGTAACAGTTCGCCCAAGATTCACAGCTTTCGTATGCATATCTGAGCGAGAGTGCTTGGCAACGTTGTCCTTCTTCAGTGCACTTCCACTTATACCGTCACCGAACGCCGTGCTGTAATTCCTCAAACCACGAAGCGAGGACGCCTTCTCCCTGTACATCTTGCAAGATATCTTGGTCACAGCTCCACCCCTCGACTCTGCGCAAATCCATTCTTTTTTGGGATCAAATTCAGCAATCCACTTGTCCACAGTGCCTTGCTTCACAGACATGTCGCCAGTGAAGAGGCTTCATCAATAAGGCAAGCAGAGTTTACAAAGATAAGTCCTGAACGGTCGAGACGCCTACTGCTAGTGAAGGAACGCGGTCTAAATCTCAAAAGCAGGTGAAGTACTTGTCGACACTCGCCTCGTGCTTCCTGGGCTGCACTTCAAGTAAGTTAGTTAGTTTCCAAGTTCACGTGCTGCAGTGCGCGCGCACACGCGGAGAAAGTGCGACATATGGATATGGTCCCGCGGCCCGCGCGTGCGTATCGTGTAGAATCTACCTGCAGTGCAGGCTGGTCAACCACACACACACAGTCTAATCTAGGCACAGTGCATGCCGCGCCGCCTCGTGGCGCCTAACCGGCCACACACACACACTGTAAAGCTACACATGTGCATGCGCTACGCGTGCACTACAAGTCTATGTCCAGGGCCATACTAACATGTATGTTGTGTCGCAGTTTACCGCGACTCACTTTGAATCGCAGACACTGTTTTGCGTCCAAACTGCGCTGCGATACCGGTTTAATTAGTCCCTGCTACTGCAAGTCAACAAATATTCGGCGCATATTTATTTTCGGCCTGGTAATGTTTGGCCGAAAATTTGTTGCTGGCGGTATTTTGTTTTGCAAGGTTCAGTGTGATAGTGTATACAGGTGGCAACAGTGCAGGCCGAAAATTTGATGCGGCCAAAATGGGTTTTAGCCCTGGGAGGCCGAAGTTTGAATGGGTCGAAAACTTGTAGACTTACAGTATCTGTTTGATTGGCATGCCAGGCATGAGTATCCTGTACGATTGGCATGCCAGGCATGAGTATCCTGTACGATTGGCATGCCAGGCATGAGTATCCTGTACGATTGGCATGCCAGGCATGAGTATCCTGTACGATTGGCATGCCAGGCATGAGTATCCTGTACGATTGGCATGCCAGGCATGAGTATCCTGTACGATTGGCATGCCAGGCATGAGTATCCTGTACGATTGGCATGCCAGGCATGAGTATCCTGTACGATTGGCATGCCAGGCATGAGTATCCTGTACGATTGGCATGCCAGGCATGAGTATGCTGTACGATTGGCATGCCAGGCATGAGTATCCTGTACGATTGGCATGCCAGGCATGAGTATCCTGTACGATTGGCATGCCAGGCATGAGTATCCTGTACGATTGGCATGCCAGGCATGAGTATCCTGTACGATTGGCATGCCAGGCATGAGTATCCTGTACGATTGGCATGCCAGGCATGAGTATCCTGTACGATTGGCATGCCAGGCATGAGTATCCTGTACGATTGGCATGCCAGGCATGAGTATCCTGTACGATTGGCATGCCAGGCATGAGTATGCTGTACGATTGGCATGCCAGGCATGAGTATCCTGTACGATTGGCATGCCAGGCATGAGTATCCTGTACGATTGGCGTGCCAGGCATGAGTATCCTGTACGATTGGCATGCCAGGCATGAGTATCCTGTACGATTGGCATGCCAGGCATGAGTATCCTGTACGATTGGCATGCCAGGCATGAGTATCCTGTACGATTGGCATGCCAGGCATGAGTATCCTGTACGATTGGCGTGCCAGGCATGAGTATCCTGTACGATTGGCATGCCAGGCATGAGTATCCTGTACGATTGGCATGCCAGGCATGAGTATCCTGTACGATTGGCATGCCAGGCATGAGTATCCTGTACGATTGGCGTGCCAGGCATGAGTATCCTGTACGATTGGCATGCCAGGCATGAGTATCCTGTACGATTGGCATGTCAGGCGCAAGCATGCTGCACGCATTAAGTCCACATTCTGTTTGTACTTTGTTTCACGTTCTTCATTCGTTTCTAATTGTTCGTACACTCCAACACAGCCACTCACTCGCACATGATTTACTCTCCACTTCTCCGACTCCGAGAACGGTCTCTTCACTGCGAATATCTCCGAAAATTGTGATATGGAATGTAAATTATCCGTGTTTGCCATTGGAGTTGGAGAAGTGACGAGCTTGTCATGCTCCTCATTCGTCAACCCATTCTGTGTGTGTGTGTGTGTTTGTGTGTGTTTGTGTGTGTGTGTGTGTGTGTTTGTGTGTGTGTGTGTGTGTGTGTGTGTGTGTGAGAGAGAGAGAGAGAGAGAGAGAGAGAGAGAGAGAGAGAGAGAGAGAGAGAGAGAGAGAGAGAGAGAGAGAGAGAGAGAGAGAGAGAGAGAGAGAGAGAGCGAGAGGGAGAGAGTTTGAGAGAGCAGGGGTGATTGGAAAGTGTAGTTGAACTGCCACGCAAAACTTCTTTCTATAATGTACAGAGTAAGGCTTTGCATGCACTTCAACGTATAGAAAACATTTCAAGTTAGAAGCTGTAGGGTTCAGTAGTTGTAGTATGAGCAATGAATAGCCTCAACTGCAAAACATCTTCAAGCATTAATGCAATCATGTGTGTGTGTGTCAATCTGCCTTTTGTTTGTGCACCGGTCAGATATCCTGGAGAAGTTTGTGGCCTGCGAGGACCTGGGACCCATCTTCTTGTGCAACATGTGCCTGGGTGTTACAAGTCAGGCAGCGGGAGTAGGTAAGTACACATGTACACTGCTGGTCAGAGAAATCCAACCACATGAATAAAATTACGCAGGACGCTGCGCAGCCCTAGCACTACATGCATTGTTCTGTACACTCGAACGCTACGCTACTTTATTCATGAGGTTGGATTTCTCTGGCCAGAAGTGCGCCTCTCTAGGACTAGGAGCTTAGATTTTTGCAGGGCGGTGGAGTTCCTACGGATGCTGAAATCTCAGTCTGAGTCTCAAGCGAACCGTGCATTTTTTTAACGCATCGCCGAAGTCGCACCAACCTCTTCTTCACACAATCAACGATGATAATTCAATTTGTTGTGTCCCTGTTGACGATGCGTGCTTGCCCTGCAGCCAAGCGCCGTGTCAGTCGCAGTGCCAGTGTCATCACAGCTGGGCAGCGCTATCAACCCGCCGTCAAGCAGCTACGCTTGGAGAGGCCACCAGAGGTGAGTCACTGATGAACGACGCATAAGAAAGCCTCAGGCCTGTGGGGATGCCCTATTCAATTCTTTTTACATAAATCATGCGTTCATAATTATCATAAAGCGAAGGTCCCTGGTTCGAGTCCTGGTGACTGATGACAGTCAATTTTTTCTTCAGACTTTTCCTGTTTGCATCTTTCCCTCAAACCAGTGAAAATATTAATCATGAGCGCTTTTTGGCGTTCAGCCTCTGCTTGTCCCCAGCAATGGTAGCTATAAGGGACAAACATGTTGGAGTAGAGGGGGGGGGGGGGGTAATAGCAGTGCACTTGGACATACAGGGGCGTCGCACACAGTACGGTCACTACGGTATTGATTGTACCACTTTTTGCCCCTAGTACCCCGGGAATCAATAAAATGCACTGATTTGGGCTCTAAAATAATTCCAAAATTTTCGGCTCAGCCACCACTCCCCCACGAGTAAATTGTACTTCAGATGGCTGACCGTACCACACTAAAATACCTTCCGACGCCCCTGACATAACTGTATTTTAACCTCATTTCTTCACATTCTGTTCAAATTGTCTTTGATTGGTCTTCTTGTGCAGGTGCTGAGGCTCCATCTGAAGCGGTTTAGGTGAGTGCCGCTTGGTAGACTCCTCTGCCCTGGTTGATTGTCGGTTGACTGCCGTTTTCCCAGTGTAATCGATTCTGAATGTGACCCAGGAATATTCACCGACCGGTGAAATTCTAGCCTGTTTGTTCTTCGGCTGCCGACAGTACTGCAGCTGAACTGTGCAATATGAGTATAGCAGATCATTTCAGCACTGGATTGTCGTGACATTGTGCTTACAAGTACCACAGACTGACGTGTTGTCGGCCATGGTGATGTGTGTCTGTGTGTATGTGTGTGTGTGTGTGTGTGTGTGTGTGTGTATGTGTGTATGTGTGTGTGTGTGTGTGTGTGTGTGTGTGTGTGTGTGTGTGTGTGTGTGTGTGTGTGTGTGTGTGTGTGTGTCTGTGTGTATGTGTGTGTGTCTGTGTGTCTGTGTGTGTGTGTGTGTGTGTGTGTATGTGTGTATGTGTGTGTGTGTGTGTGTGTGTGTGTGTGTGTGTGTGTGTTCTCTTATTCCTGCAGGTGGTTTCACTCGAGCCGCGAGAAGATCAACGTTCACGTACACTTTCCCCTGGAGCTGGACATACGGCCGTACTGCGTTCCACCGCCTACACCTGCCACTCGCCAGCCACAGCGGCAGTGTGCACCGCCGGACGGGCCCAGCTCTGCTGCCGCCACCGCAACTGCCGCCGCGGCGACTAAACCAGCCAATGCCAGGCCGGTGTCGTCACGCGCCGCGAGAGGTCGCAATCCGCTGGTCCGCACCGCAGCAGTGGACCATTCCACTAGCGTTAATCCTGCAGCCTCGTCACAACCCTGCAACAGTAGTGGTGGTGGCGATGGTGAGCTTGTCTCTCTTGAAGACGTGCTCGACCTCTCCGAGGTGTTCGGCAAGCGGCCGGCATCGCGGCTGTGCAATAACGCGGATGATAACGGCGGTGGTGGCGGTGATGATCATGATGGTGACGATACGTTTGAGGGTCCCGCCAGCCAGTTCAGTGCCGATGACTATATCTACGACTTGTCCAGCATCATCATGCATCATGGCACCGGGTAAGAAAAAAGTACTTTTCCGTATCTCTGTGTGTGTGTGTTTCATGATGTGGTTGATGTGATGGAGGACAGTACCCATGATTGACGTGCTGCGGAGCTGTCAAGCCGCAGTGAACCCTGCCCCTTGTACAGCGTAGCTGAACAGAGGCTTTGCTGCAGAGATTAGCCCCTCACTCTGCTGTACGTGTGTGTGTGTGTGTGCGTGTGTGTGTGCACGTGTGTGTGTGTGTGCGTGTGTGTGTGCGTATTGTTTGCTGCTGTCATGGTACCCAGGTTCAATCGTGGCCACTACACGTCCTACTGTTGGAACGAGATAGCAAGTAAGATTTAGATTTTTGCACATGTTTCCGTGCTCGCAGGCACACATATGCACACACACGCACACACACACACGCACACACACTCTCTCTCTCTCTCTCTCTCTCCCTCCCGGACCGCTCACTGGCTCAGGTAATTGAAGACATCATGTGACCCTCTGATGTAAGGGTTGTGTGGAGTTGGAACCAACATGGCTGCTCCGTACGGTCATATGATAGATGTGAAACGGCTCGATTGTCGCTTGACAAATTCACTGTACGTTTGTACGTACTTGTATTTACCGGTTTGTTGTTTGTGTTTTCTTCAGGGAGCTGGGTGCACTGCAACGATGCACGTCTAACGCTGTGTTCCGAAGCGGAGGTGCTGCAATCGCAGGCCTACATTCTCTTCTACGTACGCCGTCATGGACGAGCAGGCACAGGTACGTGTACCACATTTCTTTTTGCATTTGGTTGTGCAGTTGTACTTTTTCTTCATCTTCTCGTGCTATACAGCACTGCATGTTACATAAATCAATGTACCGCTACGCTCGCTGGAATCCAACCCAAAGTGACTGGCGCCCTGGATAAGTTCCGATTAGGCGATGACCAGGGGTGAAACGGGTGCCAAAATCGAGGACCCGATTACATCACGGTACTTGTACATGTGTATGTCCAGCCGCATTCATACCACTTCCAGGACGTCAAGGGCCGTGCAAGTTGAGGCCGCCAACAAAGCACTCTGGGTCGGATTTCACCGAGCACAACTGTACCTGCTGCCACTAAGGCAGTTTCTGTTGCAGATGGCTTTGCATATCGACTTCTGGTGGTTTGTTGACACCAAGATATGCACATTCACTCATTAGATGTGTGAAATACACTCCTATCTCTCTTACCCGGACCTCGAAGTAACGGGCACAGTGTGGGTGAGTTTTAGTGGAAATACAGGGTTCTAGCCAAAAAAAAGAGGAGGGTAGCGGGGCGCAGCGCCCTCCTACTCTGATTGAGCGCTCCTCTGTGAAAAAGTGTCCCCCCCCCCCCCCTACTCATTTGTCTATTTTTGTAGGGGTGACAGGGGTGATCCGGGTACCCGTCTGTTTAGCTGTTGATCCGTTAGCAAACGAGTACCCGTTAGTCGTGCACAATGTTACAGTACAGTATTATTAGCTGGCTTGTATAGCCGTACAGTTCGATGTGCAGTTCGAGTGTGATATTGGTTGTTCGATCCTGCTACTTATGACAATTTTGACTGTTTTGCAAGTAGTGCAGTAAGTGCATATGCTGCACTCTTGTCGCGATGTAGTGTACTTGCTGTGAATTGCATGTCATCGCATGTACTCCTGGTACGAAATGCGAAAGGCTATTGTATAGTAACTGTTACTATTGGCTGCTAAGGGTACCCGATAACCCGTCCGTTAAGCCACGTACCCGTTTGCAACCTTAAAGGGTAACCGTTTAACCCCTATATTTTTGTGCTTTTTCATGCCATTCAACGAAAAATGCAGTCAATACTCAATAGTCACTACTACTAGAGGGTTCATAAAGGCACAGTTGTCTGGGGTGAAGTCGGGGGTTCGTCCCATACGTTGCATGGCAAGACAATTTTTGGAAAATGGAAAAAATGGGTTACGGGGTAACTGTTTCCTATGCCCCCCCCCCGTACTATTTTGACCTGGCTAGAACCCTGAAATATTACTGCTCTTTTGAAAAATTTCGTGGAAATAGTGACGCCACATGCCCGTATCTGTGGCTCTTCCTCCTCAAAGCGTGAACGTTATGTGGTTCAGAGTTACGGACATTTTTAAAGCTACGGGCACTGCCTAGTCCTGGGCCGCCCAAATTTTTCCTGGCTTAAGTGCAGTGCTAACTCTGGTCTTGTTGCTCTTGCCTATCTCTTCCTAGGCTATTCGCCATTCTCGGCTAATGTTCCCATGGCAACCACGCCAATCTCGCCGTCAACATTGTCTCCTCTCTTTGCGCCCAGCTCCAAGGTGACACCCACTAGATGAATGAAATGGCATGGTGGAGTTGTCACATGCGTGTATTTAGTTTCCATCACCCGCGGTATCGTAGGTTTGCCGCGCGCTAGAGAGAGAGAGAGAGAGAGAGAGAATGTGCGTGTGTGTGTGTGTGTGTGTGTGTGTGTGTGTGTGTGTGTGTGTGTGTGTGTGTGTGTGTGTGTGTGTGTGTGTGTGTGTGTGTGCAGCACAGTTGTACGGCCATGGTGGAAGTCGACATTGCCCTCATTGGTTCTCTGCTGCAGTATCACAGGCATTTGTTGATACGTACAATCCAGTCTACTCCCACTGCGCCATGGACAGCTGTGTGTGATCTGTTTTTTGGCATGCCCCTACATGTTCATGTATCGCCGGCCTGAAGTGATGATGTTCAAGTTTATCAGGCATGCATGCCCGGGTATATATTTGCACGCGGCCGTTTGTTTTAGCGTTCATTTCTTTTCAGCCGTGACACTGCGTGGCCGTGAGTGTGTATACTGCAGGTGCTGTGCAGCGGTTGTCTCGTGTTTGTTTTCATCGTGTTCCCCGTGTCGTGAATTTTTTTATACTTTGACTTGATCTATGTACTTGTAGGCTGTATTGAGATACTGGGACGATCGAGAGGCGTTGAAAGATTTCTACGCTCTCCGACACACACACGTACACACACGAACACTCACACACACACACGCACACACACACACATACGCATGTGTAGCTTGATCTTGATTGTATCTTCTTCCGGAGATTTCTCATGGTGCTCTGCACCGTTCTCTGCTGGGTTGTTTCTTTGTTGCATCACCTTTTTCTCTCTCGCTTGTATTGTTCGCCGGCTATGCCTAGCCCTGCTTACTACAACACGCTGACAGCTGCAGGCTAGCTGTCGTAGCCATGATCCCAGTGTGCATGTGGGTGCGTGCGTGTGGGCGCCAATACACACTGTTCGCTCCTGTCAAGTCTTGGCTCTTGATTCGTTGTTTCCTATTTTAAATCCTATCGTTACGGAATATTACTGCATATGATAACCCACTGCCATGGTGTGTTTGTACGAGCAAGTGCATTGTGCTCCAGACCACGTGTTGTACAGTAAAACCTGTCAAGGCGACCACCTGTCCAAGAAGACCACTGAAACCAGGCTCAAGTCAAGGGATGCTATTTCCAGTCAAATGGCCCTGGATAAGGAGACCAACTGGTAACAGAGACCACATTTTGAAGGTCCCTTGAGCGGTCGTCCTTTGACAGGTTTCACTGTACTTTCAAGAACACGTACAGTACTGTCAGGTGCCGAAGAGCAGGGAGTCGGTATTTTACGACTCCCTGCCGAAGAGCTGGAGGTTGGCCACGTAGCCTACTGACTAGGGGTGAAACAATTATACCGAATACTCGAGTACTCGCTCGGTTTTTTCAAAAATAATCGTAGCCTACTGCACTGTAGGTTGTTCTTAGTCTTTGTGCAGTGCGAGTCACCACGTACTCGTACAGCGCTGGCAACTGAAATCCGACCCCAGCTCACATCGCAAAGACCGTAAAACTACGAAACAGAGACCGCTAGAATGTGAACCCACCGCCCAGGGGGTCGGATTTCAGTTGCTAGCACTGTACGTACGTGTACTTGTAGATATTGGTATGCTGCGCATGATGAAATTCTTGCCTGTCCGTTCTTCGCCCAACACGGCAACAGCACTACTGTGGCTCCTGTGACTCGCAACACTCACCTCTTCACGTCAGAGACTGCAGCTGACAAGGAGATCTGCCACACACGCATGCATGCATGCATTCATTCTTTTTGATTCCTCACCGGGACCCAGGGATGCACTCAGTCAGACCCTGCATGCCCATGCTGCAGCACCCACAGCCACTTTTCACGTCCTTGCTAGGTATCGCCAGGGAGTTATTCTTTTTTTAAAACAACCCAACATGTACAGGTATTCGGGAAACGGATCAAGACAAGTTTAGCAACATGAACATGGAGGCAAAGGGATACAATGGTCGCAGACCGGAAAGCAAAGACGTGAAACAAGTCGCAGCACAAACAACGACAGTAGAAGCTGGAAAAGAGCACAGCATAGGGCCAAGGGCCAGAAGCGTAAAAGAAGAAATGAGACGGCACAGAATGTACAAGCGGAACAGACAGGGAACGGGCGACATTGGCACGTCTTCTTCAAGGGCACATCCACGCCGCGCCATCTACTTCTTGGCAAACGCCACGGAGATGGAGTGCGTGGGCGTGATTTTGAAGTTGTTCAGTGGCGTCCGCGCTGCGCCCGCCTGCACCTCGTTCTCAAACTCCACAAACGCAATGTCGTGACGACCAGGCACCAGACGAACTTCCTTGAAGCCAGGATACCTGCAAAAGAAAGAGAAAAAAAGGACAGAAAACAAAGAATGGTGAACATAGGAAGGATATCAACATCATCATGTCCAGGAACCCAATTTTCTACGAGCGTAAGATGAGGACAACCTTGTACAAGTCACCGTATTACCAAGTCCAACAGCAGTTAGACTAACAGCTTCAAACGGTCAGTGAAGAAATGTGATGAGGATACTACTGTAAAGATCACACGAATCGGTCACTCAGAGCACGAAGGTCGGAAGTTCAACTTCAAGGTTCAACGGATAGAGAGAGAGAGTGAAAATGTCGAAGTCAGAGCTTATCAAGGGCCTGGGTGGCTATGGAAATGAATGTACTAGAGCGCGAATTCAGCTACCCAGGCCAACGGAAGAAAAGGGAACAAAGGTGAGTACGAGAGTGTAAAGGTGAGCATGAGAGTGTGAAGGTGAGTACGAGTGTGCGGAGGTGAGTACGAGTGTGTAAAGGTGAGTGCGAGTGTGCGAGAGCGTGCATATGTGAGATCGTGAACCTAACACTACTACAGCATGTTAACGAAAGTCAGGGGAAATCAAAAATTATGTCAGCAATTATTTTTGCCGCTGATGTATAATGTCCTTTCTTCCGTCCGCCCACTGTGGTCGGGCAAACACACACACGCACACACGCACACACACACACACACACACACACACACACACACACACACACACACACACACACACACTCTCTCTCTCTCTCTCTCCCTCCCTCTCACTGAGCCTTGACATATAATCAAGAGCTAGGTAACTGTGGTTCATAGCCAGCAGCAGAGCAACAGACGGTAGAGTAGTGCTACAATGTACTTACTGCTGGAAAAGCATCTTGACCATCATTTCATTTGCTTCCTCGGGCAGCTGAGTGATGAAGAGGATCTTGTTGGGAAGCTCAACCGCCGGCTGGGCTGGAGCAACTATTCAGGTCAGCATCACAATCGACACCAGCAGAAATGGCAGAGGTGACAACAGCAGCAGCAGCAGCAGCAGCAGCAACAACAACACAATCAATCACAACCACTTTACAGCTACAGATGTTGCTTGGCACCAACCGGGTTGGATGAAAAGACAGGATCACTGTGCGGCTGAACACTACAGTTGTGGCATCCGAAACCTAACCCAGTGCATTATAAGAACCTCAGGACTGCATGTACTTAGCACTATGAGCGCTTAGCTGCGCAGCGAATGTTGCTACATTGAAATCAAGTACTGACCAGTGACATTCGCCCTCATGAACGAGAGAGCTTGGAAGCTCAGGGCCCTACGCTATGCTTTTTTGCCTTGATGACCTAGACAAAAAAAAAGCATAGGGATGTTATAAATTCTTTAAAAAATTCCTTTTTTTTCAAGACATAACCTGGGATTCGAACCCGCACTATCACGCGCCCTGCATGCATCCCCCGATACACTTCGCATACATACTAATTCTTCCAAGTTGTTTCACATTGTGATCTTGCATTTGAAAGCCCTATTTGAATATGCATTGTGGCCAGCCGTCTTTGATGGCACGGTACGGTAGGGGATAGGTACGCGACAGGTACGATCGAGGGTAATACGACACCGTCTCCCGTACCGTACCATCAAACACAGCTGGCCACATACAGCTGCCCGCAATATTCAAATAGGGCTTTCAAACGCAAGATAATAACGTAAAGCAACTTGGAAGAATGGGTATGAATGCGAAGTGTATGGGGGAATGCATGTAGGGCGATAGTGCGGGTTCGAATCCCAGGATATGCCTGAAAAAAAAGGAGAATTGAAAAATGTATAACATCCTATGCTTTTTTGCCGTCAGATACGGATAGCGCCAGGCGTGACACAAACAAACACACAAACACCAAATTAAAGCTGTGTGGACCCTGGCTAGCGCCAGACGTTACTGAAGTAACGTCTTCTGCATAGCTACGGGAATACAACAGGGCTGGACACTACGGCACTGCACAACCCTAGCACAATTCACACTGCTCGATGCTCTCAAATGCAGTCCTACTGTATTTCACAAAGTCAAATTTCACGTCACTATTCAAATTTCACTGGACATTTTAAAAGTATTCAAGAGGGTGGAAGCGGGTTGATTGCTGCTAGCTGGGTACACGGTAGAGTACTGAACCGAAGTTATACGGATCACAACTACTTTTAAGTTATCACCAGCAACATCAGCACGTATGGTGCATTGGCCAGTGGCCGTGACCAAGAGTACATACCTACTCAACACTCAGTGGCCGTGACCTACCTTGCTGAGCCGGTGCGGCTACTTGCTGCTGTTGTTGCTGTTGTTGTTGTTGCTGCATGGCCACAGGTGCCTGCTGTGCCACAACGTGTGGCGGCGGCATCATCATGACTGGTGCCTGGGCAGCAGCCGCTTCCATGCGCTTCTTCGCCAGGCGACTCTGGATGGCTGCAACGGGATAGGAAAAACCAGGCACGCACGCAAACAACATAATGCGTATTGTACGAATGCCGTATGACTGAAGTAGTGGCATTGCCTCGCCAAAGCCCACCCGACCGGTCTCTAAAACATCTCCAGTCGAGGTGAAACCTGGTGAAGAGATCACCTGGTCTGTAAGACCACCTGTTTGCCGCAACCACCTGGCCTGTAGGGCCACCTGCTTTTTGCAACTACCTGCTCAAGAGATCACCTGGTTTCAGCAACCACTTGATCTGCAAGACCACCTGGTTTCAGCAACCACCTGGTCTGAAAGACCACTATTTTTTTGGCACCAAGCATGTGCAACGTGCAGGGGTCACACTGGCTTCAGAGGTTATCACCGTTACTTATTGTCATAGGCCAGCAGTCCCGAGTCTCGGGAGCGGTCACCGACAACCGGTTCCACCTGCACTGGCGCATAGATATTGCTACAACAGAGCACAGTAAACAAAACTTGTCAAGGTGACCACTCTGATAATGTGACTACCTGTCCCGGAGGACCATTACAACTAGGAACAAGGAATGACATTTCCCGTCAAACGACCCAGGAAAGGAGACCACCCATTGAAGGTCCGTTGAGCAGTCGCCTTTGCTGCATTATCAGTCTGACACAGTACTGCAATACCCTAGGATGATGCTCTCAAGGCTGAACAGTGGGTACAGTCAGACCTCGCATAACCGCACACATCCGTTTTCCACAGAAATATCCGGATACGCGAGGGAACCGGATAATCGAACACAGACACTGTATGTATTCATGACGTATGCTGTAAATCGATAACCAGCGATTTTCTTCCAGATGGCAAGGGATCCAGATTAAAGAGGACCGGATAAGCGAGGTCTGACTGTACTGAAACTACTGATCCTTGTTTTGCTGTGGTATACCCAAGGTCTATGCTGGGATGGAGGAAAGGAAACCCACAGCAGAATAATGTTACAGTACCAAAAAGGTGGCCAAATGTTCATCGTTGTTTCTCAAGTTTAATACCGTAAAAGCCCGTGTATAGGCCCCGGGCGTATAGAATAGCAGCCTCGATTTCCTGGGCGTATACAAGGGCACGGGCGTATACTTGGAATAGGGATAGCAGTAAGCATTGGGTATCGGTACCTGTACATGTACTGGTGTTGCCGGCATACCTGGCCGTATACATGGGCATGGGCGTTATTTTGAAACAAAATTGTTGACTTCCCCTGACTGGGCGTGTACACGGAGAGTGGGCGTAATTTCGAGTGGGCGTATACAGGGGCTTTTACGGTATACTGGAATAGAACACACAAAAAGTGCACACGCACGCACGCACACACACACGTGCACACACGCACGCACGCACACACACACACACAAACAGCAGCAACAAATAATCTCTCTGCCCTCTTATCGCCGACCTACCTTGTTCCTCTGCCTTGCGCTTCTCTCCCTTGGTGACCTTGGGCCGTTCAACATAGGTACCTTCAATCTTCGCAATGGCATCTGACTTTGACTTTGCGTACGCTATCCGCTGTAAGCAAGAAAGGTCACAGACGACAAGAACACGAGACTATCAGGGTGAACGCAATTGACTGTGAGTGTGTAGGTGTCTAAGATGTCAATTACCGACCGTGCGTATAGCGTACCTGTACCAGAACCCTCGACCAAGGTCTCGTTTGTGGCCGAAACAACATGTTCTGTACATCAATACTCTCATATGTTTTGAATCTTAAACACAACATTGCGAGCGCAAGTCCACCGTACAAACTGTACGCGAGCCACATACGTTCGTGTATTCGTGGTGTGCGACTTAACCTCCCTAGTATCACCCGCATGACTCCTTGCACTGGCGCATGTTGCGTACAGCTGCAGCAGGGCATGCGTCGTTTCAACGCCGCAACTCAACGTACACTTAAAGTCACTTCACAGATGGACAATTGACATGGGGCGGATCAGTGGTACTTAGGGGAACTATGTTTCTGGACCAGAGTTGGCATAACACTGCAGAACAAGGATAACTGCACAATGTAGTATTACTGTAGAATGGCTAATTTTAGCGGGTACATTTTTAGCGTTTTCTGAAATCAGGACCAATTCGAGAAGAAATATTATAGCGATCCGAGTTTCAGAGTAAGAAAAAGATGATTTCAATGTACAGTGGGTGTGTTGTAAATGCAAACTTTCGCCTGGCGTGGCAAAACTATAGCGAAAACACTCCTTTCGCTAAAATCGGTGAAATATCACCGGCGCTAAAATTACCCGTTTTACAGTAGTTTAATATACTGTATAGCAGGAAATTTTCGGACGGAATTTATTTTCGGACGATTTCGTACATGGCCTCTTTTGTACTAAAATTAATTCCGTACTAAAATTTGTTCCTGTGAAGTTATGTACACTATACATGCGTACCGCATGAGAACACGTGCATTTCGCATGCAGCACTGTACGAAAATAAAATCCGTCCGAAAGGTCGAAATTCGGCTTGGTTCGAAAATATTTCCGTCCGAAAATTTCCTGCTATACAGTAAGTTGGTGACACACTTACCATTGACTTCTCGAAGAGCGGGAATCCCTGCATGGCACGGATAGCTTCGGTTGCACTGCGTACCTCGCGGAACACAACGAAAGCCTGTCCTCTCATTTTGACATTGTTGAGGGCCACGATGTCAACTATCTCGCCAAACTGAGAAAAAATCGCGAAGAGCGATTTCTTCAGCTCTGCGCACACACACCGGAAACGGCAAAGAATGCACACGCACACACGTGCGCGCACACACACACACACACACACACACACACACACACACACACACAACGAGAAGAGACACCACACTCGTATAGTCACATGTGTGAACAAATCACCAGGACGCCCAAATACATCAGGTACTTCTAGACGAGAACCCGAAGTAACAATAAGTAATAATAAGATGATTGATAACATTCCTCAGCTCACGTATTCTTCGTTCCCTATTAAAATTAAAAGATAACATTTGCTCATAAATTCTCGCCACAATCAAAAAGGCAAGCTGAATCGACATTTGTGCATACTTTCTTCATGCAGTGTAAAACGGTAGAGACAGTGGGCAATAAAACACCAATAACTAAAGTGTTACACTGCATGAATAAAGTATGCACAAATGTCGATTCAGCTTGTCTTATTGATTGCGGTTATAAAATTGTTGTATCCTCGCCGTTGTTTACATAAATTATTGTGTCGACGATTGGTGGAGAACCTAAGGCGACACCTAATACAGTAAATCAGCCATTCAACTTCACACAGTGGTCTCGGCTGAACCTTTATACATGTAGAAGCCTAGTGTTCCACCATAGGTTGACTCACCGGGTTGCTTGATTTTCTCTTTCAAATTATTGATATACAGGGTGTTATTGGCTGGAGCTTCCATGGCTGTGAGTGAGGAGCCAACAAGGAGATACAACACCTACTGCGTGCTCAATGCAACGCTCGCCTTCAGCTCTACCAATCTTCAAAGGAAATGGACATCATGGGCATGCAAGAACAAATCCAACTCAAATTTCCAACATTACTTGGCTACAAAATGTGTTGTCAAGCTGATCGTGAAGTCGAAAGCAAAAAAGTATTGAAAAAAACCGGCTGAACATGAAGCTCGAAAAAAATTACGGGTATGTCGTCATCACAACACACGCTAAAATCAGCTGACGAGTCTGGTGACGAGTCTACTGACGACGCGAGGCCGATGCACTTGGGCGCCCGGTAGCCTCGATTTCACACCTCTTTTGGGCGAACTCGCTTGGCGAAATGGACTTTTCTGTGAGCGCCATTTCACTACTTAGTGCGCATGCACCCCGTTAGCTTCGTCGCCAGAGAAGGAACAGCAGTAGGACCAGGCAGGAAAAGTGAGGATGATGCGCCAAGGAGGTAGAGGTGGCCGACGTGGTCGGGGAGGACGTGGCGGCCGAGGACGGGGTGGCCAAAATTATAGGCAACGCAGGGATAACTCTGAAGGAGAAGACAGCCGCCCACAACAAAGTAAGAATACTAATTGATGTAAATTTTACTCATACAAAATTTATTGCCATTTTGTTCTCAGTAAAAATTATCTTGCCAACTTGTTGTCTGAGTTTTCTCCTGGAGTTGGCATCTTCCCCAGAAATAACGTTTGGGTGTTGAGGAATTTTTGTGGCTTCATTTCATTTCCACTTCCTTCCGTCCTCCTGCAATAATTATTCATTTGTTTTTTTTTGAAATTTCTTTTACGCAGGTCCTGATGAAATGCTGGGGAGCAAATTCCTAGAACTTGACAATAAGAACTTGCAAGTCGAAATTAAAGAGAACCACCGCGGAAAGTTCTTGAAGGTGTCCGAAGTCGCCGAGGTTTGTGCCAAATAGTTGTTGGAATTGTGTTCTTTGATCTAAGAATTTTCGAAATACATCTTACTTTTTCATTAGTGCTATGGGGTTGAAATGGGAGAAAGTCTGAGTGAGTTAACTATCACCACCAGGATTCGAACGGGGACCTTTGCTATAGGTTGGTGTTCCTAGCTTTTTTGTTTGACACTTACCCCTATGAACCGACGTACATGTATGCGAGGACCGCTTCATTTTATTTTGTATTCAGTAGTTTCAGGAATTGAATTTATATCAGGGGCGCCGGAACCTGTGCGGCTGATGCGGCAAAGGCCGCACAAATCATTTAATCTTGTGCAATAACATACGGGCTATTTGCGCCCAAAATTCAAAAATATCCCGCAGGAGCCCCCAACGTTTCATGGCCGCACTGATGTGGAATATCTTCCGACGCCCCTGTTGTATTATAGCTAATAGTAGCACACGCTGCTCAATCTCCGTATAATATTATACAGAGATTGAGATTATACGGAGTGTATATACACTATCGGTATAATTGTGTGTGTGTGTGTGTGTGTGTGTGTGTGTGTGTGTGTGTGTGTTTGGCATTATCGTGTGGTGTGTAACAGGCTGGTGCTCAGCCCGGTCGTAACAGAGTGACATTAGGAATTGCTTCAGCCTCGGAATTTTTAACCCAGCTGGACACCTTCGCTACCTACGCACAGTCTGAAGAGGCCACGGAGGAGGGAAACGAGGAAAAGGCATTCAAAAGGTGAGGTGAACTGCTCTGAATTAGTGTCCTTTTACCTTGGTAATCCTGGACTTGCGCATCCTGAATTACAGCCGATGCAGGCCCCATTGGGTGAATGCATTCACAGGTTTAGATTCCCACAGATGCAATGGGTCACGCATTGGGGGAAAAGTTCACGCAGTCAATTGCGGGAATTGAAAGCAAGGACCCTATGGCCACGTTCACACAACATCAATGCAAATGCCTGGAAAGTAAAAAAAGTCAAACGTGCGTTACATGATGCGCTTTTTAATTTCAATCTGGCAAGGTTGTCAATATTTTAACTTGACATGCTCGCGACTTTTGAACACTGGCCTCGTTGTTTTGTTTTCTACCAATCGGAATTGTACATTTCGTTGACAAATACAGTGCAGCTATTTCCTATGCCACACTGCAAGTAAATACTTTACAGACATGGATCGCTATGCCCGTGACAGATATCGACGACGAGTTGCCGCAAACTATCGTTGAAGTTTGGAATGCTGAGAATTCACTGAGTGTGGATTTCTGCAATCTGCAACAGATTGCTTCAGCACTGTTCAACTCTTCTTGCGCTGGCACTCGTTCCAGTGCTTAATGAGGCCACACTTGGGGTCGTCTGAGAAAAAAACCATTTGGCGAAAAAAATAGGAATGACTGAAAGAGTCAGTTTCCTGCATACAGTGTACCTGACCTTCTGGTTGGTGGCTGTACTTTCTCTTTCTTCTTAGTAGGATGTGTACACGAGGGCCAGAATTCCACGAATGGTTTTGTGTGTCTGTAGGCATCCTCCTAAGTTCATATACAGCAATATTGAGTGTCGTGTCGATGTGTGATTCTATGGGTCTGTGTTGGCTTTGTGCAGCTCCACCATGGTGAAAGATGCGAAGCGTTATTATTTTGATTTCAAGGAAAATCAGCGCGGCAGATATCTCCGCATCACGCAGACCACAATGGGCGGCCGCAAGCAGATTGCTCTTCCGCACACTGGCATCGTCCAATTGCATGAAGCCGTGGACGAACTCGTCAAGAAGTTCGTCAGTGATGCAGGTGCGTTTGTGCTTTCCCTCTTTTAATGCCAGTTGTAGTACTGTAAGAGTTGAAAGTGCGGCGGGTCTAAAGTTTAAGGACTTAACATTACGGTATGTTGTACATGTGAAGTTCTGTCAGTTGTCGCTCTTGGAGTTGTATCAGCTGCCTTTGATCTGCTGTTTGTAGCAACAACCCAAACCTTGAAAATTTACTCTCTGGCTGCGTAGGGTAGCTACATGGCCCTAATATGCTTTTAAAGGGGTTCCTGATAACCCGTTGAGAAGTGACCTTATTCGGGGGTTTGCTGGCTGCTGTGTGTGCGCTGTTCTCTTCAGATGGCGCACCGGAATCCCAGCTACCAACTACACGCGAGGTCCGCATGCAGCCCAAGCGATTTTATTTCGACGTGGGCAACAACAACCGCGGAGTTTACCTCCGTGTGACCGAGGTAAGTGAAGTGAAGAGAGGTGGTGGCTTTTCTGCTGCATGTTGGCCCATGTACAAAGGGTCTTCACTAGAGAGGTTCCGCATAACGTAATTACGTTAGTGAAAAACGTAGTCGATCCACGGAAAGTCTTGCGTAAACTGCATGTGCATCTGTGTTCCGCCATACAGAGTTTTCTAATCACGTAGCTGCCCTTGGCAACTCTAAACGCGGCAGTGTACGACCGGATCGACCTGGGGAGAGAGTCATAAATTTGTACCCCAATCCACTTACGGACCACCTACGTTATCGGAGCCCTATCTGCGTACTCTACGTGGACAACTTTCCGTACGTGGAGAGGAAATTCGCGAACTCACGGCTTTTTCCCGCCCACTAACTTAAATTGAGAAGGTGTGACTAAATTTTTAGAGGAAGAGATCATGCCATGTGGACAGTGGAACAAACATGGCCAACATCATGTGACCCATACAGGCAAGGCTTGACTGGAATTGAAATCAACATGGCGGTTACGTATGGTTACGTAACCGCCATGATCTCTTCCTCTAAAAATTTAGTCACACGACAAATGTGTGAAACTACTCTATAGGTCTTCGAAGTGATGGTGCCACACACACCTGCCAACGCAGGTTCTGGGTACAAACAAACCTTGTTGTCCCCTCGCTCATCACTATTTTTGCAGCCATCTGCAGGTTTCTGATGGTGGGAATCAAATAAAGTATTTGTTTAAAGAAGCAGCTTTTGTAGGTATCTCTTGCTGATAGAGGTTTGCAATGCTGATGGAGCATTGACTGGTCTTGCCAATATTTCGAACGGGATTCAAAGGGTCTGCGACGAGCTGGGTGAATATTTCAGAGTTCTGATCCACCTTGAATTCTCACTTACCTCAGCATCTTTCCGCCTCGTAAAGAGAGCAAATTCAGATGTCCGTACGAATCAATCTCCTTGTTCCTCGGGGAAATGCAACACAAAGTGCTGGACTTGCACTCTGATTTGTAATTTTAATTTTGTGCAAGCCATGGCTCTACTCTGCCCTGCAGAAAGGAGCACAACACTAGCAGACTCATGTCCTGAAAGGAGAGATAAAAGACTACTGTACAGGCAGAACATTTCGTTGGTCAATAACTTCGTCCAACTCCAAAGAAAGGGAGTTCGTCTGGTTGTAAATTTCGTCCATGGATCGCAAGAGTGTATTGAATTTGAAAAGCTGGGCAAATCGACATTGGTCCGGCATTTAATTTAATCCAAAAGCTCCTTGGAAGAAAAAGACGAAATTAAATTCCCGGGGAATATTTCTGCTTGTAAAGTATCCGGCTACTTCGTGTGAGGTATCTACTCTAAGCTGTGCAAGTCGTATGTAAAATCTGAGAAATTTTCACTGCACAACACCACTTGCTGGGGGATGCAATGGTTGTTTGGACCCAGTTGCTACGAAGTTGTCAACGACCTGACGTCACACTTCGAAGCCCTATTACACACAATGTGATGTGTGGCAGCCTTCCAGGCTTTTCGCTATGAGTCGTCGTTTCTTGTTTCCAAAGGAATATATTTGTTACCTATTTTTCCACCCAGACTATCAACAACTACCAGCGGCCAAGTTCTGTGGTGACGATTCCACACGGCGCTTGGAGGGAAGTGCGTGATGTCCTCATAGACTTCTGTGACCAGCTTCCCTACCAAGCTGAGGAAGAGGGCGACACAGAGACCACTGCGTAGGTCTGTTGGTTTGTTTAGGTGTTTTTTATCTTCCGTCCTGATCCTGCTGTTGTTAGCAGAAACATGGGTGTGTGATTGGCCAGGCGTGTTCCTTTTTTCTTTTTCTCATTTGAGTATTCTTCTCTTCAAACCTGCTCTGAACCTCTGTTCTCTCTTTCTTGTCTTGACCCGGAACCCCGGTACCATGTCAGGCTTACTTGAACATGCCACGTCCATCGCCCTGTGCCTCTTTGTTTGCGGCGCTTTGACCCCCTCTGGGTCATGGAGTTTGGCATTCTCCCCTTTTTTCCATCTCGCTCTTTCTTTTCTCATTTCCTCTTTTTTTTTAACCCTCTGATAGTAGTGTGCGTGTGTGTGTGTGTGTGCTGTCTCGAGCAAGTGTTGAGAACGCATGCGCTCCGCTTCAATTCTGTTTTGACATCAACAGGCTTATTTTTTTCTTTTCAAGCCTTCAAGCTTTCCCTGCGCATTACTTAGTTTTGATTGATTGGGTTAACAGTTACTGCTGTTGACCGTTATCCGATCCGGCGAAGAAGTCTCGTACTAGATTGTTTTCAACTGCAGTTGTGTGTGTGTGTGTGTGTGTGTGTGTGTGTGTGTGTGTGTGTGTGTGTGTGTGTGTGTGTGTGTGTGTGTGTGTGACGTTGAAGAGGACTAGTCCTTCTGCACCACAAGTACAGTGTACTCTGGCCGCAAGGGGTTTCAAGTACCGTAGTTCCCCGTCAAGAGAGGACATGAACCCCAGAGTGTTCAGCTCGAATGGGTCACTGTCGTAGCGAATTTCCTATGTTGCATTACAAAGAGGTTGCGCATAACCAGGGACACTACTATGGAGCCTCAAAGTTCGGAAAATTGTGCCTTTTCGTACTTGCAAGTGGCCATTAGTACAACAAAATACATGATTATCCCCATGCCAAGATGACCATGCATGCTAGAGATCAACATGGAAAGAGAAAACATGACTCCTTCTATTCATCAGTTGATTTCTTTTGTAAAAAGATTTTTATTGCTAAATTAGTTTGAGTTACCTTTGAAAATTATCATGTTCAACTGCCTTCGTAATCGTCATACTCGTCCAACCGATGTCACCCTCACCCTGCGAAAAATCAGCTCATCTCTCCCGTAGCTCCACCTCTCCTTCCACCATGACCGAACATCACCTATACCTCATTTTTTTAATTATTAGAACAATAACCATAGCTTGCACAGTCGATGGTCTCGATCCAGCGCGCTTCTCTGCACACCTTTTCGGAAAAGTTGCGAAGTACAGTCAAATCTGTCGTAAGCGACCGCCCCTTGGTGCAAGAAAAAGCGGTCGCTTACGGCAGATGGTCTCTTACGGCAGATGTATGGTAAATTCGGCATACCAGGTATATGCTTCCATGTACTCAAATCGACGAGAATAATGTGATTTTTAATATCATTTTATTGGATATTCAACGACGACCATACCCGTATAGTACGCGTATGCGACACGGCAGTAGATCGACACTGCCTAGCGCCTGGACTTGAGAGCTAGAGCTACAGCACAGCCTCATTACTAAAACACCCAAACGTTATTTCTGGGGAAGATGCTAAAACTCGCGACACAAGAACAAAATCAAAAATTGGAAGCTGTACGCCCATGGCGAATTTCAAGAGCAAAAGAATGAGCTATTGATTGTGGAAATCGGCCGAACGATGCCTGCAGGAGACCTTTTTCAAGACGTAGAGGCATCAATTAGACCATATAAATACTGCAAACTTGCCATCTTGGGTTCATATTATTGACAAAAAAAAGAAAAAAAAATGAGCATCCAAAAATATTGATTCCATGATCTAGATGTACATGTGCGTCTTCTGGGGGGAGGGGGGGGGGGGTCAAGGGAGAGAAGCACCAATATCGTCTCTAAAAAAAACATCGATATTTACGGACGGCCCCTTACCTGCTTTTTTTTATAATAGTGAAATCCGACCAAGAGTGCATAAACAAGAGTATGCAACTGTGGTTATGGGCCAGTGCGCGGCGCGCTGCCTTCATTACGTAACTTGCCTCCATCACGCTCTGAAAGCATGCACTCAAACCCACAATTTCTCGTACGAGCCCATCCGTTTTTGCTCGATTCGTTCCAGTACCTACGCGATCTCTAAATATTGGCGCGTTAACTCCAGTTCCGTACGAAAATGCATTTCAAACCAGACGGAAAGCGCGGTGTTTGATTTTCCGCAGTGCGCGGACTGCAGCTGAATGATGTAATGAAGGCAGCGCGCCGCGCATCTGGCCCATAGAAAAGAGATCACAGTTGCATACTCTTGTTTATGGACTCTTGATCCGACCCGGACTGTAATTCTTGTCAAGTACCACCCCATTTGGCCAGTAGGCCTTGACAGACTATGCTAATATTTTCATGAAATTATGCTTTTCGCATTGCTGAAAAAAGTGCAGAATTATGCTATTTTTATGCTAAAAGTAGGGCTGAAACAATTATACCGATATCTCGCATATCGATCGTTAAGAGTGCAATCGATAATCGTTAGTGTTCAAAACGAGTGCTAACGATTTATTATGCATACATATGAGTGACAGTATTCTAGCCCTTGCACTCCATCCGATAGTGAATACGAGTACAATCATGTACTTCCAAGCGCGGTAAAATTCTTTTGTGGCTTTGAAAGAGATCGGGAGAGAAGACTTTGCCTTTTGGGTTCATTTCTGTGAGAGGTTGGAGATCAGAGCAGTTGCCAGAGGGTGATGACAAGATTCTTTGCAACATGAAATTCTCTAGTTCATGTTGATAAAACCAGCCAGATTTCAACAGATGTCAACAAATTTCTAATGTACCAAAGGTATCATGGAATTTCTTCATAAACTGGTGTGGGAGGCACACGAGTAGAGCCGACAAGAATCGACAAAACCAATATATCGATCGTTAATGATATTGGTTGATCGTTAGGAGTTATTGGATGATCGTTTCAGCCCTAGCTAAAAGTTATCATTATTATGCTGCACTATGCTCACATATGCTGCTAATGTATAATTATGATGGTTCTGTGCAAAATAACAGGTGAATTTTTTGTAGAGGGCGTTGCACTGTAGTAGCAAAAGCTCAACGGGGTCAACGCACCGTCCGACCTAGCTACGACCATCACCCTACAGTCCATTCATAAAAAGATGGGTCCTGGCTCTGGCGAGCTCCCGTATTTGGCGATTTTTCGTGATTTCATCGTACACAGTGCAGTGCTGCGAACTTTGAAATTTGAAAAAGGGTCCAAAAAGGGTGCCTGAACTGGGGTTCGAACCGCAGAATGCACTGTTGCAGGCGGGGTCAAACGGCCTGGATTTTGATGGTTTTTCCCAATTCAGTGCTTTTGGGGCAAAACCTGGCCGAAATCCTATTCTTGCTATGGCTTGCTTTTTGGACAAAAAAACTTCAGAAACATAATTGGAAGAGGATTCCATATGGGATTGCAGAAAAGAATTCTAAAAAAACTCAACGTTTGACCCATTTATGGCCAAAAGCTAGAAGTTCATTTTTTTCTGAATGGACTGTAGTCACTGATAGTAGTGGACTGGACATAACAAGTGAGTCGTAAACCTACGACTTCCTGGTGCATCTACTTGTACTTGTAGAACATGTACAACTGTATGGAATTTGATGCGAACAGGCGGATTATGCGATTCGTATGCAATTTGCCTCGAATTATGCGATTATTCCATTTTGGTAGGAATTATGCGAAAAATCATGCTAGCATAATCTGTCAAGGCCTAGCGGCTAGGCCTCGATGGGTAATGCTAGTTATTTCAGCTCAACATGCTTTTAGCATTGCTAGTTATTCGGTCATATAATGCTCGTTAGAATGCTAATTTGGACTTGTAATGCTAGTTGAAAAGGCAATGTGAACCACTCATATGGCATTGTGTCATAATGTAAGTCACACTGCACGGAATACTGCTATTAGAAGTACCTAGTACTTTGAAAGTAGATTATATGGTGATGCTATTTCAAAATGATGAGGAACTGAAGTTGCTATCATGAACTAGCAGTGAATAACAGTAAATCAGAACCCTACGTCGACAGTCTTCAAAGACGTACTTTGAGGGTGCATACGGAATGCTATTTTGGAAATTTAGTATATTGTGTGGTATGAAAAAGTACAATATAAGTCAACGTATCACTTCGTGGAATGAGTCAATCAGCACAGTGGGCAACTAGCGCATGAGTATAGGTAATCAGTTCAGACACCAAGACTTGGTGATTCATTGCAGCAATCCATTAGCAACACAATGGGGCATAATCTGGCACCCAGTGAACACACTGTCACAATAGTAGGAATGTTACTAACCCTCGATATGCTTGCTCCTTTGGCTTTGGGCAGTCGTGCGCATGCTTCACCGGGCTCATCCTCCACCTCTGCCTCGTTCTCGTCTTCCTTATTATTCTCCTCTGTCTCGTACTCATCTTCCTCACTCTCTTCCCCCGAAGAATCAGAGACTTCCAACACATTTCCATTTGATGTACTCATGGTGCAAGCAAGCCAGCACTGCATGACTCTGTGAATAGGAAAGACAAGGTTTCTTTCCGTTTCCCATGATGGCATCAACGTGGTACGTCTATACCTAGCAGCTGCCACTAAGATTCGCAACAAGAGACGCATGTTGCGAAGTCGCGCAGGCTAACGTTTGAGCAAAACTGCCAAAAGCCGCTTGTTGCCCCGGGCCCTAGGCGACGTTGGCGACAAGTAACACCCGTCGTATGCAACTAATTACTTACTTTGTATCCACTGCTACACTTTCTGTAGTCTGGGCTTCATGTATGACAAACACTGCTATTGATGTATTGACTTTCAGTCGGCTCCAGTTACAACTGCCGGTACACATGATACATGAACTGTCTGACCCCTTTCATGCATTCGTATGCAGCTGTCACCTAACACCGGCACCGCTTTCGTCATCTACTTGTTCTACAGTAGTATTTATCACGGCCTTAGTATTGACTCCCATTGATTTTCGCTATACCTAAGCAGTCAAATATTCCTGCATATTTCACTCCTTACATAGGGCTACTGCTTACTATTTTTAGGGGTTGCGCAGTTGAACGGTGCCTACAGTTGTGCAATCATAAAACCGGGATTCGTGAGGTTATCGTTCTGGAATTTGAAATACGGACTGTTTGTCCTGATAAATCTAATATTGACTTCGTACTTGGTCAGTATAGGAAATAAACCTCGTAAAAGACCTCGGCTTCGCCTCGGTCTTTTACTCGGCTTTTTATTTTCCTATTGTCGTATTGACCTCGTTCTCAGTCAATATTAGATACGTATCATTTGCCGCTACGCTAGGATCGGGATTGTAGTCCGTGATCCGTAGGCGTAGAGGAGGCTTGTTTTCCTTGGTGTGTTAGTTTTAGGTTGCTGCTTCGGTGGTGCAGGTAACTAGCTAGTTTTGGACTTGTTTTAGTGGAGTTAGCTTTGGCATGAGAATGAAAGAGTAATAATACAGTCTTCTAATAATACAATAACGACGTTACGTTTGTGGAATGGTGAATCAAGACGAGAGGTAAAAACACCG